ATATTTACCCCACCCTACGAAACTACAACATGTGTGAACTGGGAACTGAGGAGCCCGGATGTGAACCCCGAGCTCTCAGACCCTGGGTCCTGTACATCCCACTCCACCCTGATTCTTCATGCTTGTGCTCTGCCTGAGGGACCCAACAGAGTAGCTGGAGAGATCACGGACCAGGAGGTCAGCTCAGGAGGTCCTCTGTAGCAGGCATGACTGTTGCTATGGCTACCTGCCATGGCTCCTAACACCTTTGGAGGGGTGGACACTTCAACTTTAGTTCCCGACCTCAGGTGTTGAGAGAACACCTGCTGGTTATTTTTGGAACTGTTGCCAGCGCCCCTCTCCATCCCGTTCTTCGTTAAACACTGTCCGAACACATTTAAAGATTTCCCTTCCAGGTGAGGCAAAGGAGAATGCTTCCCATTTTCAGCTGGGTATCTTACCACTTCTGATTTCCTTAATTTCCATGCTCAAAGCAGGCCTATGTCTCTGTTCTTATCTTTCTGGGAACAAAGCTAGCTTCCACATAGTAAGGGGCAGCCCCTCTGAATCTGCCAAAGCTTGTTTCTGTCATCACCTGAGCGGCATTCTCTGCTCGCCTTTCTCTGAGGCTGTGAGGTAGTTTGTCTGGTGCTTCTCAGCTGCTTCGAGGACACACGGCTTTCCCAAATACTGATTTCTATCATTGACTGGCTTCCTTCCCTTTGGGACCCAAACGAATATCGTGAAAGTTTTGTCACTTTTCTCATCTCACGATAAAAGTAGAATAGACTAGGGGCTCTTGACTTGGGGGGCATGGACTCCCAGGAAACTCTCGGATGGACTTAGGGGTGGATCTCCTGAAACTTGATGCAGATTTGTGTGTGCACGCCCCTCGTCGTCTCCAGACTACTGGCCCACAGTCCACAGCTCACCTCACATTCTCAAAGGTTCTGTGACCCAGAAAAGTAGAGGATCTGAAATGATTCTTTTTAATTCAAAAATTTTATGAGGATCTCTCATGCTCATTGTAGGAACTCTTAAAAACCAAGGCTGGATGCCAGTCAGCAAACGGTGCCTCTCTCTGGGGAAAGCTCAGCAAATAGTTGATGATGCTAATGACTGAAGATTTGTAAGATGATCTTCCCCTTCATGGTCTTGATCATCCTAAATCTTCTTGGCCAAAATGACACCCGACAGAATCTAAGAATTTGGTGGGTAATTCTGAACTCTTGGGCGTTTTGTCTATATGCATGTTTTTGTCCTAGTACACCCCCCAGATGAAGGTGAAAACTTATCATTTTTCAGTTGTGAAGGTCTACAGTAAGCTCCTTACTTAAAATTTTGAATTTGTTCTTTTCTCCCCTTTTCAGTCACACAGGATTTTTAGCTAATCATAAAACAACAATGCTAAAAAGACCTTCAGTTCTCTTGTCTAAATCTTTTGTTTATGGATGAGGAAGCTTCCAGAGAAGGGAAGTGATTCATCCAAAGACACATGGTAGGCCACTGGCAGCACTGGGCCAGAGCCCAGGGATCCCGACTTCCGACACAGGGCTCTCCCCACTACACCGTGGTTCCCCGAAACACCCCCTGCCCTTTATTCATAGCTTCCGCTGCCCAAAGGACACACACCTAAAATTGTGAGCAACTGACCCAATGTGATTTCAGTTTGGGAGTCTACAAAGGCGTGAAAAGCCAAAGCTTTCACAAGTGTTCATCCACCCCAGAGCTGGGGGAGGCAGGGGTGGGGCTGGACTGGAGAGGTGACCAAGGGGGAAGGAAGCAGCCATGCAGGGACTTAGCACCAAACAGGGAAGTCTGACAACGGAGGAGGCACAGGGGGCACGTGACCGTGAGGAAGGTGACTGGATGTTGCTAGTGGGTGTCTCCGTGCTTTCCAGCTCTGCTCCCAGCCCCTTCCCTGGACGCCCCCCTTCCATCCGCCTGTGGACACCCTAAACCTCACCCAAAGCTCAAATCTCGCACACCCCCTTTCATGTTCCCACCTGTCTTGGCTGGGTTATTTGCTTGCCTTAAATGACACCCTCTTGGTATTTGCTTATAAACGTCCCTATTCTTCAAGTCCAACGTCAAATGCCACTTTTCTTTCCAAAGTCTACCAGACTTCCACCTTCTCCCTCCTGTTGCTTATTATTTCTCCTTATCTTGAACGTTCAGGGTGAACTACCTGATTCTCCTTCCCTGTCCCCATTATAATGATTTGTGAGCATTATCTTTTTTTTTTTCTTAAGATTTCATTTATTCATTTGACAGACAGAGATCACAAGTAGGCAGAGAGGCAGGCAGAGAGAGAGAGAGAGAGAGAGGAGGAGGAATCAGGCTCCCTGCCGAGCAGAGAGCCCAATGCAGGCTCCATCCCAGGACCCTGGGACCACAACCTGAGCCAAAGGCAGAGGCCCGCTGAGTCACCCAAGCGCCCTTGAGAGCATTATCTCTCCTCCCCTTCCCCGCAATGGAGATCATACATAGCTTTAACTGGGGTCTGTCACTTTTTTTTTATCTTCTCTTTCACTCAACAAGTACTTATATTTATTGAGTACCTTCCATATATCAGGTGTCATGGTCCCTGACCTTAGGGCGCTCGCACTCTGACACAGACCAGTGAAGGTAAGAAGACAAAAAAACTGAGATACCCCAAATCAGGTGCCGGAGCTGGGGACACACAAAATCGGGGCACTTAATCCAGTCTTGCAGGGGCAGGGGGAAGCTGTCGGGAAAGGCTTCTGGAAGAAGTAACATCTAAGTGGAGAAGTGAAGGGCAGCTGGGGATTATCCAGGCAAACCAGCAGGGAGGTTGTGGAAGGCAAAGCTGGCTTGTTGTCTAAATGGTCAGATCACATGAGGCCTTCAATATATTAGCAGTGAAAGAAGAAAGGGTCGTAACATTTCAGAATGTCTTTTCATTTAAGGTACTCTGCTGAATTCCCTCCACTTACTGGTCAGATGTTCAACCTAGCTTCCTAACAACTATCATAAAATTGAACTTTGGTTCAGCTCCCTGCAGCGAGAACAGTGACTGGCGATTTTCCGGATCATGCACACTGGTCTGGAATGCATTTATACAAATAAGTGACACAGCCCGAGGCCCTAGCAAGCTGACAGGCCACCAAAGAACAGTTGTCCCTGAAGTCCTTTGCGTCTTTAGCTCTATCATCCCAAGAGGGCCTCAAGGGGCAGGGAGCTTCTGCTGGTCCCCCTTTTGTGAGTGGTTCCCAGTCACAGGAGGCTAAAGTAGAGGGGCCGGGTGGGAGGTTTGGGGGAAGGGGCCCCTCTCACACAATCTTCCAGCTCTCAGCAGGGAGCCAGACTGGGGTCAGGGCCAGGCACACCCACGGAGAAGGGGCTGGCACTGGAAGAGGACGAGGAAGGGCGGGGACAGGAAGTGGTACACTTGGGTTCTGGAGGCCCACCAAGAAAGGAAAACCATTTTCAACAGGTCCATCTTTCCATGTTGCCAGCTACCCACCCCACCCCTGCCCTCTCCCATCCTCCATTAGGAAGCGGGAAGTATATACCCCCCGACTGGCCCAGAGTTCCCGCACTATGCACACTTCCTGTACAGGCCGGCTCCTGGATCGGGCTGTGCTGACTCACAGCCGACAGTAAACCAGGTCTCCAGGCACCGTGGGCTGACTTGGGATGTTTACAGAACTGTTCCCGTCAAAGAAACTGAATTCTTCTCAGCAAGCCCCTTCGCCATCTCTCCCCAACCAACTGCTCTTTGCTTGGTGGGACGCACCTTTCTCTTCCTCCTGGAACACACATTCCAGGAGTACCTGCTCTGGGACCAGGCAAGGCCTGCCCCAGGTTCTGCTCTTCTCCCTGGGCCAGGGAAAAGATCAGAGTGGGAATGGGAGAAATGATCCTCATTTCGCTCAGTGTGGGAGAAACAATCCACTTAAGGGGGCCCTCCCACAGGCCGGGCACTGTGCTTAGCTCATTTAGTCCTTACAACTGCCCTATGAAGACCCTATGAAGAAGAGACCACTTTTACTTCTACTTTGCACTTAGAAAACTGTGGCTGGCTAGCCTGATTATTCAACACTATCCCACAGTTAGATCCTGCTTTCCCACGGAATGCGATCTTGGTGTCTACAGGCCTCAAATAAATAATTGTTGAGTGACTAAATGAAACTTCAGAGTTTCAGGTCTGGGATCAAGCATAGTGTACTGGGGGTATTATACATAGTAAACAACAAATGAGGCGTCTTCAAGAATTCCATCTGATACTGAAGGCATTCTAGAATGTTCTCAGTTCCAGAAGCAGCTCTGGAATCATGATCTAACTGCCAAGTTCATCCTCATCCCCATCCCTAATTTTTTAGCCCTCAAAACACCCTAAAGCCACTTTGGTCCTTGAAATCATTGTAGCTGACCCAGAGAGAAAATGGGACAGTCACCTAAAACCCTGGGGTGTCCATTCAAGGACCCTGTCCCTGCTGGGGTCCCAGCGCTGGGCCTGCCTACATCTCCTCAGGACCCAAATGCATTTGTTCGTCAGTGAACAAAAGCCCTGTGCTCCCACACGAACACGAGACAGGACGAAGACCTGACAGAGCTGGGCGCCGGCAGTGCGCCAGGGGTTACGGAGACAAAGTGCAGCTCACACAAAACCAAACCACACGGAGCCAAACTGAAGCCTGGTGTTCTCAGCTGTGTTAGAACAAACGGAGGAAAGTCTCTAAGGCGTGAATGGATGAGAGGAAGGCTTTCCTTCTCATGGGGCTTTGGCACTGGGCCAGGAGGCAGCCAAAGGGGGAGTGACTTCTGAATCCCCTCCAGAGGCCAGTGCGGACTGTCCTTTACCTCCAAGCGTCCCCAGCCTGGCACTTTAATCAGTGGCCCCTCCGTTCCCTCCTGGGTACTATTTCTGCCCCCAAGGCAAGCGAAGGGCTCTCGTTGGCATCCATGGGGCCACGGAAGACGGGCCACGGGTGAGACGTCTAGCTCACCCCGCCAACTGAGATGCCAAGGCACCCGCGGTCATGCTGCAGGCCTACCTGGCTCCCCGCACTCCGAGCGGCCCTCCTCTCGGCCTGCTCGCCACCTCTATGCAGCTCTGTCTGCTCAGCCTCCCTTCCCGGAAAAGGGCTACCCGGGGGCTTGCCGGGCCGGCTCTCCTCGGGCGCACGGAGGTCCGAGAGTCTCTGGTCCGCGCTCAGGCACCTGACCACGTCTGAAGGTCTCAAGCAGCTCTTCTTAGAGATCCTGGGTGCTCCGGGGTATCTCTCACCTGCCTCCCGCTCTGCTCTCCTCTCACACTGTCCGCGCTCTTCTCGCCTCGGCTGCCGCTTACCCTGGCTGCTAAAGGCGTTGCTGAGCTCCGAGATGACCCTATCAGAGCTCCCTGGCAGCAGCGGCGGGAAGCTATCCTGGTGGACACCTGGGGGTGGCACGTGGACACCACTGTCCCCATTGATGTGAAGGAAGGTGGGGGCTCCGGGTGCCAAGGAGGCAGCTTTGTGGGAGGGAGGAAGGGCCAGCGGGGAAGCCAGCGAGCGTGGGGCGGATCGATCGGACCAGCTCGAATGGGGAAGGCTGAGAGAGAGAGAGGAACCCGGCCTCGTCCACGAGGAGAGGGGGTCCGTGTTATAGACAGAAGTTTCTGGAAGAGGAGGCAGGGGTGGGGTCAGGGCCAGAGGCCGCCTGCCTGGGACCCCAACAGTCAGGGAGATCCACTCAGAGGTGACAGCGTGCATCTCAGGGGACAGGGCTCGGTGGGGGTGGGGCAGGGATGAGGGGGCCGGCACGATGAGCTTGCTGTGACTGGCAAACTTAAAAAGAAAAGGAGAGAGAGGAAAACAAAGGAAAGAAGCAAAAAGGTACAAGAGTCAGCATAAAGAAGAGAGGAGGAAAATAATCACAAGGGATATACAAAGAGGAATGGAATGCAGAGGACGAGGACACTCTGGTGTCCAAACAATGAAATCGTTCGGTTAGGTTGGAGAGAAAGTGGGATGTGGCTGTGTGCACATGTGTGCACAGTGTGTGCAGGTAGAGGAAGGGGGGAAAGCGAGGGGTATGGAGACGGGAGAAAGGGGTCCATCGGGGTGGTTACAGACGGCCCTGGTGCGGTCTGTGGAATCGGACTTTCAGAGGGACACACTGGAAGTGCCCACCCCACCACACCCCACCCCACCCCTGCTGCCACTGAAGAGCCTTGACCCACACCACGAAGGGAAAAAGGTGCCCTGCCACAGTCCTGCCCCTTCTTTGGGCTTTTATTCTCTCTAGAGTTCCCAGCAAAGAGCCTTCCAGAGATGGATATGAGCAGTGGAGACATTTTGTTTTATAGTTGTGCTTGGCTACAGTGAAGTGAAAAATCTCGCTGAGTTCCTCTAATTACTACGAAGCAGAATGGCCTGCACTGACTCCATGCCCCCTCCCCATGAGATCACAGGAGATGGAGCTCGCTGTGCAGGAAGCCCTGGGTCAGCCCGTCTAATGCCTTCTGCCAAGAACCATCCCTGGGGTCAGGGGTGGGCAGGTGGAAGGAAGTAAGGAGAGGATGATGGAAAAGAGGCACCATCCAAGTGTCATCCTGGGTCCAGGTCTGGGTCCCGCTCTCACACTGCTGGCCATTCTCCCTACACCTTACCACAGGGGTACGGTCAGTGGCCTTCACAGGAAGTCACCCTACCATGCCTCTTCTGAACCCAAGGTCCTAATTCTTTCTTGGCTTTGGGGAAGTGGGGATGGGTTGGGAATAATTTATATATTTTATAAAACAAGTCCATTTATAATAAACGTTTAGGAATGCAAACATCTTATTATGCCTGTAAAACTACTTCCTTTTGGCCCAGTGTAAACAGGGACACTGTCTGTTCCTTTCCCAGCCTAGTTCCTGCTTACAAACAATACTCCGGATCTGGTCTATCTGTCTGAGGATGAGAGTGCAAGATTCTCTCTTTCAATCTTTGCCTTCTGCAGGTGGGCCTTGACCAGTAAGATGCCGAAGAGAACCGGCCTGGGTCACAGTATGTATTGGACAGCAGCGGTCCCCAGACAACCAGCTTCACGCAGGGTAGGATGCTCCTAGTTCCAGACCAACTGCTAAAGTCTCTCATTTCTCTGGCCCTAACCATGTTATTCCCAGAGCCGCCACCTTAAGCTCTTCTTTTCCCCAACATAATAGTTGTCCCTCCAAGTTCTCGAAACATGTCATTTGTACCCATGAAAACAAACCCTGGTGTGTACTCTCTGCATGACTGCAGGGAGTTCCTAATCACAGTGCTGCAGAGCCACCCCAGAGGGCCTGCGTGCCCTCAGCACCATGGACGGGTCGGTGAGGAGCATGAAGACCAAGGACGAGAAGTCTAGGTACCTGTGGGCTCGCGGTGCCACTGCGACTTGGGGAGGAGGAGAAAGGCAGGTCGATATAATCCACGGGGTTTTTCACTAGGGGCCGCTTGATCACGTCCACGTAGGTGATGGGGAAGATGCCCTGCCGGGACGTCCCTGGGATCCTCCCTTCGTACCAGTTCTCGTCCACCTGTCGGAGCAGCGTGATCCTCTCACCCTGCAAGACACGGCAAGGACGGGTCCTTGGGCCACCACGCCTTGGCAGGTCTGAGGCCCCTGCCTGCACCCTGAGCCATCCCTCACTGTTCATCACATCCTTTGTTCAGAAAAGCCTTCCTGGCTAGACTCGGATAAAATCAGTATCGCAGAGATGGTGCTGACAGCAGGAGAGCTACCTGGAAGCTGGGAAGTCAAGCTTAGTTTTCAAATACTGCAGCAAAGGAGAAGGTCAGAGTCATCCCCCCAGCTAACAGCCAGATGGAGGGGTTTTGCCTTACTTATCACAAAATCGATATCCAGTTGTCTCCAAAAGCAAAGGTTTGAGAGGGTTATCTTTTTTCCTTCCCTTTTAGAACTTTGTTTTTCCCTGTACCATTATAGAAAAGTAAAAAAAAAAACAAAAAACAAAAAAAACAAAAAAAAAACATACATTAAGTGGAAAATAAGTATTACTCAGAAGATTATCACTTGGGTAACCACAGTTAATATTCTGATATATGTATTTCCCAGATTTAATTCTGTGCACGTGAATTAGACTTGCAACATATTTTTCTTATGAAAATTGAGCAAGCACTATATTTCACTTTCCAGCCTTCTTTTTCATCCTTTATGACACAGAGTTGAACCTCCTTCTTTATCAAGAAATAGAATTCTATGGTTTTAATGCTATGGTAGCAACAGCGGAAGAGCCCACCATAGGCTGTTCTGTGACACACACATGTAATGACTTAATTACTGGTCTCCCAATACTGGGCATGGAGGGGCTTCTCTTTCCCATAAGGTGGTTCATCTTCTTCTAAGGCACATGTTCACTTCCCTAAATCCTCACTAAAATCAGTAACTAATAACTTCAGCAAGCCAGAGAGTTTTGACATGGGAAGACAGTGTCTGCTCACTGGGAAGAAAGGCATCACTGTGCAGCTCACTCGTGTACCAGGCGAGCATGCAGAGTCCTTGAGGGCACCAACCAGATGCCATGCTTTATGCTGAAGGCTTCACGGAGGTGGTTTCCTTGAATCCTCTTAAAACAGCTCTAGGATAGGGTCATTTGTCTTCATTTCACCTGTGAGCAAAGGGCAGCTTGGAAAAAGTCTTTAACTTCCCAGAGGCGAGGCTGACTTTTGGCTTCAGAGGACTTGTTCCTCTCCACTGGGCCATCAGAATATGTCGTAAACCTAGTCATGACGACTTTCCACATCATGGGGTGCTCAATAAATGCTGGGTGAAGAGGTCTAAGACTCCAGAAACACCGCCTTTAATCAGTGAACTCATGTGACTAAACTCTGAGAAAGCCTAGGGTTTATTTTTTAAATGCTTCACCTCAGAAAATTCCCCACCTGCCCTTCAAGCAGTCCTACGTGGGGCACAGCTCTCGGGCACAGGGACGGTACCATGAGACGAGTACATCGCCATCACGCCCCTTCCCCCACGAGAACAGGGCCATCCAAACAGAGCCCCAGGGCCGAGAAGAGAGGGTGCTTACCTTCCTGAAGGACATTTCTACTTGTGTATCACCATTGAAGTTGAACTTGGCAACAGCTTCTCCGTATTCCAAAACCTGCACCGGTGCCAACCTCTTGGGCTGAGCCTTCTCAGCAGGAGGAAGAAGCTGAGAAGGGAAAAGAGGCAGAGGAGAAGGAAAAGAGTAGAAAGCGAGGGGAACGAGAGGGAGGGAGGAGACAAAAAAATACAAGTTCTTGGTAAGTGCGTGGTGCTGGGGGCAGGACCGGGCTGTCCTGGGGAAAGAGAAGGGGTGACCGTACCTCGATGTAGGAGCGCGGGAAGATGCCCACCCGGCCGTGGTGCTCTCCTTCGTACCAGTTCTGGTCGATCTGCTTGTAGATGTACACGATGTCCCCCTTCTGCAGAGGAAGCTCCCTGTCAGCAGAGGTCAGAGCACGTCAGCAGACGGTTCCAAATGCATGAGATGAGGACACTCCATATTTTAGCAAAAGGAGACTCTGACTGAGGTCAAAGGGGACAAATTACAGAAGAGGGGGCTCCATATTCGGGAGGGAGAACCCTGCTCTTTAGGAGGTTATATCTCTTTGGGCCACTTTTCAGTCTTCTGTGGGATGGATGTTGACTTTCAAACCGGCTCCCCACTCCAAAGTGCTCACAGGCCTTATGCGTTTGTTGTGGGTTTTCTCAATGTATTTTTTGTGAATGCTGGTCTTACGTTCAGAATGTTTACGCAACACGGAACAATGCGCCCAGCAGTCTCAACTGATGTCCAGTAAATGATAAAAGTCTCCCTGTAGATGCTTTCATTGTCTTTACTACCCTTCCATGCCCAAGCAAGGCATGCTTTCATTGCTGGAAATGACCATCAAGTTATTGTGAGAGACTGACATCCTCATGTCGTTCCAGCCAGCCAGCCCAGCCAGCCAGCCACATCCCCCTCCCCCCATCCGTCTATCATCATGCAGTAGAAAGGCTCTGAAATTAGCCAGATCCAGGTTTAAAACCCAGTTACACCATTTACTAGCTCGGAGACCTGGGGCAAGATACGGAATCTCTCAGAGATACTTTATCTGAAAATAGGAGCTAAGTCAGAGTTATTGGAAAAACGTAGCAACAAACTCAAAAGTAAGAGGCCCAGCACAGTGCCTATTACGAGCTAGCTCGGGAAATGGGAAGTCGCTTCTTCCTTTTCAACATGGGAAAGAAACTTGGAAAGAAAAGTGGATTTTCCTTAAAATGTTCTTCATGTATTTGTGCAACTTTTCTATCTCCATCCATCCCTTTGCTGGCCTTAATAATGATGCTGTTAACCTCTAATCAGGGTTCCTTCTTAAAAAAAAAATGAAAAAGATAAATTATAAGTAAAATAAAAACCCAAGATGAGGATAACAATTGTAACAATTATAGCTTGAAAGTTTTTTGAGTTAAAAAAAAATGACCTAGATCTTTTCCATTTGCATCAAACCAACAGCAATGGAAAGAAAGGCTCTGACTGCAATTTGGAGGGGGCAGGCCTGTGTCCTCTGTTGTGTGCCAGGAAGTCCCACGGTTCTGTGAGGGATGCTGGCTAAACAATGGGGGCACATCTGGAAGACTTTACACAAAGTCAGCACTGTGCTGAGTGCAAGAACAAGGCAGCCTTTGTGGATCTTGCACTGGTAGACCAGATTCTAACCCTGAGGCCGCCCGTGAAGGGGATCTGGGACATTTGTCTCTGTAAGAGAGAATATTTGGGGCCAGTTTTTTGCTGTAGCTCTCCTTGGGCGTGTTTGAATTCCCTCCTCTTTTTACCCCCAACCATGGACACATGGCAGTGCTGGAACCTCAGCATATCCACTCCAGCATATCCGCTCCCTGCTCTCCCGCCCTCAGTGACTCGCAGCTGTGGAGACAGGTGGGAGTGTCATGGCCCCACATTAAACAAGGAGGAGGACAGCTCGTGGGGGGCTGAGAGGTCTGCAGTTAGCCTTCCTGCACTGTGGACCTCATGCCCAGCTCCTGAAGAACCGCACCGCAAAGTCTGGTGGTAACAAGGTTTGAGAAACAATAATACAATATACTTCAGATCTTTTCTTGAGTGTCCCCATGTATACTCTCAGCACAGTAGAGGCTTGGATAAGTCCTGTGGATAAGAACCCTGTTTAACTTTGTTGACTCGAGTGCTCCTACAGAACACTTTTTTGAGTAACCTACTATGGAGAAAAGTAGAACCTGGTGATTAAAGACGTTTAGAAGACCCAAGTCAATGGATCTATCATTTACTCTTAAAAAAAAAAAAAAAGGTTTATTAACTTTCCTGGGAGGGAGCAATAACAGCACCGAGCCAGGAGGAAGGACTCCTCTCTCCAATATTAGCACCATTTTAGTTGTTTTTTTAGAGAGAGAGAGTGTGTGTGTGTGTGTGTGTGTGCAGGGTGGGGAGGGGCAGTGGGAGAGGGACAGAGAATCTTAAGCAGACTCCACGCCCAGTGCAGAGCCAACATAGGGCTCGATCCCACAACCCTGAGATCAAGATCAGAAATGAAATCAAGTGTCAGACGCTTAACTGACTGAGCCACCCAGATGCCCCCAGCATTAGCATTATTGATAAATGGTGACAATTCCATCTCTGTCAGCCTTCCCTCTTTTATTGGACAAAGATGCTCTAAGGAAAAAATTGTTCAGACTTTTTAATGAAACCTACATAAATATGATTATCATCACAATACCACTCAATGACTACATGTACCTCTCTCATTCCAAAGGAAAAAGGGGAAAAGGTAGTATTAATTTGTATAACTCTGTTATCTTCTCTTTGGTTAAAAAGAAGGGATGGGGGGGTGCCTGGGTAGCTCAGTGGGTTAAGCTGCTGCCTTCGGCTTGGGTCATGATCTCAGGGTCCTGGGATTGAGCCCCACATCGGGCTCTCTGCTCAGCAGGGAGCCTGCTTCCTCTTCTCTCTCTGCCTGCCTCTCTGCCTGCTTGTGATCTCTCTCTGTCAAATAAATAAATAAAATCTTTGAAAAAAAAAAAAAAAGAAGAAGGGACGGGGGAGATGCTGACTTTTGTTACGTGATACGAAATGTTTTATAAGTATTACCTCAACTGCCCTGCAAGAGTGGCATTTTTTTTCCATTTTATTTTTTTTAAATACTTTATTTACTTATTTGAGAGAGAGAGAGAGAGACACAGGGAGAGAGGGAACACAAACAGGTAGAGTGGGAGAAGGAGAAGCAGGCTTCCTGCTGAGCAGGGAGCCTGATGTGGGGCTTGATCCCAGGACCCTCAGATCATGACCTGAGCTGAAGGCAGACGCTTAATGACTGAGCCACCCAGGCCCCACTATGTCCATTTTATAAATGAGGAAATTTGAGGTGGAGGTTGGTGACTTGCTCAGAGTCACAGAGACAGCAAGGGGCACAGTCATGATGCAAACACAGGGCTTCCTGACTCTAGAGCCTATCTCTCCAGCACACTAGACTGCCACTTCTAGTTAGCTAATGAGCTAAAGGACTGGAGTAATTATAAACAAACCCAACATGCCAGATTTGTGGCTAGGTCTAGAGACTGTGGCCTGGTCACTCATTTTGTGTTGGAGGAGATCAAAATCCTGGCTGAGTCGTCTTCTCCATGGCGTTACTCAGTGTCCAGTGATGAAGAGCTTACCCTCTCATCACCAAGAATGGAGATGTGGGGGGCCTCCCATCAGCAAGACAACGGGATGACATGCTGGTTATTGCTGCCAATGGAAACTCATGGCCCATTTTAATCCATAATTAGATAGGAAATGAGTAGGTTCCTTGTAGAACCCAATCTTTGGTAGCATTTTCCAAAGTCCATTCCATGGAATAGAAAGGCTTCCTGCTCATCCAAATTTAGGTAACACTGGGTAAAATAAGCTAATCAGGTTTCTTCATTGAAAGCCTTCTAGAGCCATTACTATGCCAATAGCAAAGTCTCTCTGGGAAGAAGGAGGCACGGGAGGTATAGACATAGTGTGCAGTGGTTCCTAGACTCATTTCTAGGATAGAAGACAATTTTTAAGAAATATTTTACAGAGCTAGCCCTTTGGGGGAACATACTGCTCTCCTGTGTGTTCCCATTATCTTTGAATGTCATCAGACGTCATAGCAAAACTAATAAAGTTATCATCCTAGACACTGGTTCTGGTTCCTCCCATAGAAAGAGTGGGTCAGATCGAGCCACCACTTCATCAAGCAAACGGAGTCCCTGGATAAGAGGTGGCAGGTGCCCCAGTGGTAGAAGCTCAGGCTCTGGCACCAGGCTGCCCAGGTTTGAATCCCCTGCCTCTGTCACTGACCAGCTTCGGGAAGCTCCTTAACCTCACAGACTCTCTGTCTCTCCATCAGTGTAGTGGGGATAACAACGGCGCCAGCCCCAGAGGGTTCTGGTAACCACTGAATCAGTTACCATATGTAAGAAACGTGAATGGCGCTTGGCACATAGGAAACTTTATAAATTACTGTTTTTAATCATTGTTGTTTTCCTCCATCTCTTTACAAGTGAGCTGTGTTTCAACAGAGGCAGTCATAAAAACAAATTGGTGGTACTTACTTGAGGGTCTGAGCTTTAAAGTCAAATTTGGCTCTGGCAGGTCTCATCTAAACACAAGAAACAGTGACCATTTAAAATCACAATTTATGTACAATGAAAAGGACACATTTTCAAAAGTTTCCAGAAAGCAAAGCAGAAAAAGTCACTCTAACTAGTTCATTCTGGTGTAGAAATCTGGGCAAAATTCCACTTATCTGACCTCAGCAGAACACTAGAATGTTTGATCAACTATGTCATGCATGAGAATCTCCCTAAGGAAGCCAGATTTGGGGAAGAGATGCTTTGAAAAGTCCCAAAGCTGCAGCACTATTTCCCCAAAGCTGACCATGGCTATTAAAAACAACACACACACACCAGTCCCAGACATTCCTACTCTTTGGAGGACATCTTCTATTCGCCTGACTTAAATTATGATTGGCAAGCGGACGAAACCCTCGTTCACCTCTCACATGACGTCATCTTTGACTCCACAGATTTCTCACGGCCTGTGAGATCATCCCAAAAACCAGACAAAGCGAGCCCTGAGTTCATGCTCTTTCTCCAAAGCTTCCCTTCCTTTTGGGTAGCCCTCTCCTTCCGGACCCCAGACCTGGAAGTCCTCCGCACACTCCAGTTCCTCAGGTCTGTCACTCAGTCACACCAACCCTCCCTCCAGAACCTTCCACAAACGCACTCAGGTCTGACCTCTAGCTCCTACACTCACAAAGCTTCCTTTGACTATGTGTTCTCTTTACTTTCATCTACTGTCACTCAGGAGCACAAATAACATTCCTCAAATACTTCCGTCCATCACTTCCTTGCTTTGAAGTCGGCTGAAGCGCTCAAGTATCCCTCGGATCAAATCTGAATTCCTGATAAGGGTTAAGGGCTTTGGGTAATTTCTCCCCAATTTCACATACTTTCTCTTCAATAATCGAGGACAAAGTGGAGAGGAAAAATGTGAGACTCGGTGAGAAAAAAAACTGGTATTTAAATGCTCTCTCAAGCTTAGTTTTAGGTCTTAAACCCATCAGTGATATGTCTCCTATTTGCAGGCTCCTCAAGCTGGATCTTGTAGGGATTTTCTTAAGGATGGTGAATTTCCCACAGGAATTTCTTTTTGCATTTTCACGTTGATGTTTTGCCTCTATCTATCTGTTCACATATATATTAGAGGCCAACTGAATGTCTACTTTACAATCCATGCCACCCAATTTCAATGCCTGCATTTGAGTCTGTGACCAAAGAGCACAGTTTAGTAGTTGTATGGGAATAAGAAAAGAACGGTTGTGGACTTAACGATAAATGACAAGTTCACAAGAGAAGGCCAGATAACCAACACTGTAAGATGAAAATTTCACAGTGATTCCAATTAAAAAAGAAAAAAAGAAAAAAAAAAAAAGAGATAGTCATTACCCAAGGATAGCCAGCTGTAGACCTGTGGGAACTTTATGAAACGTATACCAAAGAGCACCAGATTCACACTTTTAGTGGCAACTGAGTTTAGGCAGAGGGATATCATTAATTAAGTTTTATAAGTGTGTAATTAACTACTTAATCTGTAAATTGGCTTAGGCCAATACTGGGGATTGGTGAAAACAAATTTATTTCCACTAAACAGAAGCCATACGTTACTCAAAGTTCAGAAAAACACTGATTTCATGGGGCTGTTAAGACATATTAGGAGTCTTCATTGCCTATGCAAAGCAGCATCTCCCTCTTCACCTGCCTCTGCCTCCCTGAGGCCCCATCCGTCTACCCCTCCCCTGGCTCCCACAGGACTGTGTCACCTGTCATAGCAGAGACGACAGTCATGTGGGTGCCCCCCCCCCCACTAGACTCCCAGCTGCCCAAGGGCACAGTCTGGGTCCTGTTTCCACTTCCATATGGGGCCTCGCCCAGAGCTAGCGGTCACCCACATTCTACTCAGTGGGGATGGAATACATCTCCACAGCCCTGTGCACCTGGGACTTGTTGGTCTCTGTTCTCCCACACCTGTCAGTCAACGTCCGGGGCAGTGATTCTCAAAGTGGGGTCTCTAAACGGGCATCATCGTCACCTGGGAACTGGTTAGAAAGGCCATCCTTGGGCCCCACCCCACAATTAGAACATCTGTGGATGCGGCCCAGCAATCTGTATTTTAACAAGCCCCTGGGACATTGTGATGACCGCTTGAGTTTGAGAATCACTCTCCGGAAGGGAGACGAGGTGGGTTAGGCAGTTTGCCTGCCTCTCTCCAAGGCTGTTCTGCCCCAGCTGCATTTCTGTGCACACGTATTACCCATCCATGTATCTATGTAGCCCTGTGCCTTGTGTGTTCCCCTCTTCCCCATCACTAGCAAGCGGGTAGGCCTGCGAATGAGGAGAATCCATCAACAGAGCCTTCAGAGTAGGGGGCTTCTGAGGAGCCAAAGGCTGAGGGCTGGGTCTGCCTTTCCCTTGTATCGGAGTTAGCACCTGCTCACTTCTGCCTCTTCTCATCACGTTTCCTTTCTCTCCATCACCTTAGAGTATCCTTCCCCGTCCCTGCTTTTCTTTCATTCTGGTTCTCTTTCCTCTCTTTGTCACAGAAAGCTTCCATTTCTTTAAAAACAAAACAAAAAACCATTTGATGAGAATAGCCAGTGCCTCCGTCACTCAAACATGGAAACATGAATATTCATCTGTTACAGTGAAAGATTTATAAACCTGTCCATGCTTTCATGTCACTCCCCCAGCTTCCTCTGAAGCCTCAGACACACACACTTCCCCAAAAGGAGCTAATCCTTAGGGGACCCCGGGGGCCACACAGCAAAACACATTGTGAGGCAAACAGCAGCATCTAGCCGGGGTAAGAATTTCAACATGTCAGCCTTTGTGCAGGAGGCCAAGGCCTGGATAAAATCGCTTCAAAGATCTGTGCTTTCTTCCTGCCTTTTATAATATTAAGCCTTGTAATCTCAGCCAAGAAACGTCAAAATTAAGGGAACAAATGAAACGTCTCTCAGAGAGCTCTCTTACCCTCCGTGGGCTTATCCTAACCCCAAAACTCCTTGGGTTTCGAAAGTCTTCAGTGAGGCTTAGCACTGATAAACACCTTATTCAATTAATTCATCATTTGATACCGAGCAGCAATAATATTCTCTGATATTTGGGGACCTGGGCAAACGGCGTAAACAATGCATTGCTCGCTAACTTTTATAACAAGCTTCATGAAACCGCCTCTTCAAAGAAGAATCTTCTAATCGCTCGCACGACAGTTACTAACGCGTGCGGACTGAGGTGCAAGGCTTCTAGGTGGGCGCGCAGGCAGCACAGTGTCACCGTACAATGCAGGATGTGGGGGGCTGGAGTCACGATGGCAGCCGATGCTCTAGGCATGCATGGGGTGGGGGGTACGCCAGCAGATCCCGGGCCCACAGCCAGGCATGCTTGAACATACATAGCACAGGACATGATGGGACTCGCGTCCGTGACCAGCCACAGAGGAGCTGAAGCGAGCCTACGGAAGCCGGGGTGACAGATGCCATCTGGAGAACTAACTCGGCCTACGGAGGGCAGTGCTGAGGGGAGGCGCGGGCATTGCTTTGGGTCAAGCAGCAGACGGAGGCAACCAAAACAGACCTCTGACCCAGATTTCCTTTTGGCCGTATCGTCTATATTGAGGAGGTCCCCAAAGCGCTCATTAGTGATAAACTGATGGTGCGTCGGGATGACGCCCGTGTGGCGACGAGCTGCGATATCGGCCTCTTCTTGCTCACGCTTAAGTCGTCTCTGGTCCGCTAAAAGTTTCTGCCATGAAATTGCATAAAAGGGGCAGTAAATCATCCGGTGCAGGGTGTTGGAAAACTGCCAGCGCAACAACTAAGAAGCAAGGGGCTGGGTAAATAGTGGGGACACGTAGGGGGGTTGGCGTGGGAGGGGCTTCGTGGCCACAACTCCTGCGTCCCCCTGTAGCAGCATCCCACACGTTCTGCGGAGGAGGGAGACCACACCACGCAGGGGACCCCAGGGGACCCCTGGGCCACGGGGGAAGGATGAATTCCAGACAGTTACATTGTCCAGAAAACTACCTCCTGGCTCAGCCAAGAGCCTCCTGATCCCAGTACATGGCCCCAAAATCCAGGCCCTCCGGGGGTGGGAGCCAGTGGGGGCTGGAGGCCGTAATCTGGAGCATCTACAGGCCTGCTGGGCTGGACGTGGGGGGCTGGGAGAGCTCCCCTCACCTCACTTAGGCGGTGGGGATTTCCCAGTGTCTTCCCATGGTGGGACCAGGGATAGCTGATTCCTCCCACCGGGATCTGAGCTCTGACTATGCAGGAGCTATGGAACTAGGTCATTTTTTGTACTTCCGAGGTCTGTTACTCTGATATGCTCCAGAGCAGAGCCACCCATTTCAGAAACTACGCACCCCTTCTCCTAGGCTGGCCAACCCCTCCCCTGAGCACAATGTTTGGGGGCCTTGGCACATGCATCAAAAGCTACTTACTTGACTGACAGACATCATCAATTACTTGCTTACTGTACCTTTTACACAACTACCTCATTAGGTGAAATGAGGCTGAGTGTAAAGGACTGATGTAGAATAGAAATATAAAAGATAAACTAGGAATAAAAATACCTCAGTTTAGAAGAATTATGCTCTCCTAAGTTAAGGAAATAGTCATCTACTTCTATTCTTAAAGACTTCTTTTTCTCCTTCTATTTTTAAAGGCTGTTTCAAATAATTAAACAATGTTGCATTTTACCAAATGTCCTTATGTCCTAGTAAAGTGACCCTATGGAACAGAATTTTAATGTGCTTTCTTATTCTATACCGATCATTACATTCCTGGGGTTACCATTCCTTGTAGAAAAGCAGTAATGAGGACTGGTAATTCTTAGTGTTTTCAATAAGGCATTTGTCTTCTTCCAGCAATTTAATGCCTCACGTGACACCCAGCCCCAAAGGATGGGGGGGCCTGATTTTTCCCATCTTTCACCAGGGACTTTGAATAATCAAGAAACCACTTCTCAAATGGCTGTGGATGTCAAGGGCTCAGGCAAGCTGTCGTAAAGACTACCTGAGGAAAGACATGAGACGGTGCTTCGCAAAGCCCAACACCGCTGAAAGGGCACTGGCCCAGGAATGTGGAGCCCTGGTTTCTAGCTGTTTCTAGCTGACACCAGAGGGTGTAAGTTAATTTGCTGTGTCACCTCCGGCAAGTCACTACTCCCTGGAGTCCTTTCCTGGCTTATACAATGGGCTTGGCTACTAATGTCCCTTCCAGAACTGACATATTCTCATTTTCTGAAATGCCACGATCATCAGTAATTCATAATTTTTGCAAAGAAAGCTGCCAGGACTGACCCTCCATTAGCTGGAAGTGTGAGCTGTTTCTGTAGCAGTGGGGAGGGACTGCTGTTGGAGGCTCCCGTGGCCCCCCGTGCTTGGGCCACTGTTACATCAGATCAGTGGAAGTGGACAGCGAAGGAAGTGGACCCAGTGCCTGGATCAGACCTCAGCAAATCCACCGTCCCCACAGTTTGATGACAGAAGCCAAATGCCATGAATAAAGACACAACATTTTTAAGGATCTGGGAGCCAGTGTTATTCAGGGAACAAGCTGCTCCCCTTCTGAACACACCTTGTAATATAGCAACTGCTAAGCCAATAAGTAAAATCTGCCTCCCATGGGGTAGGCAGGATTCTAGCACAGCGCCTTCCACACTGGATACTAGTGTTTGTACTAATAACATGAATGTCATCTTCCTCTACCTTACATAGGTGGGAACCTTGTATCCTAGGGACGGCGACTAGAAATGAAATGGTCTGTGGCCTGATGGACACTCACTGTGTTTGTCACCTGTTCTTATAAATAAGTCTGCACATTTCACGCTTCCTTCCTTCTTTACCCGGATAGATACAGTTTTAATGAATACTGTCTGTCTTGTGCCTGCATGGGGGGCAGAGCTACGGTCTTTTCGTCTCAGCATCCGTAACTATTATCATCCAGCCCCATTCAAGGTCAGCCTTACCCTAAATCCTTAAGGAAAATCCACCTCAACTTGGAAACCGTTCAACAATACGGAACGTAGGAAAGGGGCTTCAGACTTTATGGGGAAAGGGATAGAGCTGCATACACATGGTCAAAACAACTGTTCCACCTCCTAACTTGATATGGGAAAATGGTCATTGGAGCTGGTTTGATCTATAGGACCCTTCCTGCTAAGAATGCAAAGTCCAGAAAGCATGCCTCAAAACACCACTATATCACAACAGAAGCTGGTGATTTTGCCCCTTTAGCTGATAAGCACAATGGCCTCTTCTGAAGTCCCAAGAGAACACGTGTACTCCTTCCCCAGGCATTCCATTGCCGTGTGGACATTTCAGCCATGGCTAGAAGAGGTGCGTTCCCTGAAGTTCTGGTGGGGGTTTCCCAGGATCTAGGGGGGTAGCTCTTCTTCTGAGTTAAAGACAACTTCTTCAAATTGTTTTATAAAATGTATTACAGTGGTCATTATGTATTATTTTTTAGTTTCCTTTCTCCTGCTGCATACTCCCCAAAAGGAATTGTGCTTTGTGCCAACAGAGGGGTGGGCAGGACTGGGGAAATATGTGGGTGGGTTTCCCTAGAGAGTAAGAAGGCAGGGATGGGGAAGGGGTGAGCAAGTGGCACCAACTCTGGCTCCCCCTGCATGGAGCTGAAGGCATTGGCGAACCTCCCCTGCGGGGACACTAGTGGGATTTGGCACTTAGAACCTATTGCCTGTGGGGAAATCGGTCCTAGAGAGCTGATGCCACATAAAAAGCCATTTGTGAAGACACCAATCTTTGCTTCCCACTGCTAGGTCATGTCACCTCCCTGACCGATGTCTAGAATGTTGGCTTCCTTCATTTTTTTTTAATCTGCCTACGAGCTAAGAGATTTTCAAGATGCCATTTACCTCTTTATCATCATGACGCCTCCGAATAAATTCTTCCGTGGATTCCAAATAATCAGCAGGTATAAAATGCCTTGGTGACTCCGAATCTTCAAAGCAACAAAGCAGAATTAAAACACGCCAGGATTTAGCAGGAAACCAGATTGGGATTAAGATTTCACCCTTCAGCCATTATCCTTACATTCACAGGCGTGGATTATAGACCAACACTCAAATTCTGAAGAAGAACCAAATCCCCCCCCACCCTGCCCCGCCAACACCTTTTTGGATTTACTTGTAAGCCAGTTGAATACAAAGAAAACTAATCAGAAGGCAACAGGTGAGCGGAGAGAGGACCTTCTGTGAAAAGTGTCCCTCCTAAGAGGCGTGCAGGATCTCACAGGGACACACCGTACACTCACACACACACAGGGCCAGTGGGAGAGGCTGCCTCTCAAAAAACCACGGGGTGACTGAGGATTGGCGTGAACTCCAAGGGGTTCGAGAGTTCACATGGACGAATTTCTCAGCTGAGCTAAACGGCCAATTTTTCTTTCGAAACAGAGTTTGGTGGTTAGTCTAAATGACATGGGGGGGCTTTGTTTTTAAAGAAGTGCAGCCACTACGAGCCATGATTAATTGCCAAGCAAAACAAACAGAAAACAAAGGACAGACCAGAAAATGAGCACCAAGGGCACACGGGAAGAGGGGACAGAGCAAGCAAGGTGGAAAGACGGGTGAGGTGAGACCGGGCAAATACACAAATGCCACCTCCGAGGGATGTTCCCAGTTCACTGTGTGGGTTGTTGTTCCTGTCCAGGCCGGGGTCTGAGTACGGCACGGAGTTGCCATTATGAAAGGCCCTCAGGCAGTCATCTGGGACTGCGGGTCTCCCCTGAGGGGGCTCCGAGATCCGGCCCAGCCTCGCCATGGTGTGTCGGGAAGACAGGCGTTTGGGAACCGAGGGCTTCCCCCCGGAGGGGGTCTCATCCTGCTGGGGCTGGCTGGGGAGGTCTGGCTTCTGGCCGGCCTGAGGAGCTGAGAAGTCACCAGGGGGAGGCTGCCTAGGGTGGGACTGGAGGGGCTTTTTCAATCGGAAAGGGAGGGGGCTCATTAGGTAGATGTTCCTGAGGAGCGTGCTCCTGTCCCCTCTGAGATCTGGGCGCCAGTCGGACTGTCTGGAGGTCTGCTGCTGCTCGTGCTTTCGGATGGTGGTGAAGCGGGTGTACGAGGCCGGGCAGGTGCCCTTGCACTTGGTGAGGCGGTGCTTGGGAAAGTCTCCGTGGACACTGCTGCTGCTGCCCTCTCTGCTGTCGCTGGAGATGTTTGAACAGTGGTCGAGCTCGTCGGAGCAGGCAGAGAGGGGCTCAGAAGGTGTAAGGCCCCTGAAGCCCAAGGGGGGCTCGACCATGTTGCTGCATGTTGGGGTGGCATAGAGCCCCCCCGGGTTCATCCCGTCCATCTCCCGGGGTCGCAGCTTGGTCGACTCCAGGAGGGATTCAGCCGAACGGGCTGAGGTCAGGCCACTCCGGGACAGCACAGGCGTGGGGGACTTGCTTAGCCTCCCGGACAGGTCCAGGGACGGCATGGACCTCGACCGCTGAATCAGCTGCTCAAATGCCGTGATGCGGGAGGAGACAGTGTGCTTGGGGATGTGTTCCGAGCCCTCCTGGCTAGAGCCCAGCTCACCCCTGGCCAATGCCAGGCTGCTCCTTTCGAAGTGGGAGGCAAGGTCTCGCACGCTTGAGGAGGAGATGGAGCCCAGGAAGAGACCGGCTCGGTTGATCTGGTGCATGTCCCGGTATAACATGGTGAACTGCATCCCGGCCTTTCTGGAGAGAGGGCAGGGCCTCCTGGTGCCGGTGCCGTATTCCTGGAGGCTCACGGTGCTGCTCGACTTGCTGTCCCAGTCCCGCCGGGAGCGCGTGAGCAGGTTCTCGATGCTCCCCCCCACTCGGAGGGGGAGACCTCTTTTGGAATCATTCAGAGACAGTGAAACACAAAGGTTCTCACAGCTCTGAGCCTTTTCTGCCGGCAATAAGACACTCTTCTGTTCCTGTAAAAGAGCGCTGGGAGCGGAGAGCCTGGGTTTGAATTTGGAGGGAAGGATTTCCGAAATGCAGGCCTTTGCAGCGGACAGGGGTTTCTTGTGCTTACACATGGGGCCTAATGCATTGCTAGAGCTAACCGTTCGGCTAGGAACTGAAGATGAAGAAATCATGTGAGCATTCCCACCTTTACGATCCACTGGAAAGCATGCAGAATAAAATAAACAGACCCATTAGGTTAAAGCTGAAAGCTGCTTAAAAAAAATGAAATAAAAATAAAAGGGAGAGGTTACATGCTCATTTGTCTTAAGGGTTTTTTGTTTTGTTTTGTTTTGTATTTTAATTTCCAGTTGATGTCCGGAAGCAAAATAATCTGTGCTGCAAAGCAGGTGCAAAGATGCAACGAAAAATGGCCACCCTGCTGTGAGTTACGGACGGCTAAGGCTCAGCTACGTTCTAAGAAGAGGGAATCAGAACAAAAAAGAGAGAGAGATGCTTTAGGGAGAGCAAGGTCGGGGTTCAAAGGAAGGGAAACTAATACCAGAAAGAAAAATGGCCGGTGGAAAACTGGAGGAGGGGGCTCAGACGGCTCAGAGGCCTGGAGATGGACCTGCACAAGGCAAAGGATATCCCAGGAGCTGGAAGTCACCCGCTGCCGACACCCCGACACCGGGCCTGGATGGGCGAGAGGCATCTGGATGACCGTGTGGCCGGGCCAGAGCCCCGCAGGCTTCACCCAGTTACCTTTAGTGGAGGCTGAGCTGGAGGGTCGCTTGAGCCCACTCAGGCCCTGGAGAGGGATGTCTCCACCTTCCAAGACGCTCTTATAAATCTGCCTCTCATTCTCCAAGCTAGCGAGATCCCCGGGAGCCCCATCTGATTCCTTCTTCACTGCGTGGAAGTTGGAAGAATAGATACTGAAGACAATGTGATGTTAAAAGAGGGAAGAGAGAACAAGAAAGAACGGGACTTAGAATGTTTGACATTTTTCTCGAAAGCACATTACCACCCGAGGACAAACAGCACCCTTTTTGGGATCCTAGTCAAGTGCCGTCCTTTCTAAAGAGTGTTCTTATTAACTGGAGTTCTTTGGACAAGACAAGCCCAAGGGTGGCCCCAAATGCTCAGGAATCTGCCCAAACAGCAAAAGTGCTGAGAAGACCGCATTTGTGCTTTAAAAGAGGACCTCTGAGAAAGTCTGCCTGGGGAGGTGGGTGGGGTTGCTGCTGGGGGCCCAGCGGGTGCACACGAGATGGTGCAGCCGAGGACATGAGGGGAGCCCCTGACAGGTCGCCAGCCAGAGCTGGCGACTTCAAGGTCACCACCTGGATTATTTTTCTGGGTTATTCTTCACAAGCACTTTGGCTGACAGAGCACTGAAGTCAACCATTTTCCTGGGTCTCCGGGAAAATCAGCCCCTAAGTGAAAGTGGAACCTGGGATACTATACGCCGTTACCATCCCCACCACAGGTTACACCAGCTTCTTTCAAATTTGTAGTCAGAACCTTATGACAGGAATTGGAGTATAAACTATGACTCCTTTACCTTTCATTTATTTTTATCTTGTTGAAATTCTAGATATTTTTGCAAGTTACCACAAATCGTTTCAGGAATGAGGTGGGGCACAGAAAAAATTAAGAGCACTTACTCACTGAGCCCCTCCCTTCCCCTAATCCCAGTTTTCTAGGCCCTCACCCCGGGCACACAGAGACACACACTCAGGTACGTGAACAACCGACCTCCTTCCCACAGAAGTACTCAGGCCTCTGCTCGGCTGCTTTTCAGCCCTACTGAATTTGGTTTACTGGTATCAATGCAGACTTTTTTTTTTTTTTTTTTTTTTTTTTTTAAAGCTCTGGAGATGCAAACAGCTTGATAGAATTTCTCTACCCCAATATTTTATGATGTGTATTTTATCAAGTGTACAGAAAAACTTAAGTAATTATAACAGTGAACCCCCACATATTCTGGGCCCCCAGATTCAACACAGAACATGGGGCTGCCTTTGCGGCATGACCCATCTATCCATCTCTCTCCCTCTCCCCATCCTTCAACGATGGGATTATTCCCCCATTTCACACAGCCTCTCCATCCCCACAGTCATAGACAATGGCAACAACAATTTTACACAACCGTCTGAGATATCCTATGTGGGAGGCTGGGCGATCCTTCTGTCTTTAATCCTCACAAACAATCCTACTTGCCCCATTTTTGGTCGAGGGAAGGAGGCACCGAGAGATCCAGACCCTTGCTGAAGCAGGCACTGTCTGTGCAGCGGCAGAGCCCGGTCTTGCACGGCACCCTCGACTGAACATCTCCCCACAGATAAGGTGGCAGCGTGTTCCCAGAGCCCAGGCCTGCACACCACAGGAGGCCTAAGGATGCTGGAGCTCCAAAGGTCACTTCCAGGTATCCCCTGCGGTGAACGTACCCCAGGGACAAGAGGCCCCAGAGCCCAGGAGTCAGGAATGGAGAGGAGAAGCCAGTGGTAGAATGGGCAGTGGGTCCACCCCAGGATAGGAACATTCCCTGAGTAACAGCACTGCTCCCTACCCCCTTCCCACATGCTGCCGCGGCCTCCCAGGGCTTTGCATGCTCTACTTCAGGGCACTGACTGCCTGGGGGCTCGGGGTTCCTCCAGGTCCCTTCTCCTCATTCTCTCTGGCTGATGTCAGGGGATCAAATGCTTTTCTCCTCTTCTCAGCCTAGACAGAAGAACATGACTGAAAACTTAAGGGGAAAGAAAACCTACTCTCAAAGCTGAGACCACAAAAGCGTGTGAATGAATGTGGAGTCCGCAGAGTAGCCTCCAGGGTGTGTCTCAGAGGGGAAAACCCTCTGGAAGAGGTGGCATGATGGGGCAAGACTCCTTCCCCCAGGCCGTGCCCTCATTTGCAGGGGCCCACCAGAGGGCCCACACGTACATCCAATAAATATTTGTTGAATGAATACGAGGTCACATTTTCTGAAAGTAAAGTGGGCATACATGATCTGATTAAGGAAATGCTTTGATTCCTGAAATGTGTTTAGAAATTCTTCCCCAAGAATTTCATCATATTCACTTAGGCTCCTCATGTCGGTGACTCTAGAACCCTCAGAACCGTGGGCACAGTGAGACTGCAGGGACTTAGCATGGCCCCGGCCTAGGTTAGCTGGCCTTACTGGGGCCCTGGCCCCTGCCCAGGGGTGTCCACTCCCACCCTGGGGACAGAGGCGAGGCTTTGCCAGGCTCAGAGGCCTCAGGACAACGGCTGCCACCTACACAGCTTTTGCTCTCCTGCTTCTACCTACAGGGTGCTTGAAGATGTCCCCCCAATCATCTGATCGATAAAGGCATCAACTCCATCCAGAGGGCAGGAAGACCCTTAAAGGTGACTTGCAAGATTGTGGCACTCTATGCCAACTCCCATCAATGTAAGCACCTCTAAACTGACTAACTTCTAAGTTTTTAATTAAAAATAAATCTGCCCCTTATCTCAGTTTCTCTTTCAGAGCCTTCCCTCGCTTTGGTTCCATTTTCTGGTTTTGTCGCTCAATTTAACTCCATTGCTCCTTTTTATACAATCTCAACCTCTAAAAGAAAACGTACAGGTAGCCTTGCCAACAGTTGTGGTGAGGGGACAGTCTCTTGGGCCCTGCTGGCCTTGGTTTGTGGTCACCAGACCTCCCTCAGCATGGGGGAGGGGCTGCCAGAGGCTTCTATCCTGCTGTCCTTTGAATTGCCTCAGCCTTGATCAGAATGTCCACGCTGGTCTTCTCTGGTTCTGCCTAACTTCATTTGGTCCTGACTCTCGTGGTACCCAGCTGCCAGACTTCACACCTCCCCTACTTTACCCCTTGTCAGAAATCCCCTCCTGCCCTCAGCCACTCCACTCTCTGGCTTTATTCTATCCCTTATCACCATTTCGTCCTGCTTCCCCACCAGAACGACAAAGCAGCAACTCAGGAAACCCCTCAGAATGGATTTGCTGTAGCTAATTGTTTTCTTTCTGATACCGAAGCCAATATGCTTTTTCCAGATGGGCAACACTTCCCAACTGAGGCCCTCCTTGGTTAAAAACACATCTACAAATTCTGGAACAACGTTTTCAAATGTATCCTCGCCATCATATCTTCTAGCGTTGGAAAGACATACAACATTTGTCCTGTTGTACCAAAGGGACACTGAGGGCCTGAGTGTTGAAGGCAAGTGCCAAAGGTCTCACAATTGCTGGGTCTCTGCTGTGCCCAAATAGATCAAATGAGATGAGAAAAGCAGCGGGGCTGATGAGAAAGGCCCAATCAGCATTGGCAGCTGCCAATCCCATCACAGAACAGCCAAGTTCAGCTCTCAGCAGCCTGGGCGAGCCAGTTTCCACTTCAAAGACAGCAGGCCGGACAACTCATCCTCTGGCTAAGATGCAAAGGGGGCTGAGTTTCAAGGGGATTCAGCAACAACATACTTGCTGGAGGAGTAAAGTGAGAGAATGGAGTGATTCTCTTAGGGCCAACAGTTTGCAACCCTGTGACCAGGTGGGCTCAGGGGGACTCCAGCCTGACTCCAACAAGCAATGAGCATCAGCTAAGGATAACCCACTCTGTTCGAAAACTTGGAAACAATCTGTTTCTCAGGTTCTTTCATCTGTAAAACCAACAGGCATGGTAAGACCGTCCAACAAATCCACCTTCAAATCTGTTATCATATGCGCCTTCCTCCTGAGCTCCAGAGCTGTACATTCAGCTGCCTTCTAGGAACCTCCTCGTGGGTATATTCCTCAGGCATCTTAAACCCCACGTGCCCCAAACCAAACCCAGCTCTGTTCTTGTCTCCCATGGCCCAAGCCAGAAAGCCCACGGAATCAACCCCTTTCTCCTCCTCCTAGCTCCCCAAACCTAACCAGTCACCAAGTACGGCTTACTCCCTGTCCTGACACAACGCACATCAGCCCCTTCCCTCGACCTCCCCGGCCACCACCCCACCACTGCTCACCTACGTCTCTGTAGTAAGCACACCCTCACTCTTGCCTCTTCAGCCCTGACTCCCTCCAGTCATCTCTGCAAATCACTGCCCATGATAATTTCTATAAAAGATATTATGGGGTCATTCCACTGCTCATTTTAGTCACTCCAATATTAATTGAGCACCTATTAAGTATGAATCACTCTCCTATGTAGAGCTTCAACAGGGAATACAACAGACAAAAAATTCCAGCCTCGTGGAATTTATTGTCCAAAACCATTTGTTTTCAGCAAGGAAAAAAAAAAAAGTAACTGCTTTAAACTGTGGCTTTGGGGGAAAGGAGTCTAGGAAATCTGGGGAGGGCGGTTTCCTCTTTAGCCTTTGTACTGCAGGAAGAAAATGATCTTTTAGATTTATAATACGTGATTGTCGTTCCCTCTCTCCTGTGTCCTGTCGCGGCGTTTACCACACCGGCTTCTATCCGTGATTTACAAGTCTGTGTCCCCATTACACTCTGAGCCTCTTGAGGGCAGGCGGTTTACGTTACCAATCTTTGCACGCCTGGTGCCTACCACTGCTTTTCAATAAATAATAGAATAAATGATTCTGTAAAGTTGAATGCTCGCATGTAGATTTCTGAGAAATGAAAATCACATTTTCAAGGCTCAAGGTAGTCTCTAATGTTTCATTTAGTTCTTCAGGTAATGATTTGTGTTTTGATCTCAGGTTAAGAGAAAGGGTTGGTTTTGGTTTTGGGGTTTTTTGTTTTTTTTTTTTTTTGGAAAAAAGCTTGTTCTTGAGCACCACCTGCTGGCCAAATAGAGGAAAGCTCTTTGGTTAGGCAAAAAAAAAAAAAGAAATAACTGAGTGGTAATCCATGCTGAAATGCCAACGATGAGAATGAGTAGTCTTCAGGACTGATTTAAGATCTGATAACTCTAGAGAAATAAAATACAAAATTGGATACTGTTATTTCAAGCATTAAAAAAATAATTTTTGAGAATAAGGACTGGTAGTTCTACTGGGATATTGGGGACTATGGGTAGATTTCTTCCTCTCTATACCCATATTCTTTTAACACAGTGATAATGTAATCATACTAATTAATAAAATTCCAAAACTGCAATTCTGCCCAAGATATGAACACAACTTCTTCAGTGACCAGTTTTTTTTTTTTTTTTTTTTAAATCCCAATGTTTTTGAATGTGGGGCATCCTGTGCCTTCTCCTTCAATCCTTGGGGTAAGTCCAGTCTGGCCAATGTTTCTTTCAACACATCCTCCCCAACCATCCAGCGAGAGGGGCCAGATCCTGGCTGCAAATGCCACCCTCATTGCTAAGTGCGCTGGATGCTAGTTAATTAAGACTCACAAGCACATTCATTGATTCCGCAAACATTTGCTGTGCACCTCCCTGGGTGTCAGGCTTCCCACCAATTCTAAACAAGGAAAAAAACCTTACTTCCTCGTTCGAACAAAATGGAAGAAAACCCCGCCTGCCTTACTGAAAAATCCCCAAGTGGAAGACTAGCAGGAGGATAAAACTCATCTATTCCTGCCAAGTGGTTCATGAGAGCCAGGCTATGACTGAAACACAGAGGTCTTTGGAGATTTCAATGACACAAATAAGAGCGCTTGATAAATTAACCCAGCAAATATCTTCAGGTCCACAAATACTTAGAATTTTCTGAAAGCAATTTGCTCTTTGAAGCAGTTTGCCTCAGGTCCTTCGATCCTGCTCACACAGTATTACACAGTTACTGACGTTGTTTTTTTCTTTTAAGCCCTCAAGACCGGTCAACTGCGGCATGTTTTCTGTGAATTTCCTGCCTCATTCTGAATCAGGATAAGCAAACGAGAGCTTATCACTAACACCATCCCCTGGCCTAGAACTTCATTTTTCCTCCTTCAGCTATGGCTTTATCAGGTGTCAGCGGGGGGAATCACAGGCATCACACTGCCTTTATGTACCTGTTTCCTCACCTGTAAGATGGGGACCAAACACAATGCTCCGTCCTGGAATGGTGAAAGGACTAAATGAGGGAACGTAGTAGCTACGACGCCAACCACAGGGCCTGGTGCATCGTAAACGTCCAGTAAATCACTAGGATTATTTCATTCAAGACCTGCGCTCCTAACTTTGACAGCCCGTGGGCGCTGCTTTCTCTTTGGAATACATTTATGATTTTCTTATTTATTTATTAACTTATCATATTGACTAATTACACCCTGAGGGCCCAAACCGGGAATACTTTCAATCCTTAGTGTCCTTCATTCACCACTTTGCCTTCTCATTTAGCAACATTTTTGGGGACGTGTGATTTGCTGTCCAAACTAGTAAGGGATGATACCTTGTGCCCCTATGATAATAGTAAGCATAGTGCCCCGGATCCAGTAAGAACTCACTAAGGGAATTGACTAAGGAATCCATTCAACCAGCTACCAGCAGCAGCCTTTCCTGTCCCACGCACTCTGGGAAGATGGGGAAAGGAAAAGGGGGTTGAGGGGGGAGACCAGGCAGAGGGATTAACATTGGGCCATCCTGAAAACAGGACTATAGGAGCAGGGAGAGACCTGGAGCGATCAGTGGGCAGTCAGGACTGTCCAGGTGACAAAAAAGGTGGCCTCGGGGGACAAGGAGAGTTTGCAGGGAGCTGTGGCCTTTGTCTGCAGGTAGCTTAAGGGCATCTGCTGCACTTCACTTCTGAAAGCACATCTCTAGGGACCTAGAGGACCTGTGACTTATCATCCTTGCAGCTGAAGGCACAGTTCAACTAGCTCCTTACAGACAGTGAGCCTCCGAGCCCAGAGTGGAGGGAGATCGGGAAAGGGTCCAGACACTAGATCTGAGCTTTGATGTTTGTCACACTGCTGGCCTGATGACTGACCCAACAGCAGGCACAAGACTTAATGCCTGGATTTGTCCCAAGATGGACTGTCCTCTCAGGCAGGTAACTTCCCTTCTAGCTGCTGTTCTAATATATCTTCTCAATTTCTTCTTATGCTGGGATAAATTGATCATAATCATTAACACACATATTTATAGAAAAAAAAATGAGGGTGCCTGGGTGGCTCAGTGGGTTAAAGCCTCTGCCTTCGGCTCAGGTCATGATCCCAGGGTCATGGGATGGAGCCCCGCATCCGCATGGGCTTTCTGCTCAGCAGGGAGCCTGCTTCCTCCTCTCTCTGCCTGCCTCTCTGCCTACTTGTGATCTGTCAAATAAATAAAATATTTAAAAAAAAAAAGAAAAATAAAAAGAAAAAAAATGAACAGAATGGATCTAGCTAGAGATTTGGTCACTGTGCTAAAAGAATTAAGATTTTTCCAATTTTCCACTGAAATAGCCTAATCCCAGCCGACTTTCAAATGAAACTCCTCCTGCTGAATGCATTCTTTGGCAAGGTACATAGGACATTCCCAAAGGACCACAACATTTGCCAAAAATTCCATAAACTCAGCATTCCAGTCAAGCCAGGCTTCTATTTGAAGAGGTGAAAACTGCTTGTTGTGGGTTTACCCAATCCCAATGTAACAGGAAACGCTTGTGCCTTTCCTCCTCATTGTACTTCTAAGAATGAGATATTAAATTGGGTACAGGGAGGCTCAGGGCCTACTTATATGAGTTCAGTGCTCGCTATGTACTGCGTAGGTAAGGGGCAGGGGACCGCATGGTGACGTTTTAGCTGGGATAATGGCTGCATGGCAAAATACTGAGAAAAGTCATCTGGCGCAGGGCTCTGGATGGTCTGGAGAGGGGGAAAGAGGCTGGCGGTTACTCTGCGAAGTGAGCAAAGTGTGCACATATCATCCAGGCAGAATCCTGATTGCTGCGAGGAAATAAATCCACACCTTTCAGCATCAGTCAAGTCAGCCCCCTCCTGGCCCCATCTTCCCCTGGGACAGGTACCAACCAAGGACCCAACCCCACCATCCCCCGACCTTTACACCCAGCGCAGCGTGTCTCAGTCACACATCCCATCCAAGAACCAGCCAACGAGGTGGGTTTGGACTCCCAACTCAAACTCACATTCTAAAGGTAAAGATGCCAGCACACGGAAAAGCTTCTCAAAGGTAATAGGAATCATGGCAAAAATGAATTTGGAGGAGGAGGAGAAAACAGAAGAAAAATAATTTGAAAATGATGATTAAACTGTTACTTATCACTGAAGCCACGAGATTGACACAAGTAAAGCACACTCGGATCCAAAACACAAGCCTCTTTCCATCTCTGACATTAATACATCAGGCCACGGACGGGGTGGCAACTTACTATCCAGGAGCTTCCGCAGAAATATCCGGGCTGGGGCTGACTGCCGAGCTCTGTAAATGCCAAAAAAAGAAAGAAAAGAAAAGAATGTAGATCATTTATTTTGTATCAGATGTTCCTAGTCAAGGGGGAAGAGAGCAGCCCCTTTCCTTTCCTGATGTAGCCAAGGACCTTTGGGAGATGGGCCCTTAGCTGGAAAGGGGTCTGTGCTGGAGGATTTCTGGGCCAGCAGGTGCTCTCTGGGTATAGTGGAAGATGGCCCCTAGCTTAGACTTATCTTTCATATAAATATAGATCCATGAGTGGATAGCCCACCATCTGGCCAACATGCATTAGTGACATGGACAACACCACCTTCAACAGCTCATCCCCAGTCCTTGGAGCCCCTGGCAAGCCCACCAGAGACTCCTTCATGCACCCCAGATGCCACATCAGGAGAGAGGGTCACCCGACACCTTAGGTACAGAAAATACAAAAATGCATTTGAAAAGACCACACTGTATTTAGATCATTTGTTCATCCCTGCAGATTTGGAATGCGGAAATGGGGAAATGCAGTTTCACAAAACCTAGGAGTAGGGGAGCATTTTATAAAATGACAGGCAATTATGCAAAAGAAAGAAAACCACCAAGAATTACATGCAGAGAAAACGTAATTAAGTAGTCTAAGGTTTCTGTTTTGTCTTGGAAGAAAAAAAAAAAGGTGAAGGGCTCAATATATTTTTTTAAAAAATAATGTGGTAGTTGAATCAATCAATGAATAAGTTAACTTTTAAAGATACTCCTATCACTAATAATAATCACTTCAAGGAAAAGACGCTATGTGGAGGAGATACCGGGGGAAAAGAGAGAAACAGTGGGAGAAAGAAAAGGAAGATTGTCCAAGAGGGAGGAAAGGACAGGAGGGGAAGCAATCTTTATCGGGGCTCACCCACCTGGTCCTCAACCTGCTGAACCACCTACCCTCAACCTGCTGGGTCCTCTCACTTTGGAGGGTGCCTCTGCCCCAGGATGAGGACTCTACCCTCCCCCACCCCCAGTTACCTGCCATTATTCCTCAGAAAAGGCAGCCCTCTTGCCCGCACTGATGTCTCCTGCCCATCTCCTACCTTAGGGACCTGTCCTAGTCTGGGTCTTCATCTTGGAAAACTTTTGTGTGACCCTGCAGAGTCCTTTAGGAATACCCCCCTCCCTTCCTTCCTTCCACAATTACATGTTTTCAACAGTGCTTGTACCCCTAGGGGATCCCCAGATGCTTCCCCACTCTAGCAACTCCTCACCCAGCAATCTCGAAGGATTTTAGAAATCTCCTGGTTATCAAACCCACTGACCTTTCCTTGGAGTCTACTTTTGGGGACCTCTCTGGAGCACAGGGTAGTTGTCATACTTTCTCTTCTTGTTCCACCACTCTGACCTGTTCACCTTCTGATCCTCTCTTTCTTCTGCTCCATGTCATCCAACATCCTAGGGGGTAGTTGCTGCTCTCCTCCTTCCTGCCCTTCAATCTTCCATCTGCTCCCAGGGCTTCAGCCATCTCTTCTCCACAAGTGACTCTAACTGACGTTGTAGGCCCCTTCCTCTCTTAGGAGACCTAGTCTTGTATTTCCAGCTGCCTACTGGATATGCCCTTGGTGATACCCACCCAACACTTCAAGAATGAATCACCTAAAACTAACTCCATCTTACCTTTGCATGGATTTTCTCCCCATCTTTCTTACATGACAGACTGATGCCCCCAATTCTTCCCACTTCCTGGCCAAAACCCTAGAGTTGTTTTTGTCCCTATTCCATCCCCAAATTCTTTGTTCTTCACACCAATTAGTTAAAATGTTCCATTCCAATTTCCTCTGTGAGCACTCTCACAGCCACCCCTTTCCCCCACTTCATGTTGATGCCACTGGAGTGTGGGCTCTCATTACTCCATGCCTGGACCACCACAGTAGGCTCCGTGCCCTCTGCACCTCCAACAGGAGGTTCTCCCTTCAACTCAGCCTCTCTTGTGAGGACACCAACCTCCCTAAAACAACACTTGAATCACATCATTGGGCTGTGGACAAAATCATCTCTTAACTGTGTGTTCTGAACCTCTATAATCCAGGGTCAACCCTCTTTCCCACCTACCACCCCCAATTTTCTATTACAGCTGATTCTACTTTACTCCTTCACATGCTAAACACGATCACTTCTCTGCTCTTCACGTGCCTCACATGGATGTCCCCATCTCTATCACTATTTCTACCACACTGCACTCATCCTTTAATGTCCCAGCCAACCCCCTGAGAAATTGTCCCTACTTTTCCACAAGATCACTCTTCTGCCTGGCACTCAGAGCCCATGCCATTCTTTAAGCTCTTTGCAGGCACTGCTGTGTACAGCTGCAGATCTTTTATTTAGGAGCGTGCCTAAACGGTCATGTTCCTGAAGGCAAAGTTCATTGTTTTTTTTTTTTTTTTTTTTTTTGTTTTTTTTTTGTGCTGATTTAGAGCCCCTCTCCACACATCCCATACCTATTAGCGACTAATGGGGAACATATAATTGAACCAATGTGAAAATGACTCAATCATGCATCAGACCCTTCTTTGTGCCCACCTTGCCCTGGGCAGAAGTCCAGGTACTGGAAACTGTCTCTAACCTCAGGGAAGCCTCAGTGAGTTCAGTAATTCTCCAGCTGTCTTCCATCTTTGCATGTGTTATAGAGCTGCTCTTATTAGACTACTTTGAAAAGAAACCCCTGATTCATTTTGTGACCTATAATCCTAGCACTCCTGTCTTACTCCAGAACATGTTAGGACTTACCTGCAGTTAGTTCTCACTCTTGAACTAGCTCAGACCTTCTATCCCACAGGGGCTACAGCTGGTTCCAGTCTCCACCTTGGCTGAAGCTGAGCACCCCCTTTCCCTGCCCCATGACCTATCTGCCTTGACTGTGGGCACTGTAGCTCACCTTTGTGCCTCCCCCAAGTTCTGAAGAGGGGTCTGGATTCTCAAACCCCAACTTTCCTCATCTGCCTGCAGTTCCTAAGTGTCTGACTTTATCTCAGCCCACCCTGGCTGCTGCCATAACCCCCTGGGTTCTTCACTCCTTCCTTGGCTTGATGGTCCAGCACCCAAGAGTTTTCAGAAGCTGAGTCACTCATGCTGGCGGTCTGACCCTCCTTGTCTTGTTCTGCTTAAATAGAACACAATCTATAGTATTTTCCACTCCTCCTGCCATAGTCTGTGGACCTTCCTAGCCTCTTCAGCAGTGCCTGCCTGTCTTCTTTATTTTCTGTAAAGATACCGTTTCCTTCTAAGAGCCTTTCGTTTTGTCAGGGAGCCCTGGGGGCGGTTCTCCAAATACTTGGTATTTTTCTTCCCCTTGGGAACCTGTTTTCCTTGGACTCTCTCTATGACATAGTCCTCAATAAACCACATTTTGACATAGCCCCCTTTAAAAATGTCAATACAGGTTGAGTTTCAAATGCTTGTTTGTGGCCAGGCTGTCTGGTCTCTGGAGCATGTTTTTTCATTGAGAAATTTCTGATCTTCCAAGTGACAAATACAACTACTTTGTCAGTGCCATGCACATAACAGGCACTCAAATCACCACCACTGTTTTTCTGAAAATGATCTCTGAGGTTGGTATCTCCCAGGGATTAAAAAAAAAGAAAAAGAAAAAGAAAAGTGAATCTCCCCCCAAAATGGCTCCTGGAAAATTTGAAGAAGATATATGGGGGCAAAGGATGGAAAGTTATAAGGGTCACCTCCTGAGAGGAAAAGAAAGAAAATGACAAGGGAGTGATGTCGTTTAAATCACCAGCCACCCTGAAAATATTTGAAAAACGCCCTTTAAGGAAGATGCCAAGCTCAAAAGAAATTCAAGCAAAAATTAGGTTGGCGGGGGGAGGGGAGAAGAATCGAAAGCAGGAGTCTGAAAGCCATGCAGTTTCTAAAGACCCAGCATAAGCATTCATTGCCTTGACTACATTGAAACCAGAGAGCAGAGAAGAAAACAAAACCGAGCTGGAAGAGGAACCAACAGCATGAAGAAAAACTAGGAAATACCTGGGACAGGTTTGCACTGGGTGCTTTATTAAGCGTCTCCGTGTTTTCTAAATGTGCCTCTAACTCTGCTGGGCAGAGGTTGAGATCTTTTTCTAGATTAGTCTGGTTGAAGAGAGAAAAGATGGGAAAGAATGTTTTAGTTTAGAGGACAGGCAGAAAGAATGGAAGGTTAAGTTTGAAAAATGAATTTGTTTAGTGCTATGCTTTAATAAGGCAAAGATGGCATGACCGAACACAAGAGCTCACTAGAAATCAGGTGAAGACGTGAAAACAGAGAATGCAACATTAGGCAGGGAAAATATAAATCCTGAGGTCATCAGAGCTTCAAAAGTCTATTCTACTTGCTAGAGAGAACTACAAATACTGCGGAAACCTACCTTTCGCGAGAGACCTATTTTTTCTCTTTTCAGAGTATAGTGACAGTGACAAATAGGATATGTCAGGAGAATAAGGCATTGCTTTAAAAACCTCTCAGCATTAGTAGCAGAAGTCGTAGAGACTTTGTTAAATCGTTTTATCACCAAGCCAAAAGAAAAAAAAAGTTATCGAGTTAAAAAAAAATGATTTAAGAAAATAAAAGAAAAAAAGAAAAAAACCCACGACACACTCACACTAACCAGGCTAGAGAACACACACACAGCCCACGGAGGAGGCACAGCAGAATTACCTTTCTATCCTCTCTAGGAAGGATAGAGCAGTCTCCAGGAGTATAATCCCATATCTTTTTGGGAGGCTGACGGGAAGCAGAGGAGGAAATGAAGAAATGAGCATAAAGACATAAAGACAAACATGGAGACTGGCTCAAACAAAGAGGGGCACGCTAGGAGAACCGTATCAACACAGAAAAGTGAACTCAAAGCACAGGGGGTGGGCACCTGGCCTCCTGAGGAGGCTGCCCAGGGAGGGATTCTACAGAATTTAGGAGCTAGAAACATTAACTGGGAAGTTTCTATGTCTACATCTCAAGAGTAAGTCATTGTTGGACTCTAAACACTGAAAACATTAAAAAAACAGAAACAAAAACAAAATCAGAAGCAAAAAAAGCGTTAACACCAATTTGAACAAAAATCAAAACTTTAAAACTACTCATTGTTCTTCTTTTTTTTAAAATTGAAGTATTGTCGATAGACATCCTCACTGTTGTTTTCAAACTAACCTTGACACCGAGAGTCTGCGTTTTTGAAGCAGTCTTTGAAGCAGTCTCCAAATTCATCATGTTTAATAAATGTGTGACTTTGGAGATTTGGCCAGGGTAAGGTAAATTGGACCAAATATGTTTTCTGTGGTTTGTGAAAATGAAATCCAGGTACAAAAGGGGTATTCAATAAATGCACTAACTAGACAATTTCACTAGGCAACACTTACAATCTCCTTTAGCGGCTTAACCAGACTTTGATAACACTGCTGGTGGTACAGCCATCCCTTCCATCTGCCTTAGAGAACAGTTTATAATTTGAATTTGAAAAGCGGACTGTAGGGTTATGTTTGTTTTCTCTTTTAACTCTTTAAGTTTGAATGAGAGCTGCGTTCCCAAAACAAAACTGCCAGGAGAACTGTGAGTTTCATGAGGGAAGGGCTGCGAGGGTAGGACATCTGAAAGTTACAAGGCTCCTGTAATTCTTGAACCTCTCCCCCACCAACCAGACCTTCTTGTTCTGCCTGTTTAGACCTGAAATGTCTTATACAATGACCCCTGAAAAAGATGAGATCATTAGTAACTCCTGGAATTTTGTGCAATTATCACTGTAACTCTATGCAAGCATTCAAATTGGTTTACACTATGACATTTTGCCTCAAGCTTACTTCTAGAAATCACACGGATTTCTGCAGAAATTAGAGGGGGGAAAAGAAAAAAAACCTAACATCCAGACTCTTAGTAATGAATCTGTAAGTGTTCAAGGGACTTTCATCACTGACAATGATGGGTCAGTAATGCCGTCTCTGCATATATATACTCTGCAATTTGTAAAGTAAGTGCTATTAACAATTACCATTCATTTTAAACACTTACTACACTTGGACTGTTCACCAGGAGAAGTAGACTTTTTAAAGTCACTTAGGATACATCATTTCCATCTTTACTGCAAAAAAAAATAAGGCAGTGCTTACAAATTAAATTGGTTTTAAATCCTTCCAAAAAGACCCCGGGAGTCTTGAATTATTTGCTATTCTACAACAACGTATCAGAGCTAAAAAGTACTTCAGCCAGATTTTTGCTAAAATTTCAGCTCATTCTGGGTCGTGGGCTTTACGCGCAAGCGTTGAGGAAGAAAGGAGTTCAGGGTAAATGTCTAGTGTTTAAGTTCTGGCAGGCTTCACTTGGGAAAAGTGGGTCCTGAGTTGGTATGTGATAAAAAACAAGTAGAAATGATGATCCACACGATTTCATAGGAGTTTCAGTTTTATTCTGCCTCTGAATGACTGAAAAACCTCACAAAACAACTTCCGTGGTTTATGCCACTTTGATTTCTCTCTCTTACTTTTATTATAGCCCAGAGGGACGAAGGTAGGACAGAAGTGAAGAAAAATTTCTCCCTATCACACCTTCTTCCGCAACCCCGGGAGTAAGAGCCAGTCATCCAGTTGTTTCAACAGGATGATAATCCCAGCCTTCGGATGCTCCCAACCATGAGGAACCATTCATCTTGGACGCTGTTCCTCAGGATATTTAGGTTGTTTTGGCAAGTCTTCCACAGTATTATCTTAATACTTTAAAAGACTCAGTCAAGTAGTCCCATTTAAGGACTCTAAGGTCTCTGCAAGGAACATCATGGCTTCAGAGGAAATGGCGTTTTGGAAAAACATCATTAAGTCTTTATATAATTAAGAAGCAGTTAGAACACCAGAGTAGGGACACACATTCTAGGAAGTTCCCACTATACAAAAATGGACTGTGTTCTCAACATTTGTTTGGATTGGTTGTGTGGGGCTCAGACCATGGTTTCCAGTAGAAACAGTGTTACTCTACCAGGCTATCCACAGAGCCAACTTAATGTATGCTGGGACTGAAATACTGTTCTTTGCTAACAAAAATGGAATTATTTGCAATGACAGATTCAGTAAAACAAATGGATCACATTATAAGATTGTTTCAGATCTTTCTCTAAAGGTTAATATTTCAGATGAAACTAATTTTAGTTATTTGGCAAAGGAGGAATGGCTAGAAATGTGTGGATTCCAAGAGGGCTTTGCAAAATCAATGGCACAGACTATCATACATAACTTAAAGCTGACAGCTTTTGCTTTCCCTGATGAAAGGATAGCACTATTATTACATATACTAATCATGGTCTTTTTTTTTTTGATTATTTGGTAGAAAGGGGAGGGGACCACACGATTCAATGTGTGAGTTAATTGAGCAAGTTTTAGGACAAAGAGAAGGGTTAAGATACTGTTCAATATTTGAGTGTGGAGAAGGTTGCCTGAAGTAGACTTCTTTGATGTCTGAATGGTGAATAGGAAAAAGGGAGAGAACCGAGAAATAATGGTATGCACCACACAGTTCTGGGGAGAGAAGACAGTGCCAACTTCCCATCAGACACTTCCCTCTACACTGGTCACTAGGTGGCGCTGTTCATTCAGAACAGCTCAAGGGCTACACGTGCCTTCCCCACCCACATCTAGCAGATGAGGAGGCAGCAGGAAAACATTCTACCAGCAGGAAGTTTGTAGGTCAGGGACTCCTAAACCAGAAGACGCCTCAAATTTCTAACAAAGCTCAGCCTCACTGAATCAAACTAGCATTTCCACAGCACCCACTTCATTTGTCTTTGTCTTCATCTTAATGAAAAATATACACTGTGGAATTTAACACTTAACTATAAAAACCCCTGTCTGCAAATAAAACTATCATTCCAAGCCGCAGTGATTCCCATGCTGGTTTCAAGGTTTCAATGGTTAAAGTTTCACATGAACATCTAACAAAATGTCTTATCTTTATACACTGACTTCTTCCACCTGTAAATTCTTATTTTTACAGCTGTAATAAGACTTTAATGCAACGAAAGGTTTAAAGTCAGTTTCTAGTCCTCTCCAGTGGAAAAATGAACTCAACTTTCCCTTCTGTGTGATACACCTTAGGGGGCAGGGCTAAGAAAATCCTCCTGTCAGTGCCAAAAATCAGTTTGTGCCAAGGCCAACTCAGCGACATCACAGGGAAATTCTAGCAAATATAGCGTTCAGCCTAACTCCCATTTCAAGTTTTGGGAAATACTACACCAACTCCTAGAAATTGTTCTCCCAAGCCACCTGTAATGGGGATCCATTCGTGGATCACATCTACATACAGAGGCTCTCTGGGGCACTGCCATTGCCTATGTACTTAAATCTTTTTAAAGCTGCCCCTCTCAGTGTGTAATGCATTTTCCTGCTTATTTTCAGTTTGCCATAAAGACCCTGGTTAAGTAATTGAACCAATGGCCCAAATAATGCCATCTACAAGGCGTGGGATATTTGTTTCTAATGCAATGATTTAGTCTTGTTTCTCTGTTATTTTTCTGGCAAGAAATAGTTCCAGGGATCACTGCTTTCTTGGTGAAGTAAAGTGAGGGAAAGCTTACAGGTTGTAGTGAGAAGAGACAATCCCACAACTGCCCACTGAAATCGCTGCTCCCCACCTCCTGCATTCCTTCCAAATAGATCTGATCGTTTAGCAGCAACAATGCATCAACAGCATTATTTAAAAAGGCGTCTAGAACCACTGAAGCTATTAAACTTACCGGTTTCCCAAACTCCAATTCCGAAAAGAATTTATACCAAGGTTCATTCTTTAAATCTATCTCTTCTGGGCTTATATCCCGACTCTATAGGGGTTGGTGATAGGGAAATGGAAGAGAGAGAAGGATAACATTATGCAGAGATTACATAGGAACAGGCCAGTAGAGATGCAGTGGTTTCCGGGGATACAGCAACTGTGTCCAACAGCAGCAATCATCCATTTTACGGACATCAGCAAAAACAAAGAGCTACAACATGTGGGAGAGGATGGGTTCATAAAAACGGAGAAACGGAGGCAGGAGCAGTGAGCGAATCACTCTCAGCCCTGAGGCAGAAGGCACGTGGGCCACAGAGGGGGAGCTCTGTGCCACACTGCAGCCTTCCACAACAGATCGGAATTTGGGCATATTCCTCAATAACCGTACTGGGGGGGGTAAGAGAAAGCCCATACTTCCTCTTTATGAAGAACTGTTAGTGAAGAACAAATAACCTGGTGAGCACACCAAACACTTAGCCATCTACACCGTATGAGTAGAGCAAATCACTTTTATGGGCTAGTACGGTTTTAGTACTTATTTGCAAAGCTGCCTTAAGGATCTTCAAAATAAATGCAAATACCAACACTTTAAAAAAGCCACATGGTTAATACTGCATCTTTAATGGCACATGAGTAGGTGAGAAATCATGTCCCATACACAGTACAGTGAAAGATGGTGTAAGTAAAAAACAGAGGACACAAGTGCAAAAAACATTTTAAACGAGCGTCTATGGGGGAGGAATACAGACAGAATATACTTTGTGTTTTCACAAATAAATGTTAAAGAAGTGGGAAAAATAAAATGAGGGAGAAGCAGAACAAGACAGACAACAGAACAGGGGGGAGAAAATTTCTGGGTTATGTTGCAAAAATAAGTCAGGTATCTCAACTTCATACAACTCTAAGAGGCAGTTCACACAGACTGACCATTTCATATCGAGCCAGAACTTTATAAGTCTTAACACCTCACTCTGTGGAATAACATGTGTTTCTGGAGAGGTTTGGCTGGAAAATGAATGCCTGGAAAGCATATCAGTTTGCCCCTTCAAACACTGGACATACAAGTTCAGAGCAGGCAAAAGCATGAGGGGCTCATGGCATCATGAAATCCGTCTACGTAGATATATTTCAAAATACCTTGGCAGTCACTACATGAGAGAGAGAGATGGTGATTTTTCTGACAACAATATGAAATAGAAAAGGTCTATTTTGTACTGAGACTGAAAACAGTATCTAAGAACTGTCACTTCCTCAGGGCAACGACATGGGGAGGAAACGGCCAAGTCCCGTGGCCACGTTTCCCAAGCCACGGCATCACAGAGCAGCTTCTCCGGGACACGTTTCTCTCTACATTCTGTTCACAGGCCTTTTGCCGTTTGTAGAAATGGCTGTCCGCTTTCTTTGGGACCCTGACCCATCCCTTCTTCTAAAATCCTTCAAAGAGTCTTCACTGTTATTTCTACTTTTGTTTTAAAAGGAGGAAGATATGGCAGAGAACTTTAACTGAAATGCACTAAATAAAAGTAAGTGGGACTCCGAGGGAGATGTCTACTGAAACAGAGTCTGCCCTCTTGCATCCAGATTAAAACCTCCCCCAGCTGTCTTTGGGGACCTAGGGGCCTAAATCTCAAAGGAGAAGGTGGGCTCCTTCTTACCAGATTCTGAAAGGGTGTACAATAACGGATTCCAAATGGGATCTTAATTTATTCAGTGAAATGAGGCACAAGCACTAGGACACTATTCAGGAGGGACAGTTCAGACCTTGGGACATGCTAGATCCCCATATGATGGGAGTTTCATGAAACCCATTTCATGTTGATTATTTTTGAACACTATTTATAACCGCTCCATGGGAATAGGCTACGTTTTTGTTGTTGTTGTTTTACATAAAATGTACCAACTCTTTCAGGAAATGGCCTGAATGTCTTGGTACTCAGTCCTGAAAGAATCAGCCCATTTTATTGCCAAAGGTTGCTTGCAGATTGCTTTTCCCGTGAAGGCTAACACCATGTGGAGAACTGGGTCGGGAGGTGTGTCAACTGCTGAGGCCCAGAGCGGCCTCCTGGAGAGCGTGTGAAAGCGGTAGCAGCACACGGCAAGAACGCCTGGATTTGATTCTGCCATTTGTAACTCGGCCGCAGATCCGATTATGGAACGGACAAATAGGAAATGTCCTTCCAGATGCAGAGCGGGCTCTTGTCCTGGCAGGCAGGGTGGATTCCACAACGCCAGGCTGAGTTCTCTGCTACTGTGGGCTCTTTTCCCCAGCTTGGCCAAATCCTGGGAAAAGGCAGGTGGCCTGCCGGAAAAATGTCTCGTTCTCCTCAAGGATGGTCTTGCTTCTTGGATGGGAGCCAGAGACTGGCTTCAATTTTGAACTACACAATCTGAATGCGGTACGTTCGTGTGCACAACCCTTGATGACATTCATGTAGCTCTCTTGGACATTTTACCACACTTGGCCCTCTCATTCGATACTTCGGGGAGTCTGCAATCGTCCTCAGGACTCACTTCAATACTCAGGACTTTGGTAACATTGGCAGGCCAAGCAATACTTCTGTTTTACAGATGAAAACACTGAGACTCTGAAAAGTTAAAGGACTTGCCCCAAGACAGCTGACGGCAGAGTCAGGATTTGAACTCAGATCTTCCAATTCCCAGTCCAGTGCTCTGTCCAGTATATAACATCCCCTTTCTCATAATTCTGAGAAGAAGGCAGACCCTCTGTGTGTTGGCAGAGGACCCAAAGCTAAAATAGGGGGAAGTGACAAACTTAAAAAGCCAGGAAGGAACTCAAAGTGACTGTGTACTGGGAAGAAACCCCCTTGTTTTACATACCTGAATCTGTACCCTGTATCTGTAGTTACTATCTTAATGTCTGTCCTTCCCAATATGCCCCTGTGGGATCAGCAGAGAACCCAACCTCTAACCCAGGCTTGGCACCTAAAAGTGATTCTATATATATCTGTTGAATTGAGCTGAAGTTCTGGAAGGGACTTTGGAGGAAAGTAAAAGGGACAAAGCCTGAAAGAGGCCATTTCTGACAAAGCAGGGCCTGACCACTAGATCTCTAATCCTGAGGTGGGAGGACAAGACGATGGGCTCAGACTAGGACGACAGGGGGCTCGGGAGTTATGAAGACCATCACAGGAGTCTGCCACATGGCTGGAGACGTCAGGCTGTAAGTCTACTGTGGGGGATTCTGAAGGCAACACAGGGTTTCCTCTGCTTGCGATGGTTTGGGTTTGCCCCAGGGATAAGACAAGGTCTTCAGAAGCCTTTACAGTCTACCACCAACCTTCCTGCAAACAACAGGCACGTGTGCCTGTGAGGTCACCATTGAAGTTGGCAGGCTGAGTGGACAGGAACAAATTGGAAAAACAAAACATTTTTCCCCTCGAAAGGAGTTGTGCACTTCCAAGAGGAAATTTAGATTCTATATCGGTCACTAGTTAGCATACTTATCCACAGTTAACAAGGCAAAAGTGTGTGTGTGCATGTGGTGGTTGGGGCGGGGGTGGAAGGTGTCCTCAAATTCTGGCAAACCGGATATTGGATGCCAAAAGGCAAGCGACACGGACACATTCCAACTTTTCTGTTCATGTGGCAAAAACAGAAGGGAAAAAAAAAATCAAAAAAGAAAGGACTTATTCAACTACTGGGAAGAGTAGACTGTGAAACGCAGACCTGGCTGAAATTTCTAAAATGAAAGCCTTCTCTTAAGAAGAACAGCGCTAAAGAAGGGCACTGAATTACGTGGCTGGCCACGGTGCTCCTCAATGGCCTGCCTGGGGCCTTCTCGTTCTGTCACTGGGCTGGCCCAGGGGCCTGAACACCATAGGCACGGTTGCCACAACTGTCCAGAGGTCCCCAACGGGCACCTCTATCACTTTCCAGGGGTTGTAACCACTGTGGTATCAACAAGAAAAACAAAACTATGTCTTTTTTTTTTTTAATGCTGAATAGTGGTCAAATTACTGGGAACCAATGAAAGGAGGGGGAAATCAAAGAAAGGAGCAAGCCCTCCATTAAAGCAAAGACTACTTAGGAATAACAGTATCGCCCAAACAAAAGCACCCAAAGGGCAATGGAGTATCTGAAGTCATAGAAGTGTGTGGACACGTGAGGGTGTGTCCCTGACTTGTTATCAGGAATGTTCCCAAAGCACATGACTGTCTCTCTGGGCACACCTGCGCGTGGAAGTTAACTTCGGTGCGTGTGATCTTCTAACAGGGAGAGAACCCCCAGGGCAGGGTGCAGACAGAGGCAAAGTTCTTGGCTCCTTTCTCAACTTTTTGCTTAAAATAACTGTGGTGCACAGTAAATGCTAAAGAATGACAACTCTAAAGCATTTCTGTGAACTGTTGACCTTTCTTCCTAATTAAAATTACTTTCTCCCTTTGAGCTTTTAAAGATGTCACATTTTTATTTTAGTAAAAGTCAAATCAATTATTACTTAAAACATGTAGAGCAGAAGAGGTGGAGGGAAAATAACTTGAACCTGCATTTCAGAGGCATACTTAATCTGCTCTCAGTGTGGTAACTGCATTTTAATAAAAGCCGATCCCCAGCGTGACAATTCCATCCTGCTGGCACGGCTGGAGGACTGCAATATTTATAGAGCTTTGGAGAATCCCTGTAACCATGATCAGAATTCTGAACCAGCTATCCCAATGAAGGGTGAATAAAAGGGAGCGTGGGTGGCAGATAAGAACTAATCAGTTTGTAAAAATTCTTTCTTATTTCACAGAAGAAGCTGCTTTTCCAGGGTGTTCCTCAATGCTCAGGAAGGCCCTTTTCCCCACTCACAATTGCTTGGTGATGTGAACACATATAGAGAATTAGAAACCAGACTGAATAGGAAATGTGTCCTCCATAGTGCACTTGTCAGAAAAGGAAGATCTACAAGACATATTCTAACAGGGTCTGGGTCTTTCTTCCCAAGTCACAATATCATATCAATTATTTAGCTTTTAATGATGTGCTCATAACTTCTACAAAATGTATGCATGTTCAAATAAGAGTCACCTATTAAAAAATAATCTGAGTCTAGTCCAGTTAGTAATAAGCCTGATAAATTAATAGACATTTTTAAAAAGACAGGAGCAAAATCAATCTTTACATTAGTAGAACATTTTAAATTAGTTCATCATGCACAAAAAGAACAACAAAACAGAATACGGCTTCTTTCAAAGCAGACTCTCAGGACTTATTTTATCAACACCTGCAGAAATGAAAAGGGTAAAAAAAATACTTCATTTCTTCATTCATCTTCATAACATAGCAAAAGTCTGTCTCAGGGGGAAGAGAATGTAATCCAAGCGCCCAATGCATCCGGATTAAAGAACACAGCAGGGGAGACAAAAGAACTTTAATATACACATTACCATCTTTTCGTTGGTCAGAACAGAAGACTTGCCCGGCTGGTAGTCGTAAATGCTTTTGGGTTCTGCGCGGTATTTCCTTGTATCCACTTTCTTATCTGGGGGCTCCCAGTCGTTTCTGGAGAAAAAAAAAATCCTATTAGAGCTATTTTCATGAAAATTGGCATCCGACAGGGTCTGACTTTGGCTGACTACAGTCTAATCAAGGAATTTTTGTATCTGAAGCATGAAATCGGTCCCTGTATGAAGCATTTAGTTGCGCTGGTTTCCTTCTCAAAATAACCAGTTACATCTCTGCGTTGGCTTCACAAGAGGGCTTGAGGCATCCTCGGCTCAAAGCCGGGCACCAGCCGTGCAGAGAACAAGGAGATGGTTGGGAAGCGGCAGCGGCAAAGCCTGCTCTCTTCTCGGGCTCATCATTCTTGGAACGTGCTTGTTCATCCCACTCCCACTAGTGTGGTGGGAAAGAACGAAGGTCCCAGAGCTCATCAGCTGTGGTTCCAGTCCCTGCTACCGCACTCGCTAGCCTGGCGAGCTGAGCCAAGCACCTCACCCATGGCTACTTTGGTTTCCTCATCTGAAAAATGGGAATAGCGAAGGGATTAAATGAGACAGTGCATGCAAATCACTTGGCAGAGCACCAGGCCCACTGTGTAAGCACTGAATAAACGTGATTTGCGACTGATAACCACGTTTGTCCCTAATCCACACCCTGCCCCAGTAGTCATCCAAATCACAGCCTTGGGTACAGATACCTAACCTGAGCCAGCAATGGGTTCTAGAGGATACATGAACCCTAGGAAGTTGCTGACACTTTTTTTTTTTAAAGATTTTATTTATTTATTTGTCAGAGAGAGAGAGCACAAGCAGGCAAAGTGGCAGGCAGAGGCAGAGAGAGAAGCAGGCTCCCCACTGAGTAAGGAGCCCGATGTGGGACTCGATCCCAGGACCCAGGGATCATGACCTGAACTGAAGGCAGTGGCTTAACCAACTGAGCCACCCAGGCATCCCTGCTGACACATTTTTAAGGCACGGACAGTATTGCATTTTGCACTTTGAGTATAATTCCCTTTTTCCCGCAAAGCTATCAGCTTCTCAAAGGCAGGGACCGTGGTTTATATATGCTTCTCTCCCCCCACAGCATCTGGTTCAATCCATGCACAGAATGAACCCAGCAGATGCTTGATGAATGCACCTGAGTGTGTACCCACAAGAACCTAAGGGTATATACCTAGCCTTCCTTTCAAATTAATTATCAAAATCCTCAGGCAGATGCTGTCATGTATGTGTGGGACTCAGCCACTCATTTGTCTGTGAAGATGGAAAAGGTATGGAGGTGTGAAACTGAGTGTGTACTTAGAGAGAAAAAAATTTTGCAGTGTGCTCAGAGCCTTGTTGGGAAGTGGTGAAAGAGGGAGCCCAAAGATGCGCGGGACACCCCTCCAGATGGCATACAAAGGTTGCTCCGTTGGGAATAAGAACTTGTGAAGAAAAATTGGTCATTCAGCACAGCCACGAGATGACCGACACCATCATCAGAACCACTTCAAGCCTTATCTTTCCACGATAAGCATGTAATTATCAAAAGGTGTGGCTTTGGGGTGCCCGGGCAGCTCAGTGAGTTAGGCGTCCGTGGGACTCTTGATTTCGGCTCGGGTCATGATCTGAGGATGGTTTTTGAGCTCAAGCCCCGAATCAGGCTCTGTGCTCAGCGTAGAGTCTGATTGAGATTCTCTTCCGCTCTGCCCCTCCCCAACTCACTCATGAGAGTGTGCCTGCACGCACATGTGTGTGCTCTCTTTTTCTCTCTCTCTCTCAAATAAATAAAGTCTTCAAAAAACATAAGTGGCGTCATTTTATTTATTTATTTTTTTAAAAAGATTTTACTTATTTATTTGACAGACGGAGATCACAGGTAGGCAGAGAGGCAGGCAGAGAGAGAGGAGGAAGCAGGCTCTCCGCCGAGCAGAGAGCCCGACGCGGGGCTCGATCCCAGGACCCTGGGACCACGACCCGAGCCGAAGGCAGAGGCTTTAACCCACTGAGCCACCAGGCGCCCAAGTGGCGTCATTTTAAAATTATATTCTCGGGTATGGACCTGTCAGAATGCACAAAGAGTATGAAAACACATGACAAATTTTACAGTTACGATTCCTCTTGTGAGGAGGGTAAAGTCATGATAATTACAGCCAATGTTCATTAAGCCCATATGGGGAGCCAGAAACTACTGGAAACGTTAGATGCATTACCTTGTTTTATCCTCGCAGCACCCCTATGAATGTAAAATGCAACCCCACTGAACAGATGAGGACACTGAGACTCAGAATAAGTCACAGGGATTCAAAATCAGGTTTGCACGACTCTTGCCTCTACAGCTGCCTGACCCAGCAGAGACAGGACACTTCCCTGGTAGCTTGGAGATGGAAGCCCTAACCCTCAGAGCTGATTGTGGGTGGGAGGCACTTACCTCTCTGGGCTTGATTTTAGTGAGGAAGAGCGGGCTGGGAGGGGAAGCGTGGCCGACCTCTTAACCACCTTCTCACCGTCGATGTAGCTCATCTCACTCTTTGAGCGAGGCACAGAAAGGGGAGATTTTGCTGGAGAAGAAAAGTGGGTACGAAAGACTTGCAAAAACTGAGGAAAATCAAAGACAGGAAGATGTCTTTCCTCACCCACCACCCTCTGTTCCTCCCCCGCAAGCAGAAAATTCTACATCACTTACTGTCTTCAGAAAAGGAGTACCGAGGTGAGTACAGATCTGAATCATCATCTAGTGAACAAAACAAAACGTAATCAGGAGCAAGCCGGCAAAGGTAAGAAAACCAGGTGACATGTCCCCCTACTTGCCCTGTCCTACGCCGGCGTCGGGCCACACCGGAAGCCCGACAGACAGAGGGGTGGCCTAGGGCCGGAAGCTACACCCCCCCAGACCCCATCTGAGAGCCCACCCAACCAAACAGGGCCGGCCAACCTGCAGGCTGGAAGGTCCACTCATGACACCTGGGGGCTGACTGCCACCTGACACTAAGGAAGCATGGGGACAAATAGCCAAAGGTCCTCCTCAAGACAACTTCCACGAGCAAATGGAGAACACAGGGTTCCCGGCCTGGACTGGCAACAGGGGCAGAGAGAGGTCACTGAATGTCTCCGGTCTAGCCTGCTAAGTTCCCCAGAGTCTGTGGGTCCCACTACTAGATGGGCTGAGGGAGGCCCGGGAGACGGCTTCAGCGGCCCGCCATGGCTGGGACCTGTTCTACCTGGGGCAGTTCCATGCACAATACCATTGACCAAAGGGGCTGCGGCTAAGGAAACAGGCTGAGAAGACCCTCCTGGTCCCTTGCTTTGATTCTACCTCAGCCTCGTTCCTCGAGCAGCTTGCTTTCCTCGCGACACAGCACATGCTGGCATGGCTGCCCTGCAAGGGTCCTGCGAGGGTCTGGGTCTGAACAGTGACTTCGGAACCAACCGAACTCACACGGTCTTGTGGGACTGCTCTGCAAGGGCGAGACACTCGCCCCTCAACAGAGAACCCCAGGACATGGACACTTGCAGAACCAAGACCAGAGCTGAGCCCCTCGCAGAAGCAGCCGCCCTGAACTCAAAACGAGAGCACACGGACATTTACTGAAAGGGATTTTTCAGACACAAGCCGAAGAACCCACTGTCACATGTTGGCTAAGTGTTAATCAAGTCCTGTTTCTCTGCAAATCTAAGTCTTAGAGCAGGAAAGGCTGGGGTATTTTGTGAAGTAGAAATAAAACTAACACTGCTATTATTTTCAGTATTATTCAAAGACGACTTCTCTGGCAGCCCCTCTTTTAAAAAGTATTTTATTTATTTATTTGACAGAGAGCGCGCACAAGCAGGGGGAACGGCAGAGGGAGAGGGAAAAGCAGACTCCCTGCTGAGCAGGGAACCTGATGCAGGACTCGATCCCAGGACCTTGGGATCATGATCTGAGATGAAGGCAGCCACTCAACAGACTGAGCCACCCAGATGCCTTCTGGTAGCCCTTCTCATTCCCTCCTCTCCTCTCTTCATCTGCTCCAGGTCTCCTCCCAGCCCAAATAAAGGAAAGGTATCAGGTACCAAGTTATCTTTCCCTCCCTTCCTCCATCCATTTCAGGGATAAGAACTAGTTGTTATCAAAGTTGAACAAGACTTGCCCTGCTATACATGAAATGTGCAAGCTGATTTACGTTAACTTTTGAAAATAGGGCGGAAGAGGTAAAACGAGATCCAGAAATGTATTTTTGGAGTACTGTTCTGAAGAATTTTGTCTTGCCTGTTTTTGTTTTTTAACAGAACTTCTGATTACCCTGCTAAAAATGCCATGATGTCAAAGAAAGCAAAAAATCAGCTCTGACTGCAGAGATTTGACTGGAAAAACACTGGCTGCAAATGAGAAATTAGCTTACTTAGGAACCAATGTATGTACCACTTAAAATCTAGCCTCGCATTTTAGCTCAAAACCCTGTATCTCTGAATCATGGACTGACAGCCTAACAGTAGACCGTGAGGAAGATCAGGGTTAGTTTGTAACTATTACCTGGTTCTTGGGGTAAGAAGCAACGTTTTCATGGGGGACACATGGCATTTAAATATTCAAAAAATGTTTAAAGTCTATGTTCTTGAAACAATTTTTTCTTCCCAGAGCTTCCTTACATAGAAATCTGGAAGATTTGTTAGAAGGAAATGAGAAATAGTTCTTATAAGATGGAAAAAAAAAGTAGAGCAGCTTGGGGAGTTAAATAATTTATGTATTTTGAAAAGTAGGAGGAGAAAAAAACAGGGGTGAAGGCAACAGACATCAGAATGACTGAACACTCTTCAAGCCTCCTCTTATGTGTTAGAGGTGGAGAAAGCAGTGTCACCCGGCTAAGCCAACGGAGGGCAGGAGCACCTCTAGGGAAGCAAGCTCTTCGTTTCTCTGTGTCCACGGGACCGAGTCCAACATGTGGATTTCAGCTCACCTTCGAAGACAGCAGACTGAAGTTCCACAGATTCGACCAAACACGAGGAATCCGGGCAGGTCCCAGGGGACGTAAAATTTACTTTAATTGATGTTTGTCTTAGAAATCTAACATAAGGGACACCTGGGTGGCTCAGTGGGTTAAGCCTCTGTCTTTGGCTCAGGTCATGATCTCACGGTCCTGGGATCAAGCCCCACATCGGGCTCCCTGATCAGCAGGGTGCCTGTTCCCTTCCTCTCTCTACCTGCCTCTCTGCCTACTTGTGATCCCTCTCTCTGTCAAATAAATAAATATTAAAAAAAAAAAAAAGAAATCTAACATAAGAAAATTCTACCTCTGCTTGTGAATAAAAACAATAGCAGCTTCCATTAAGTGCCGAATAGCGGCTGCTAATTTACTAACTTCATCTCACTCAACCCTCGCGAAAACTGGAGGTAAGGAAATCTCTCATCTCACAGACAAGCAAAGGGGGCCCGGGAGGTTAAGAGAATTTGCCCTTAGCCACACAGTGAGAGAAAGACAAAGCAGGAAAGGACTCAAGGTCTTTCTGACTCCACTTCTCTGCGCTGCCTCTAAGCCCTGTGACAGGAATTGGGGCTTTGTTCTACTCCTCACCCCGGCCTCATTTACCCAATCCTGGGAAAAACTATGGCTCTTCTGGTATAATTTTTATTATGGAAGAGGCAGGAGAGGCTGTTGTTTTGAAACTCTAGTCATGCACTATGGTGTTGGCCAGACTAACTTCTAGACCTTGAAGCCTTTGCTATCTTTCTGCATCATCCCCTCCTTCTTGATGCTTAAGCAAATTTTCTTTCTTTTCCTTGTAAAGATTGTATGTATGTATGTATGTATGTACGTATTTATTTATTTGCCAGAAAGAGAATGAGAGAGCAAGAGAGAGAGCACAAGCGGGGACAGGAAGGAGGCAGAGGGAGAAAGTTAAGAGTTAAGCAGGCTCCCCACCCAACAGGGACCCAGACACAGCTCGATCCCAATCATGACCTGAGTTAAAGGCAGACGCTTAACAACCACGCCACCTAGGTGCCCCTTACGCAAGTTTTCTGAGTTACCCACTTCTAGTTCTTTGCTGGTTTCTAGAGACAGTGGGTAAAACAGGGTCATTCTTGCTACGTCATCTACTTGCTGTTTCTCTAGTTCCCTTCTCCTGGCAGGCCAAGCCCACACTGGGGTAGATGGATATGAAGTTAAAAATACCGATGAATGGGAAAACTGGGTACCAGGATCACCCTTCTGCGTTTCTGCACACTGGAGTTAGCCAAATGGAGTGTACGTTTTTAAGCACAGTTAAAAGGCAGTAAATGAAATGTTTTTTCCAAGCCGTTTGTGAGCACAGGCATTGTCTGTGTCTGAAATCCTGCCGTTACAGTTTCTCCAAGGGTTCTTTAAAGCGGCGCCTTAGGGGGCTCAGCTGAGCTGGGATCTTGTGATTGCCGCTCGTGGTGGAGCCACATGCTGACAGTGCCCCTCTGAGCCTTGGCAGTGACACCCAGAACTTCCGGTGCCAGTGACTTCCAGGAAGCCCTAAGGCTCAGTAGCATTTACTCAGGGTGAACAATCCACTTCTGGAACCCAAAGGCCCCTGCTGGGCTCCGATGTTTACACACCAGTGACTATCCTCTAGGCTTTGGCAGTCTATCCTTGGAGGCTCGATTTGGGGACGGCTACTCTTCTAAAACTGCCAGGAAACACATAATTTCTTTTTCAACCACAGCAACTTTAAATGAACTTCTAAAAAAGGCTTTTCCTGGATTTGGGGGTTTCTTTCTTGAGAATTCATAACAATCTTAAAAACACTGGAACAAGTGCTGGTCGAGAATGATTATTTTATAAAAAAAATGTGACTAATATGAGATGCACAAAAGCCAGTATTTACACAATCACTTGCCTTTATCAATTAAATTTTAATTTTATACATTTCTTAGGCATTTAAACTTAAGACTGTTTTTGTAACATCAGGGGCTCATTTTTGACAATCTTTTTCTACCGCTCGAATTAATTTCTTCTGCTTCGTTCCATACACTTTGGAAGACAAAAGATAAAGGGGTCGAGATAGATACACACACTCACCCCACAAATAAAAATAGCCAAAGAAAAAGATATACGCAGAAGTGGGGACAAAGTCTGGGTGGGATCGGAGAGAAGAATCAGCAAAAGGAGAAATGGGACAAGGTGGTCAGGATTAGTCCAAAGAGCCCAGGGAGAAATTCCCAAAGCTGCTTTGGTTCTGGTTAAAGGCAAATTTTAAGGGATTAGGAAGAAGAAAAAAAAGACCAACAAAGGGTACAGAGTAGCTACAGAAAACGAACAGGAAAAGGGGGAAAAAAAAAAAGAACTGAAGGAGAAGAGAACGAGACAGAAAAGGAAAGAAGTAAGAGGAGGAAGACGTGCGGAGGACCAGAGGGCTGGAAGGAGACTCACCGTCCTCATCTCCAGTGGCATTCCCAGCCCAGGAGGAGGTGGAGAGGGAGTAACTGGAGCTCTCGGCTATCCTGCGGGCCAGTCTAAGGCTGCACTGGCCGGGCGGAGCCCTCCTGCCTGGCTGTCCTCAGGAGAGCAAAGGTGACCGTCCCGCCAGCCCGGCCCCGCCTCCCCTGGGCAGCTCAAGCTGGAGTGGGGGGCCGGAGGCACACAGAGCCCAGCCGGGCAGCTTCACAATAGATCTATTTGCTTGAACTCCAGCAAAGTAAGGCTATTCTTAGAAATTCTGTAAGGCCGGTAGAGGATTACTTTAACTCAAATACAGACGTGCCTGGGAGAAATTGGCCTCCTAAATCTTTGTCCTGGCGCATCCTCATCTAGGAATGAGGAGAAAGGTCCATGAGACAGACCACTGTGGCATGGGTACGTCACCACGCCCAGGGGACGCCTTGAGACACTTCACCAGGAGGGGGCAGTGGTCACCATCAGCCGGACAGTGGAGGAAGCAGCATCCAAAAGCAAGAGGGAAAGCTGGTCTCTGGGACGTCCCCCTTTGGCTGATAGGACAGCCCTCTGCCCTGACATGGCCTGAAGTGTTCTAATAGGCCATGCACCGTGGAGTAACACACCAGAGACCTGGTTTTGTGCTGATGTGGAGGCGTCATTTGAAAAGCTTGGCCATTTTGTGGACACAAAGCCCATCAAGAGAGCCAACATCATTTGGGCGTGTTCAGAGTAGGAAGGCTGGTTCTTTTGAACCCATAGCCCCCCTCAAATTCTATATCCGAATTCCCTGGATTGCACTGGAGAGTAGCTTCTCCTTGGAGGGTGGGAAGGGCGGTCCCCTCCATTGTGGTGGCTCTCAGTCCTGGCGTCAAATCACTTGGGGACATTTCTTAACTACACGCCCCCCCCCCCCACCAGACGCCATCCTGGGAGACGCTGGAGCCTGGGCTTAGGGGTCAGAGAGGGTCAACCGAGAACACAGAGTGCAGCAGGAGGGGGAAAGGAATCAGCAGTGCCGTAGAACAGAGTAGGAAGGGCCCTAGAGATCTGCATTGAAAACCTGGTTCTGCTACTTACTGGGTGATCTTGCGCAGATTACTTAGCCTTCTCGAGCCTTATACCCTTCACTGATGAAATGAGGACTTACCTCCTGGGGTCCCCACAAGGATGAAACAAGCTAATAGTTGTTATGCATTTAGCACGTGATGCTGTGTATCCAGTAAGGGCTCAATAAATGGTGGTCGTGGCAGGCACTGTCGTGGTTATGCTGTTGTTATTGGTATTATTATTGATAGAATTACGCCTGGGAGCTGCTGAGGTCCGAGCCACCACATGGCTGTTTCCTAAAGTGGGAGGCAGGGGCGAGGCCGCGGTGGCATGTCTGAGGCCTTTCCTCCACAGCCTGCCCCCCTCTCGCTTCCTCCCCAGGAGGAAACTGTGGGCAGGGGGTCTGAAGACCCACCTAGCGGCCCCTTGACATCTGGGTGCGGCAGTGGGTGGGGCTGGCTCTGGTCACTTCAACAGCCCCTTCTCCCCACCCCCCCACCCCCATCTTTCTGACCAGACATCACAGAGGCTACAGAAAGACATCTCTCTGCCTGTAGGAGAGAGAACGGAATGGAATTCACAGACAAGCAGCTCTGGGTCACAGAGGAAGGAATGATGGGGAGGGGAGGGTGGGTCAAGTGAAGGTTAGAAAAAAAAAAGAAAGTAAAACTCATTTGCTTAGCCTTACTTAAAGTTATTCCCAAAAGGTCTCTGGTAAGTTATTTTTGATAAGCTTTCTAGGGACCGGGTACATAGTGAAATTTCAAGAAGTCAGTCTCCTGAATTCATTCTGCTCTTGCTCAGGTCCCTAGGCCCCCAGTCTCTCCCAACTACCTCAGGAAACAAAGAGCAAACTGCTCCTGTCCCACAGCCTGGTCTCAAAGATCACAAAAGGAGTAGAAGGGACTGCTCCCCGTTGGGAGTTTACAGGTTTCTTTTCAAGTACATTTTAAACTTCACAGATTAAGGTGTAATAACTCTATTTATCTTCTGAAATTCTGGACAAGTTTGCTTTTTTTTTTTTTTCTTTATAATTGGAGGGGGGGAAATGTTGTTATGCCGACATACACAAACTTTCCTGGAGTCTTTTACTAGTCAGGAGAACCAGCTTTCGGACACTTAGAAATATCTTCTTTTATACTGGATAAACAACTAGGATTTCAGACAGAGACAGAGGCAGCAGCCCTTAGGCTAGGCTGTGATAGGTTTATTGCCAACAATTCTAATTTCAAATTCTGAGTACAAGCGAAACCAAAAAACCTGCAGCAACGACGGTCTCCTCACAGAGGACAGACCCAGGAATGGCAGCTCACATTTCTCAGTAAAACGGGCTATTTTTTAATGCTCATTAAAACCACGGGTAGAACCCTGGCTAGGTGCTAATTTGTCCTCAACACCTTTCTTTGAAAGGCATAAATATTTCCCACATTAAGAAGGGTGTGCAGAGCCCAGGGCCATCTGTCAGGAACACAGAGCTGAGGGGGACCTACCAAAGCTTACAGATGTCACAACCACAAGCCAGAGAATCTCTGATTACTTAAAAAAAAAAAAAAGAAAAGAAAGAAAGGAAAAAAAGAAAAAGAAAAAAAAAGAAACAAAAAAAACCCAATTCTTTAATGTGATCTAGCTCAAACATCTCCTTCATTTGTAAAAAGCCTTCAAGTGATTGAATATATGTGTGTTCCACGTCTGGCTCGGTCATCTTTAGCAGGAGCAGGGACAATGAAATCCACCCTATTTTTAAAATCTTTCCAGGGAAGAAGACTTCTTAGACACTTGTGGTAAAGCCTAATCATCTTGGTTATTATTAATCTTTTATGTTCAACCTAATTTTCCCCCCTTTTTAATCCTTCACAATTTCATCCTCTTTGGTCTTTCAAAATAAGAAATATTAAAGTCTGCTTCCTACATTATAGGTGAGAAGTTACCATATCATCCCTTACTGTTTCCGCCTCAAGGCCAAATAACCCCAATTCCCTCTAGTGCCTGATTGACCTGTAGCAAAAAGCTGACATTGTTAGCCAGGGTGCTAGGTGTGGCAGTTGAGGACCATGGCAGCTGTGGGTGTGGCCACGAAACCCTGTCTTCAGACCAACAGCTAGCCTGACCGTGGAAGCTGCCGACACTGCCTGCGGCAGGCCTATGGCATTCTTCTGGACTCACGTAGTCTCTGTGTTTCTCCACAGGACTCCTCCAGGTAGCCTTCCACCGCCTATGGGACACTACGCCTTCAGGCTTGCCAAGAACTTGTCATCTTTCCCAAAAGGGAGCCCAGAAGGAGGGGGCTGGGTTCTCAAGTCCAAATGAAGCACCAATCGAAAATCGCATTTAGTCAAAATCACCCTAAAAACAGAACAAAACTGTCTCCCTCTCTTGGCTCAGTCAATTGTTTCTTAAGCAATGCTTCTGGCTAGAATCTGCACTCCAGGATAAAAAGACTAGCTTATCGCACAGCAAAGAGATTCTTGTTGGAAGTGAGGAAGTCACTGGTTCTGATGAAATCATCAGCATGGAGCTGCAAGCCTGGGTTTGTTCAGGAGACTTTTTTTCTTCCAAACCAGGCATGAAATGGTTGGAAACCACTGATGAGCACATCAAAGGGAGAACCAAAATGGGATCCGGTATTTTAACTAAAACGGGCGTTCTTCTGTATGTGAGAGGTAATCAGTAAGAGTTTGGTGAATGAGTGAATGCACGACCTAACCCATGACAAAAAGGGCTGTGGAGGATAGTCTGTTGAGCTAATCAGAGCAGAGAAATACTGAGGGGGCACGACAGGGCTGCATCTCTAAGAAAGAACTATGGTACCATGGTCCAAAGCGTCACTCATCAACATTCTCAGGTATATACTGAGGATATCCTTCGCACCAGCAAGCTTTCCTCTGGCCTTCCGAACACATGCCCTTGCAGCTGCCCCCACTCTGGACATGGTGCGAGGAAGGGGCCTTGTCTAACTCACTGCTGGATGTGCACTTTTGAGAACATGGGACATGTCTTATCCACGGCACTATTTTCAGTTCCAAGGACAATGCATTGTACTAACGCTCAGTATTAATCAAATCAGTCAAGAGAGCTCAACATCTCATCCTAGAAGAGCATTTAATAGAATTTCCTCTTGTATGCCCCTTTCCACATTCCTCTTTCTAGGTCACTCACCCAAAGGTCAGATAATCCCTGGGACGAGGGTAATTCTAAGGATGGTATCTTTAACTTACCTTTAGAACCTTTTTTGACACCTAGACTTTTTGCTCTTAGATACGAGTGTGGCAATCCTTCCCAGCAGGTCCAAATTCCTAGCCAGCAATTTCATGAAACATTTTCTAACTTGGCCAAAACCCTTATTTTCAAGGGGCATCATCTCCCACCATGAAGGAATCTCTTACCTGGATACCCCTTTGGGAATTCCCTACCAAGGAGATACACCCTGAAAATCCATGACAAGAGGAGCCCAGTGATGGGCTGTAGCACATATGGGAACTGGGTAACTCTTCTGTTGTTGGCAGCACAATGACTGGCTCCCCATGTCACTGCTCAGCCACCAGCACCATGTGACCACCCCAAATACTGGCCCCAGAGCCCCACATGTTCAAAGCATTATAACTAAGCTACATTGGTTACCCCATTAATCATGGAAACTCCAAGGGAACAAGATTAAAATCCACCCAGACAGACTTGGGTCATACGGTCAGCAAGGAGTGAGACTAAACCAACAAAACACAAGGTTGGGGGAAGCAAACAATTGGGAGACAGCCCGTTAGCCACCAGAAAAAAACCCAAGGTGAAGAAGAAAGTAACAGCACCAGCACAAAGAGAGGCACGTGAGTTTCCTTTAATTACCTTCTGATTTAGGACTAGGAGTAGATGCTGGAAACTGGTAGGTAGGAGTGTAAGGATTGTCCTCTGTAGCAGAGAAAAGCAGTGGATTTTGAAACTACCCACCATGAAGTGGAGGAGCTCACAAATCCCGCAACTGACTCTTTTGAACGATTACCTACTTTAGTGTTATTAAAGCACACGGCATCACACTGAACACGAGATTAATGAATTAGGAAGGCCTTAGTCATTTTAATATAGCACATCATGCAAATAAGTGAAATAAAATTTCCACCAACCAAAAAGGACTATTAAAAACAAAATCTAAAAGCCAAATCATATTCGTAGAATGGAACTATAAGAATTAATTTAAGGCTAGGACAACAGATACACTGTCTAAGTTTATGGTACCTTCAGAATTTTGCTGGATTTCAGGAAGTTCAGGGAATTGGTACGTAGGGAAATAAGGGTTTTCTTCAGGAGTGTCTAGGCAGAGGAACAGGTTTGGGAGAGAGAATAGAGGAAGATACAAATGGAGAGAATGAACGAATAGGGATCCACACACAGTTCAGGCTCCTTGAATTCTGGAACATACTAAGCTTCAGTAGTGATATGAAAGAAATTCAAATTGCTTTTAAAAAATCCAGTCCTTTTGCCTGAATTACTGAGACACATCTAAAGAGACAATATCATTTTTCCTGTTGGACAAAGAATTACATATACACAGGCTCTAGTAAGCAAAAGGGATTTAGCACAAAGCTTCAAGTTTCCAAACAAACAAGTGGATTCTTAAATTTTTCACATCTCTGCCTACCATTAGGGCAGTTGGTTTCGTTTAGAAACTAATTTGGGTTTAGTTAATCCCTCCCAAGAGAGAAGTGATGTTGCCCGTGGGACAGAATAACAGACTGTTCACATATGCTCCTGTGGCTTGGCATTTGGGCTGCAAAAGCCAGGACTCAAGGTGAGAGAGACACAGAGTGCTGGGGGAGCTGGACATTGGCTTGAGGAAATGACCAAGAGAAGGGACATCACCCAGTCAGAGACCCAGCCTTTGGCGTCCCTGCCATGACTGAGCTCATCCACCCAACCACAGTGGATTTGCTCGTGGTTTAGAAACACTAAACACTGAACATCTCAGTATTCTGAAAGAGTCGGAAGAGAGGCACAGCCAGGTTCATTGTGAACACTGTAGGAGCTCAGCACCAGTGAGGCTAGCGGACATCTGCAGCTAATCAGAGAGATCGGTTACTTGCGGCTTAGGCCGCCACCAACCAGAACGCTTTCCTTTTGCCTTCATGTGTTCTCTGTGCCAGGCGGCCAGACTGGATTTGGCCCCAGGGAATGACAGGATGCTCTGCCCCTGGGAGGAGTGGTGCCTGTCCCACGGGGCAGCTGCATCCCTGCCCACCAGCTGATGGGCAGCGCAGGCGGATGGGAGCTGCTGGGGTCATGAGCTGCCCGAGCACCAGCCTGGGGTTTTCCCACCATGCGGGATCACCTGCTGACAAGCCCAGCGGGGCCCTGATCCTGAAGCGCTTCCCTTCAAGCCTGAGCGGGCTTTGCTGTGTCAGCTCTTGACTGACTCCCAGGGCTACCTGCCAAGTGCTGGCTCCCAGCTGGGGAAGATTATTTTTCATTTTAATGCCACCTTACAGGTGCACCACGCATGCTACTTCCTAAGGCAGAATTTGCTCTCATCTGGACCCTGCGACATCCCTTGGAGGAAGGGAAGAGGGCTGAAATGTGGAGAGGTATGTGACTGGCCCAAGGTTACATGAGTGCTTAGGGGACTGAAGCCAGGTCAGACCAGTTCTCTCCACTCCCAGTTCAGTGCCTTCTCAACTTGCTCTGCCCACAAGGCAGTCATAGGCTGACAAGTGGTGGGGGGCTGCACCTAAAGCCGGAAGCAGGTGGGAGTCAGAGCTGCTCACATCCCCGGGCAGGCAGATGCTGGAGCACAGGCTGAGTGCTGGCCTCAACCTGCTACATCCCACAACATCTGGGAGGGAGAACTTGAGAGCTGACCTCAAAGCCCACATGTGAGGAAGAGCACAAGCAGTCCCTCCCTGCTCTGGTCTACAGGCGTATGGCTGGGCTCAGGCAGGCTGCTCAGTGAGTTGAGCACAGGGCCCAGCCTTCTGACATCCTAGCAAAGCAAGTTTAAGTCCTCACCACAATAGTCAACATATGAACACAGCACAGCTTCTACAAATGAAAATCAGTACCTCTGTTTAGTTTGTGGATCTGTTTAAACATGGTCTTGTACCAGTCTTTGGATCTCTCGGTGTTCTAGAGAAAAACAAAGGCAAAGAGTAAAATAAAATGGAAAGGTTAGCACATTTCAGAACTTCTATGATCATGAAATCACAGCTTCCGGAAAGTGACAATATCTGAAGCCAAAACTTACGTTACTCTTTATATCTTGGTGACCCCACATTTAAGTCATTCTTAAAAATGCAAAACAAAATAAAATAAAATAATAAAATAAATAAAAATAAAAATGCAAAACATTTGAGAAACAGCAGCCAAACCAAGGGATGCCTGGGTGGCTCAGTCGGTTAAGCATCCGGCTCTTGATTTTGGCTCAGGTCATGATCTTGGGGTCATGAGATCAAGCCCCGTGTTGGGCTCCACACTCAGCTTCTCTGCTTTTCCCTCGGCCCCTTCCCCTGCTCAAACACACTTACCCTCTAAAATAAAATAAATAAAATCTTAAAAAAAAAAAAAATAGCCAGGCCAGGAGATTCAGACCTGAATCTGCAGAGTAATAATTGGCCAAAAAAGGATGCAGATTTTGAAAAAAGTAAATGAAGATCCACTTGAAGTGTGTTCATTCATACAATTTTTTAAAATTTCATTTTTTAGGGGCACCTGGGTGGCTCAGTGGGTTAAGCCGCTGCCTTCGGCTCAGGTCATGATCTCAGGGTCCTGGGATCGAGTCCCGCATCGGGCTCTCTGCTCAGCAGGGAGCCTGCTTCCCTCTCTCTCTCTGCCTGCCTCTCTGTCTACTTACGATCTCTGTCAAATAAATAAATAAAATCTTTTAAAAAAAATAAAATTTCATTTTTTAGAGAGACAACTAAGCAGACGTAAAGCTTCCTAGAAACATGAGGCAAAGAATATATGCACGTCCCCACCCATATCAGCTTCTTCTGCAGAAGTGCGGTCACCTTGAAGAGGGCCAGAGAGTTTCATCTTCATCCCAAAGCTGAGCTGTTTTTGTTTTAAGAGCAAAATAAAACAAGGACGGGTAGAGATGGGTGATTAGATCATGCATTTTCACTCTCACTTTAGAGATGAGGAATAAAGTCAAAACGATGCCCAAGGTCACAGAGCTGGCGTGGAGGCGAGTGGGAAGGCCACCTCACGTGATGGTTAGGGGTGTGCGTTTGGGAGTCAGAGTGTGTGGTGTGGGTTTGGCAGGTTGTGCCATCCTGGGTAAGGACCATAATCACTCTTGAGTCCCTGCTTCCTTATCTATGAAGCGGGAATTCTATCTGCATTCACCTTGCAGAGTGAATGCTGAGATCGCGCAGTCCGCGAGCGGCGGTGGCAATGACCATCCAGCACAACTCCCTTCCTACAAATTACTGTTCTTATATGCTTAGTGTTACTTAGGACCAGACAACAGTTCTTCCAAGGCTCAGCCTATGGACACCAAAGGGACACCAGAAACCGTCTACTCACTACATGGAGACTGTAGAGAGAAACACTCTAGTGTTCTGAGGGGTTCATGGAACAAAAGGGGATTCACCCTAATCCACTTTCAAATGCAGCTTCCCCTGAATTCCAGGGGGGCTGCAGGAGGCTGGCGTGCCTATGCAAAGGAGGACAACTGGGCAGCTGAGCCCATTCTGTGGCTCCCTTAGAGCTTCTTGCTTACCACGTGTGACAGGGTCTCTCCTAGCCAGAGGAACTTCTTCCTGAACACATCAACAAGGACCCTGAGCCCCATGCTCTCCCCAGGGTTCTGTAATCCTGAACCTGCATTTTCTGAGCATGCTACGCAGGACACAAAAGGGAGGCTGGGAGATGCTGACCATGACATCCTCCCCTAGAACAGATACTGGCCTCAAGCTTCTCAGAAGTTCTGCTGCAGAGAAATGGCTCTGTGCTCCACCCTGCTTTTCCCCCACAGTCCCAGAACCCTGGACCCTTTTCTCATGAGACTTAGACCATCTAACATGCTTTACGGAAAGCTGCTGCCCTCTGAGCTCAGGACCAGGGTAGGACAGGAGGCCAGAGCACAGCTCTGGGAAGCTCTGTGGCCCTCCACGGGTCTGGAGAGTAGGCAGTGGCGAGGATTTCCATGTGAGGCCTTTGTCAGCCACAAGTAGGGTCACGTGCACTCAGGTGTACGTGTGTCACCGGCGTAAGAGGAAGCTTAAGTAGGACTTGGGGTCCATATTCGTACCCGGAGTGGGATGCCCACATCATCCATGGAAACATCGCTCAGGTCCTGAGCGCTCCTGGCCACCCGTCTACTGTCATCCTTTGCCTTTTTCTCAGTAGCCCTTCCAGGTGAGGTGGGTTTCTCCTGCGTTGGTGCCAAGTCCTGCTCTCCCACTCTTCTTTCTGAGACAGGATCTGGAAGTGAGAAACAGTCATTAGCTACAGCAGCTCTCCTTGGGGCTCCGAAGCAGAAATCTCCCAAAGAATCCAGACGGGGCAAGTGTGTTTGCTAATTCCCAACAGGCATGAGTCTCATTGAGAGCACGGTTGGCAAATGAGGGCCTGGCCGCCTGTTTCCGTAGTAAAGTTTTATCAGGAAACAGCCACACCCATTCATTTACGTATTACTTATGGATGCTTTCAAGTTACAGTGGCCAAGCAGAGTAGCACCTAGCTCGCCCTTTCCGACGCTGAGTGCACATTGGAGCTGATCAGGTTCAGGACTGGAGGTTACAGAGAGTTAATAAATAGACCAGGTGTTTAGATTGTATACTCTGTTATTCCCAGCCACGTCCCTTACTACGGGAAGGCATCATGGCTCTGCACGGCACGTCCTGTGGCCAGGGGGCGTGGACCTCTCAGGGTGTGGGCCTACAAGGAGCTGACGGCCAGTGGGCAGAAAGGGCAAGAGAGCCACTGGTGAGAGGGCAGGATGGCCAGGGCGGATGGAGCCCGCATCCAACTTAGCTGAGGAATTTAAGTTCAGGGCTGGCATCTCGGAGGGAGTCAAACAGGAAGTGAAGGGTGCCCCTGGCAGGGGGAACAGCAGCAGCAAATGCAAGGAGCCTCTGTACTACTCTGAGCTACACAGGGGCCAGGCTCTGTGCTCAATTCTTCATATCCATGATCTCAGGTTCCCCTCCCAAAAACGCTACGAGGAAGAAACTATTATCCGCTCACTAAAAACAAAAAAAAACCCAAAACAGTTTGGGGCACCAAGGCACAGAGACATTAACGTGCCCTGCCTGAGGTCACACAGCTGCCACGTGGCCAAGCTAGGATGTGGATTAGGGACACCTGACCCCAGCGGGTCTCTCTGAACCATGTCCTGTCGTACTGCCTTCCAAAACGGCACCAAGGCTCCAAGCCTGGCCTGATCCAAATAGAAGTTAGTAAAGGGACTGGGGTGGGGAAGGCAGCGAGAGATGGCTGCCTTCATTCAGACACGGTAACTTTGACAGTGAGACATCCAAGCAGAAATGCCCTTGAAGAAAGAGGGAGCGGAGCCCCGGTAAGGGGCCCTGGCGGGAGTGCCATTCCCAAGCCATCAGCAGTAACGCCATGGAAGAGGTCATGGAGGAGTACATGAGGGCAGAGTCAAGGGCTGTCATGAGCTAAGGGATGTCACGGGGACAGGCTGAGGAGCAAAAAGGATCCCCCAAAGGACACATGAGTTATCGGAGGGAAAGGAGGTGAACCTGAGAGGAACAGTGCGGCATCACTGAAGCCAGAGAAGAGAATTCCAAGAAGCGGATGATTCAACCCACGAAAGGAAGGAAGGACGGAAAAGGAACACTGGGAGAACGGGGCATTCAATTAGGCAAGAGTCACGGGATCACTGGCAAGGGAGCAAGTTTCTGAGGGCAGTGGGGTGGGTGCCAGACTGCAGAGAAAGGTACGAACCCGGGAGCAGGAGGCAGGGAAGGAACTAGGGAGGTGGTCAACATACAAGGAAGACTATGGCAGGTGGCAACCAGAGAGGCCAAGAGGTTGGGGGTCAAAAAGGTCTGAGCTGGGGGAGGCTAAGTCCTAGCAGCAACGCCCTGGCAGTGAGACTGAAGGGGAGCCAGGGGCAGCCTGGCATCCAGGAGGTGGTGCTCAGTCAGGATCTGGTCACCGACTGAGGGAGCACTTCTCACCCCTGGGAAAGGCAAGAGTGCAGAGGGCTGTTTAGAGAGCAAACTCCAGCAGAAAGGAGGGGCCTGAGGGTGCACACGAGGTTTTGCCTGGGTCAGAGATGTTCCCGTGTGAAGGAGGGGCCGGGGAAGTGGGGACACACCGCTCAGATGCTATGACCTTCAGAGCCTGACCACCCGGAGCGGAGGGAGCGGTGACCCAGCCGGGATTTCAAACCAACTCCTGAAACAAGTACTCATTCTGTGACCACAGAGTGGTTTCTTTTTTTTTTTTTTTTTTTTTTAAGATTTTATCACAGAGTGGTTTCTAAACATTCTGTCCAAGACCCAGCTCAGTGTACGCTTTAGACAACCCAACCCCCAGCGTCACAGCCATGCGCTTTACAGGATGGTGAGGCCATACTGGATTCATGGGATGAGTTCTCATGCCCCCAGCAGAGCCAACAGGAGTCCACAGATTTGGCAGGAGGCTGGGAAGTGCAGGGCGATTTCAAGTCACCCGAGTCTACCCTTACTGTGGCTTTGCTCAGCATTTTCCTCCCGCCTGGAAAGGCTTTCCTAAGTGCCACCAGGAAGCAGCAGTGGGGCTGACTCCAAGGCATCTCACCTAGTGCTTGGAGGCGCTCACATTCCTCACTCCCACGTCCTCTCTTTGCATGGACTCGGCATTCTCAGGGATTCCAGACCCAGAGACATTTTTTTCATTGTTAGGGCAGGTGGCACCAACAAGAATCACCTAACTACAAAACTGGGGAGACAGTCCAGTGATTCGTTCCAAAGCGGTCAGAGGGCTTTGGCTCTACAAAAATGTGCCCTGAGTTATTATACTTTGGAAGCTTGTGATCACAGGCTTCATGACTGAGTGGATTTCGGGGCACAGAAAGATGAACAGCAGCCTCAAAGAAAAAAATTTTGTTGTTGTTGTTACGTAGTGAAAACCTAACGTGACACTTTCTTGTACCAGGCAGGTGACAGGACCACCCAGTGACATCCACGGGACAAGGGGGGCGGCTGCTGTTTCTCAGGAGGCAAATACTGATTCCCTCAGCAAGACCTCCTGCAGCATCTCCGTCCAGTTTTAAACTGAACTTTTAAAAGGAAGTTGCTGAAAAGGGCCACTCAGTAAGTGACAATGCTGACAACCTGGGACAGGGCCTCTGTGTTTGTGGACAGCTTTCCTTCCCTTCACACCCCAAACTCTGTGATTGAGGACCACTGCAGTGCCGACACCTCCTTGAGGAAAACGTGCCAGACCCTCGGCCCTAGCCCTGACCTGCTTCTATGCGCACCTCCCAGAGAGAGCCACAGGCTTGAGGCGGCCAAACGCCATGTGGGTCTCCATCCCGAATGAATGCCATTGAACAAGAAGCCCCATTAAGGCTTGATAAAAACCCACTAAGGACGGGGGTCTGGGGTGAGAAGGGTGGCCCTTCAAGTGCGATCACCCGAGGTACTTATGCTGGGGAGCAGACTGGAGTTAGCCCAGCTGGGCCTCTCTCCTTCAGAACAAAATCGTGCCGCTGCTTTGTCAACAAAAACTAACATTAAGTGAGCGCTTACTTTATGCCCCACTCTATCAAACACCGTTAGTGGCTCTGCCCCAAAACTCAAGGAAGATGGAAACATGAAGCTTATTTTGGAGCCGAGGAAGTGGCCCGAGCCTGCCAGCCTGGTGGAGAAGCCCTAACATTGTGTAGCGTTTTCTGGTGAGCAGAGCATACCCCCCTTCCTGTCGCACACGAGCCTCACGCCTCTTTGGAGGAAGCTATGCTGCAGAGAGGTAAAGTCACTTACCTGGGCAAAAACGATGCCAATAAAAAGAGCCAGGAGCAAACACTGGGCCTCCTAACCTGTGTTTGGGCAGCTGTTTCATCCATTCCACTGCTCCTTCCCAAATCCCAAAGGCAGGAACGTGTTCCCAGGAGCCACTCAGCTCTCAGCCAACCTGGGCAGGGGCCAGGCGCTGAAGTGGGCTGGTGTAGCAGAGTCAGGAGGGGGAAGCGAAGGGCACCTTGTGCTCAGCTACGGCCTGTCCTGGTCCTGGGGCCAAGTCCCGATAAAGCGCAGAGGGTGTGAGAACCCCGTGTTCCCCCCACTGGGCTCTCCACGAATCCTGAGGGCAGCAGTAGCAGGAAGTAACAGAAATCATGAAGCAGCTGCTCAGAAAACAGTGGTTTTGTGTATCCACGAGATCAGGGATTCCTGCCCCAGATTTACATGTGTCTATAATACCCACCAAGTGCCCATCTGACATGTGTGGTTTCTTCTAGAAGTGAATCTACCACCTTTATTAGATTCTCCAAATGAGTCCATCACCAAAAAAAGTTATGAACCATCGTACCACACCATGGGCTGCTGGAGGGCAGCACAGTTCCCAGATACTGCCAGAGAGCCCGGCCCGGGGTGGGATCCAAAGTAAGCACTCAATAAAATGAGGACCGAATTAACAGTGGTGTCTGCTGACCACGGAAACGCATGTCTACTGAGCACCTAATGAGTGCCAAGGCTCGGTGCTGGGCTGCTCATACGCAGGACCTACGTGGCACTACTATGTTCCCCATTTGGCAGGTCAGAAAACTGACCTGTGGTTTAGAGCATTAGCAGCCTGCCTAAGCTGCCCCACGGGGAAGCAGGAGGACCAGGACTCAAGGCAGAATGGCTATAGAGAGCCCTAAGGACATGGTGAAAGCTGCCCATTCCCGGACTTCCTCCCGGTTCTGCCTACACGCAGCTGCACTTCATCAAGGAGGGAGCCCTGATACCTGAGGATCTAGCAGACCCAAGCCCACCACTGCCAGTTCCTGACGAGACTTGCTCCCAAGCCTGCTCAGTGCACACACAACCTCAGCATCCCTGGGGACCCGGTTAGACACACGAGTGCTCACCCATACGCGTGACATCCAAATCTCTGGAGCTGTGGCCTGGGTATCTGGGTTTTGGACCAGCTCTCCTGGAGACTCTGATGGCTGCTCACGCCCCGCCCCCACTTCCAGGCCCTGCTGGTCTGAAGGCTCTCACCCAGGCCCGTCACACATCACTGACCGGCATCCGGGCTTGCCACCCAGTAAGAAAAGAAGCTGCATACATTCCCTAACCCTGACTCATCACATCCTAGGAGAGGGATTAGAAGCGACAGAAAGGGGACTTCTTCAGTGAGGCCTGTCACGAACACTGCACCTGAGGCATAACCTTTGTTCTTTTTTATTCACAGGACCCTATTCCGACCCACCCAGGAGCTGATCACGGCCGCCCAGGGCCTGTGTATGAGCTGGGGTCACTGGTGTGGGGTGCCTCCTCTGCCCCTCAGGCTGCAAGGAGGAGGTGGGACGGCGCCTACTTTCACCATCCATGTGGCCCAGCAACAAACAGAGTCCCCAGCACATCAGAGGAGCTCATCAGACTGTGCTGCTCACACATCTGAGGCGTTAGCGTGTAGAGAAATATTTCGCACCTACCTGAAAGGCTACTGAGTCGTTTTTGCTGTTCTGTGATTTAAAAAAAAAAAAAAAAAAAAAAAAAAAGATATACATCGTGAGATTTACACAGACACGGTAAGACCAGGAAGTCCTGCCAGAAGTTGTGAGCGTCCCCAAACTGGCATCCTCACTGCCCCCTGGGCTCAGATGGCGGACTGTGGCATGGCCACCACACCCAGCTGAGGGCCAGGGCATTACTGTGGCTTCAGTTATCCAGGTGTGGTGTCTCCAAGGACCAGCCCCCCATATCTGCCCCAAGATTCAGGAAACGGTAACTGTTTGCTGGTTGTTTCCATGTGGTTTCAAGGTGATCTGATCATGGAAGGACACCCTCCCAACTCCCCTGGTTCCAAGGGACCAGGACCCTATGATGACCCCAGTCTCAGTACGTTTAGAAGGAAACAGAATTCTAACTGTCACCATGCCAGCTCCCAGCTCCCAAGAGCTCTGTCAAACACCAGACATTGCTCTAAGAGCTTTCGCACGTTAACAGCTTGAATCTATGCAACAACCCTAGCAGGTAGGGCGGGCAGGTTGAGACACCTCAGATAAGCAGCACACAGTACCCACGGCGACACTGACCATCAGAGGAGGGCCTAGAACCTGGCTTCCCGACTCTGAGTGCGGCCTGCCTTCCAGCCCTGACTGCCAGGCCACTACTGCTCCCCAAGAGATTGTCTCTCGCTTGCTCACCCTCCCGGGCACTCGCGGAGGGGAGCCCAAGATCTCCTTCTCAGAGTTCTGTGTGTACGTGCTTTGGGATAGGCACAAAAATGACCTTTACCTTCCACAGTTGCTAAATATAAAGCAGCCACATAGATAAAAATAGAGCACTTGCCAGCCCCTGGGAGCTGTCACCAACCCCCTTGGCGACAGCCCCACCCTCCCTCCAGAAGCCACGTGGGCGAGAAGTAAACAGAGCAGCAGGGGCACCCACAGCCAGTGGAACAGCCTGTCCGCCTCTGGACGCGGACGAAGTTCACACCAGCTGGACGGCAGGAGCCTGGCCAAGCACTAGGCTCGGCTCTGCCAGCGACTTGCTAGCGGATGTTGACCAATCGCGTAAACTCTGCTCTTGTTTTCCTCATCTGTCCGATCAACTGCCCACCTGACCTATGGTTCCCAAACTCCAGTCTGCCAACTGGAGGCAAGGCTTCCTCACCAGACAACAGCAAATCTATTCAACTTCAAAGGCTAGGTTTCTCCTCCTTCTGGGATATGAAATGGCCTTTCTTTCACAGAATGACATGGATGTCACAGAATGACATGGATAAGAGCAGTTGTTTTTCAGGGTTGTTATTTACTATATTTAGAAATGAGCAACCCTGGGGTAGTCCCCAGGCTGCTTCCTGTGACCATGAGACCCAGAGTCTGGGGGCCACTGAACATTTGGTCCCCAGTGTGGTCTAGGGACCGGAACCACCAATGTATCCTGTGAGTTGCTGAAAAAAATGCAGGCTCTCAGCCCTGCCCCAGACCTCCTACATGCAAATCTGCAAGACTGTACTCCCCAGACCATGCACATTAAAAACTGAGGAGCTCTGAGCAAGGGGACCCAGGCACCTCATCATGCCTGAGTTTCCTGGTTCCAATCCTCCTTTCAGACTGATCATAAGTGCCCTGCCCTCAGACCCGTGGTATAAATGTCAAGGAGAGGGGCGAGGAGCTGTGCAGTGTGGGCCAGGGCGGACGTGTGGTGCCCCCTCCTGTGTCTACAGCAGAGGGTGGGACTGGCTTGCAGAGAGAAGGTTATTGTTACACGGTGCTCTGGGGCCATTGAGGCAAGGAAAAAAAAGGGGGGGAACCTTTTTTAGGATGACTAAACTAGAATTCCAGAAGTAGAGTAAAGTTATTATTCCCTCAGGAGACTTTGCAATAGTTAAGAAATTGTTTCTATGGGTACTTTCTATAAGCACTGCTGCCAGGCTAAGTAAATTCCAAAGCAAGTCCAAAATACACGACCTAAACCCCACTGACAATTAGTGATCCAAGGCTAGGTGGCTGGGCGCCTCCATTTTCCTCCACTCTTCCTGCTCCGCCCCCTTAGGGAACATATGGCTTGCTCTTTAGGAGAAGCTACTTTTAATTCCAAAAAAACGAATGTACTTGTATCCTTCACTGAAGGATGTGTGATTCAGGCAGCAGGATTCTGATCTTTAAATCCAAAGTGCAGGACTGCACAAAAGAGAAAGGCAAGAACCGAAAGCTTTTGGGCAAATAAGAGGAATCCATTTGCTCAGAGAAGAAACAAAAAAGAACTACAGGCATTTCTGTGCCCAAAGATGTCTCGCTGTCATCTGAGGGACTTGGTGGAAGCAGCTGACATTACACTTGGCATTTTCCAAAAACCGAGTTGCCTTGGGAATAAATCCCATTTTTAGAGAAACTGCCTTTCCTTCTGGGAACTAACTTGCTTCTCTTTGGACTTTTTTTTTTAAGAGATGAGTCATAAAGAAGTTCATAGAGAACCAAAATTTCACTTTGTCCTGCACTGTGGACACTGTCTGGGCAGAGAAAGCTATTGCCAGTAAGGGGTACAGCCCTTACTGAGAATGGGTCTTCTATAGTTTAGGGTGGGGGTTGGGACCCCTACCATCTTTGGAAGAACACAGATTCATGGAGGACAGTTAATATGGAGGCCATACATAACGAAAAAAAATAAAATTACGAAAATAACTAAGGTTTGAGTGGGAAGATTTTTAAGTGAGAGGAAATGTTTCATTCATCTGTTTTACAAGTTAGAAGCAGGAAACAGAAAACTCCATTTAATATGGAAAACAATTAAAAATAGACTCCAGTTCCATTCTCGTCCAAGTTAATGTAGGGGAGGGGGGAGTCTGGGAGAACTGCGCAGTAGGCGAGCAGCAAGTCAAGAAAAGGAGAGGTTTGGTGCCCAGCTTTTTTGAAACTCTGACTAAAAAGCTCTTTCTGCTCTAGGAAACAGCTTGACAACTTTACACTTCACATTGAAAAGGATTTTTATGAAGGGAAAGTTTCTCTCTCTGTTGAACTCCCAACTAGTAAAAACTTGGGACTTAGAATCATCTTCTAAAATTTTAAAGCAGAAGGGTCAACAGATACAACTATTACTTCAAAGTGCTTCTGCTTTGCCTAAGATGCCCCTTCAGAGAAGGGGAAGAACCAACCAGAAGCAGTAAGAGAAGCAACAGAAAAGAAACATGGAAACCCTCAGCAGAGCTGTACAGGGTCGCACAGTGTAAGAGACAAACAGCCACGTGAGTCTCATATCCCCAGAGGGTACACTGAGTGACAGCCCAGTGTGATAACTGCTGGCAAGAGTCAAGGCCAGTGAGTCACCAAGAGAAAAGTCCAGTGCCTGCTTCAGAGGCACAAAAACACATTTGACAGTTTATAAAGGTTTCCACCTATTATGCTTGCTTTAAAAAAAAATTTTGGTAATCAAAATTTTGCTTGACTTATTAAAAGAGGTATTACTGTACCTAGATTTTCCAGCCAAAACTCTGATTCGAGTGCTCATGATGAGAGGAGTTTAGGTGCATAGACTTTTTCCCTTCTGTCTTTTCTTTCTTTCTTTTTGGTGCTGCCATCTGAAGATAGTTGTGAAAGCCCCAGGCGTGCAATACATGCTCCACCAGCTTACTTACGTAGATATCCGACATCGTCCTAAATCAGGGACCTGTCCCCCTGCTGTGGTCTACTCTGTGGGTCACGGGAGTGAGTAAACGGGGGCAGACAACCTCAGGGAAAGACAGGGTTTGTAAAAATTTCTGTGGAATGGCAGAAGTCCTGCCCCTGGAAGTCACAGCACAGCTACGTGAATGCCAATGAACTGGGGGCGCTCTGTGAAGGTCCCTTACCTCGGTTGTGTTGCAAGAGTACAATAGTAGGATTGACAATTGTCGTAGAGGGGTAGGCAGAAGATGGCTTGCTAGCTGGTGCAGAGCTCTGGGGATCGGTTCCCACGTAGGATGAAGAAACTTCATTTAGTAGAGGACCTGAATCCTGAAAAGTGAACACACACTGTGACCAACTGTAAGTTACGTGAAACCTAACGTTAATGCTTTTTAAAAAGAAGAAATTTACAGCTTTACAAGAACCTTAATTATGAAAAGAAATGTAATCAATGAGACATCACGAATTCCAGTTAGAAGCTTAATCTGGAATGCATAGTCTCTTTGTTGGTGTTAGTAAGGGTAGAGAGCAAGAGTGAGTGTTACTGGAAGTCTCAGCAACATCATTATTTTCACCTGGTAACAACTGTGGGTCACTCCGGTTACTAAAAAAGGAAATTCAGATCAAAGTAGAACAACATGCAAGACTCATGCAATTCCAAATGTGATCCGAGAACGAGAGCTGGTTTAAGGGAAAAATCAGGAAGGTTTAGTACAGTTGTCTAAAGAAACATGAGACAATGTGAGGACAAGAAGCCATCGATGTAAAGAGTGAAGAGTTAAGTACTGGTCCTCCCAGAAAGCCACTCTTGTTATCCTCAGCCTTACTAGCACTTGCTTCTGTTATCTGGTTCTAACTGACTTTTTTTTTCACTCCAGTACGGAGTGACAAAGATCTCTGAAGTGGTAAAGATTTATGAAGATCCTGACTTCAGAAACTTGAGGTTTTGGCTATAAAATCCAATAGAATCATTACTATCAAAATTATAATTTGCATGATGTGAATGATGGCAGCCTTCTTTGAAGACAGGAAAATAAGACCTCAATATGTAGTAAGGATGTGTATACAGTTTCCTCTATCCTGCCTATAAATCTTACAAAGTTTCTATCTTGGAATTTATAGACCTCCAGCCGGCATGTCATTCTTAAGGAGTCTGAAAGGCAAGACTTTGATCGTGACTCTCCAGATGAAAGTATGGCTCAAAGCAATTACTTTACTCCAGAGATCAGCTTCTAAATACCTGTAGGACAAAAGCTATGCCTCCTTCCTCCTTTTGACCCTTGCACCTAGCTCAACACCCTGCAGACAGCAGGTGCTTCATAAATAAACACCACCTGAATGACTGCCACCCTCTATTTGCAAAGGTATCTGAACAACCTTTGCAGCAAGAAAACACATGCCCAGAAGAGAGAGAACGTATCAGGACCGGGGACAGCTCCTAACACACAGTAGGGCTTCAGTCCAATTCTGAAAGTGTCCTAATGTTGCAGCTCCTAGTTACGGGCAACAGCTCAATTTAGTGACTAAAATCCTTCCCCGAGGCTCGAGAGGCATAATATGATCTTATTCAAAAGTCTTCATCTCCACTTTTTCATTTGTAAAGTAGAAAAAAATTATACTTGTCTTAATTTACTTCCTAAGTGATTTAATAAAGATAAATGATATATCTCTGAAAACTCTGCCAGAATGCACCCAAGAAACACACACACAAATTGGGCATGTGGCTCCTTAAGGTAGAAGTGTCTCCTGTGGTGTCTGGACTGATCATGTGAACAGGAAGTATTCCACAAAATTTCATTCGGTGGCACAAGTCTTATTTCTGGAACATCACAAAAATGGCTACTGACTAAAAGAACCCATTCAATTCACATGAATTTTCTTTTTCCCTCTTCCTGTCAACTAGCTGCAGGTAGAGCAAATCTCAGCTTGTGGCTTGACCACCTTCCCTGGGGGTTCTTCTTGATCGTTCTCATTGAGTGCAAGACCCCAAGCAGTGCCCTTCCTCACCTCACTGTTAGCTGGGGCCCAACCAGAAGTTACCTGGCCAGCTGAGGACCCCCTAAAAGTCTACACCAGGCTGATCAGTCAGGTCTGAGAAACTGAGGACACTGTCCTAACTAACCTGTTCTGGATCACCTGTAACAAAACTCAGTAGGAAAATCTAGATCAGATTTCCATCTGATAATCATTACAGATGACACATTATAGAGTATACAACAAAACCACTCACAATCGTAAAATAAACAAGGGCACTAAACATATCTTGCTTTACGTGCTGCTCTAGAGAAATACTCTGTGCCCAAGGGAAGAACAGACCCTCCAAAGCAGGAGCAGTTTCTCAATTCATCTATAAGCTGCTGCGGGGAGGGGAGGGCATTAGAAACAATCTAGCATTTTCCTCCAACAGGGTTGAGCCGCAAAGCTCAAAGCTAGAAGGATAACCAAAGAGGCCTGACCTAACTGCACTGTGTCACATCTAGAGATCTGAGAAGAGGACCTAGACCAGAATGAAGCTGTCCCCAGCTTTGGTGGGCCTGGTATCTGGCTAAATATTCTCCTACAAGCCAAAAAGAGGTTTCCCTGTTTTTGCGCAGGACTGGCTTCGGTTTAACAAACCCCTAGAGCCAGTTTTGTAGGCACCCACCTTTACACAAGGGGACATTACGGACATTGAGCTGCATCAGCCGATTACATGACCCACTGTATCTCAAAATGTGGTCTGAGGCCCCTGAGCACCAGAATCCCCAGGATGTGTGTTAGCAAATCAGAGCCCCAGGCCCCTCTGCAGACCTGCCCAATCAGGACTCCGGGCGTATAACCAGGAGTTGACAACTTAAATGAGCTTCCATGCCTCTCAGGTAATCCCAGGTACCCAAAGCTTGAGGGCCCATATGGTAAACCCTATGAAAGCAAGGGCTGTGCCTTGTTCATAGCTGTACCTACAGAATCTAGCAGAATGCCCGGAACATGGTAGGAGCTCATTAATTGCTAATTAGCCAATGACTTATTTTTGAGGGACGCTTGCCCCCATTTGCAAGGGCAAGTCCTCGACAACGTAGCTAATGGTCACTGAGTGCTCTCTCCACTATCCTAGGAACTCGAACATACTCAGTCCCACCGCAGCCCACAGGTAAACCCACTCATTTCCATTTTATAGTTCACTCTGAGGGTCTCAGATCCTCTGACTCCCAGGGCGGAAAAAGAGGAGAAAAAAGACTAGGTACCCTGATTCAGCTTTTCCTCTCAAGCACTTGGACCCTCCCACCTACCATGGGGACTCGGCCGTCATGGGACGGGACCTGAGGTATCATGGCCCTCGACCTTCATACAACATTTTGCCACAAAGAGCCCCGGGAGCCACTAGTCAGGGACCCCGGCAATTTTCTGCCTTTGGAGAAAACAGCCCTAACATTTGCCCAAGGCTTTTAGATCCATTTACTCAATTAAACTCAACTCTCTCATTTTTTTCAAAAAAAAAAAAACCCTACGCTCTGCCTCCTGTGTACGTAACAGCGTTTACTTGCTAACTCAACAGAAGAGGCAATCTCTTCCTGCCCTGGCGCCTCACTGCTCCCTGGCGGAGAGACGGCCGCTGGCGTCCCCTCACGGCTCTTCGGCTTCCCTTGGCTCTCACCACCACATCTGCTTGGCCTCTCGAGAGCATCAGAGCCAAAGGCAAGGCCACGGAGGTTCTCGGAGGGAAAAACGGAGTTCTTTCAGGAAGGTGTGCATTCCGAACAGGACAGACAGGACGAGGGAACGTGAGGGGCTCGTGAGCGGCTGCAGGAGCGCGCGCGGGAGGCATGCACTCTGGGGGAAGCACACACGGGCCCGGTCGCCACACGAGCACAGTGGCAGCGGACGCGTCCCTCGCGGCTTAGTACTTCAGTGAGAGGGGTTTTCACCGCCAGGAGCAGACATTCAGGACAGCTGTGAGGAGGGGATTCCAGCAAGCTTACGGTACTTGAAACGGCTCCCGTGAGGTCAGGCTCCGAGGCTCTGCGGAGGCCCTCCGGGGCCGGAGGGAGCAGCGGAGGAGGTGGTGAGAAGGATGGTGGTGTCTGGCTAACGGGGGGGTGGGGGTCAGCAGCGCCGGCTGGCTGGCTGTGGTGGGGCCGCCTCTGCAGACGAGGGGGAATGAAATCATCTAGAGTCGGGAAGGTCAGAGGTGAGCCGGCAGGGGCGGTCGCCGGGCCTGGGGGGCCAAGGGGCCCCAGAGATGCTGGAGGTCTGGCTGTACCTTCTTGCCCTCTGTCAGTATTAACCAGGTAGAGAGGCACAACTATTACCTCAGGCTGGGCTGAACTGGAGGAAGTGGCACCCTGTAGGAAATAAGGTGGTTGTTACGTAAAGGCGCACGGCAGGGAAGAAGGAATTCCTTATTTAAACGGTTGAGACTGGACATGCAGTGATGTACTCTGAGAGCTATTTAATCGGTGCCCATTCCTCAGAGTACATGAGACAGTCGGTGCTGGCCAGCTGGCCTCCTGACGCTCCATGACACACAGAGAACCCCATCCAAGTCGACTTGCCATCCATCTATTTTTGAGTCCTTTTAACACTTGAGAGAGAGAGAGAGAGAGAACAACAGAACAGGCAGGCAGGCTGCGTTTAGCCCCCGAACTGCTTGCAGAGCCCGAAAGCTTGGGAGCAAACAGAATTTCTCTGGCCCCTTGTGATCAAACATCGACACCCCATAACTCACCCTATTATTAGTCTACGGATCCCACACTCCGGCATACTTACATACTACCAGGAAAGGGCGGCGGACAGAGAGGGCTGTGCCAAGGTGTTTAGAGAGCAGAATCTGGGACTCAAGCTGTGGCAAGGTTGACAAGGAGAGGGAGGGGAGGCAGCCCAGAGAACCACTGAGCTGCCCGCATGAGCTTCGAGAGAGACAGTGTAGGAGACACACAAACATTCCTAGTTCCTTGCCTTGGCTGGATAACACGGCTGCGAAAGGTAAGGTTCTTTTCTCTTCCGGTGTTCGGGAGCAGAGGAAAGCTGGGGGCCTAGCACAGGTGGTCTCGCCGCGTCCGGGAACGGAGGCCGAGCACCCTTAGCGGCATCTTTACGGATGTCAAAGAATGGCTGGGGAGGGTCAGGAGGAGCAGAGGGTGGCCTTCCCGTGCCGGCTGTGCGGGGGACAATGCTGGGAGCCGGTGCGCGAGCGCCTGCAGCTTCCAAGGGCGTGCCCGTGGCTGGGTCACGTGCAACGTGAGAGGCGCTTTCCGCCGCCACCCTGCAGATGTTCTTGGATAAACACGGGACATATAAGCTGCTGACCTTTTTATTCCCATCTGCCTCGTGACGTGGGTTAGAGCTCACATTCTCCCTATAAACTGTTCTCGTGGCCACACGGCGGTGCCGGGGTTGGGAGGAAGCACCGGGGACCGTGGGACCTGGAAGCGAGGGCCCGGAACGCCGCACACCTTCAGGGCCGGCCTGGGGTCGTGAGGGCCTCTGCTGGCTGCGGGTGCTGGGGGGCACATAAGGCTTTGGTGAGCTCAGGTAGAGGGAGTCCTTGGGGGTACTGTGGCTGGTGGGACGCTGCCATGCAAAGCGGTCTTCTTTAGGGAGAGGAGGCCGAGGGGGAGAGAGAACCTTTAGTGTTATTTTCAAGAGATAGTATCAAAATGGGAGAAAAAACAAAGAGGAGGGAAATGGAAAGAAGGACGACCATTAGAAACAACAGCATAACATGATCTGAAGAAAAACAAGTCTTGACATGTTTTGAAGCCAATCCTGGACTCCTTGAGGTCCCGACACTTCTCCTCTGGGTGAAGCCAAGGGCTGAATCACACTCACCTGGAGAGGCCAGCCTGACCCGCTCACATCTCAGCCCCGGAGAGGCCACCTGCTAAGTCAGTCTGACAGCGATCCTTGGTGACCTGTACCCTTTGTTAGCCCTCCTGACTGATGGGTGCCCAAGGACTCAACGCTGGGGCAAGGGGACCCAGAGCCCCCGTTTTCTCACATTCTTTTCCTCAAATATTTCTCTCTCCATGCCCTTTGTGCTCAAAGTTAAAGTTTACTGAAATGCTTGAATGTCTTTCATTCTCTTCCCTTAGGAAATAGAGAACTGGAAGAATCGTCCTTATTTGTGTTCGCAGGAGACAGATGTCTTAATTGAATCACTGAGATTTAGCACTCAATTCCATAAGCATAACAAATTGAAGCTCACCAAGAAAAGAATGCTAAGGACTTAGAATCCACATGTGCTCTTCTCTCAGAGGAAACAACTTGACGGAACTAATTATTAGGAGGAAGACAGGCATGAGATTAAAAGCACGAAGTCTCCTATTCTGATGCATAAAGAACAAAGGGACCAGGCCACGAAGCACTTGATTTACCTACCAAATTGGACTGTGCCTGGTTCATCCAATCCCAGCCCCTTCCCCATTGCCATTCAGACCACCGCCAGGCACAGACAATCCCACAGTGGGGTGACCAGCCCTACACTCCTGGCTCAAGCCCAAAGCTCTGGTTCCAGGCTGAGAGCTAAGAGGCTGTAGGCCACATCTCATTCCCTCTCCCACCCCACAGCTCCCAGCTCCTCCTTGGGTCCCAGTGGGGCAGAAGAAATGGGGTAAATCTCTAGAACGATCCTTATTTCAATGAGAACCATCTGTCAGCCAGTGGCTCGATTGGAAATGAGACCATAAAATGAGAAGTTTCTTTTCCTAGTGCTACAGATTAAATGTGCATGTCCCCCAAAGTTCATATATTGAACCCCTGGCCCCAAGATGGTGTCTGGAGGTGGAGCCTGTAGGAGATAATTAAGGTGCGATGGGGTTATGAAGGTGGGGCCCAACGATGTGATTAGTGCCCTTATAAAAAGAGAGACCGGGGCTCCCTCTTTCCACCAGGTGAGGACACAGTGAGATGGTGGCTGTCCACATGCCTGAAAGAGTACCCTACTAGGAACCTTGATTTTGGACTTCCCAGCCTCCAGAACTCTGAGAAATAAATATCTGTTAAGACATCTGTTCATGGTATTTGCTTATAGCAGCCTAAGCTAAGGCACCGAGATGTTCCTCACTGGTTCCTGTCTTTAAAGATAGCCCAGTGCTAGAGGAAAACCAGAACGTCCTCTCAACGGCATTGGTGAGGTGTATTAAGAGTTTGGCCACTACCTGGTGAATGGATTATAACCAAAACCTGGGAGAGTGCAAGGTTATGGGTCTGTTTGGGGGTTGTTTACTTTATTCTATTTTTTTTTTTTTGGAGCGCAGGTAGAAAGGGGCAAGGGTAAATATGTGAGAAATCAAGGTTTTTGAGTGTGGATTAGATTATCAGCCCTAGAAACAGTAAGCAACCTGTCCCGTAACAAACTCAGTTTTCAAGCTACTATAACCCAGATCGAGAAGAAGTGATCTGGAGGACCCAGGTTAACTCGATGCCTACCCTTTCCACAGGGGACCCATGTCAGTGCCAGCAGAACAAGGCTACGTGCGTTTGCCAAAGACACAAAACGAACGGCCCCTCTCTAGCAGGTTGCAGGGGTAAAACCTTCCAGCTGGGACTTTTGCGGTTTCCAGGAACTTAATACTGGAGACCGGGGCATGTTTCAGACTGAAGGATGATCTCCAGAAATAAAACACTCAAACCAGCAGCATGCAGCAAAGGGACTTCTGGGCTGAGCTGCTGAGGGTTGTCAGGGAGGTAAGCAAAAGACAATTCTGACTTTGGCTCAGATTTACTTTTACTTTGAGCTCGAGTGTCCCACATGTGATCCCTTTTTGTCCAAAGATAGAAATCAGTTTCAGGGAGTTTGTAACTTAATTTGGTTATGGCCCTATAAGGGCCTGGGGTTGCATCACGTCAGGCATAAGCCTTCCCAAGGCTTTGACCCCGTAGACAAGACGCCTCCCTAGAATGTTGACAAGGCACTCAGAGCCAAAGGCCATCCTATCCCAAAGTATGTCCCAAAGGGGGACAGGCACCATCATTTTATAAGGAACTACTTTCTGATCTACTGTAAACACTGTAGGTCTACATAGGCTGTTTCCACTCCTCCCTAACTGGTTCCTAATGCAATTCCATTTATCTTTGTAGAAGGTGGGGGCAGAGAAGAAATGGGGCTCCTTAAAGAATCAGGTATGTTCCTAGTTGACATAGTTCCAGAAACTACCAAACTACCAAGTACCAGAAACTCTGCCTTCACTGGAGACCCCCCAGGATGATGCCGTCAGAGAGCAGGAAGCCCTGGTTTCCCATTCCTGGAGGGGAGGAGAGCTGGGCAACAGGTCCAGGCTAGCAGGGGGAAAGGAAGCAGATGGGAGCACTGGGAGACAGGACTGCCCTCTGACCCCCAAGTCTCCTGGACCCCAGCTCATTCCTTATAAGGAGACAGTAGGCCTGTGGGGCTCTGAGAATTGTCCTCATCTGAAGCTGAGCCAAGCCAGTCACCATCCCAGCTCAGCCGGTCCTGTCCAAGCCAGTGTCTACTTACAGCTCCGCCAATGGCTATCGGGACAAGAAGCCATGTTTATATTCAGAAAACAAATCCAAGAAATAATGTATTACCTAAAATTCTTGAAAGTTGGGGAGCCAATTTTACACTGAATATATAGAATAAAAACCTCTGCATTGGCAATTTGCCAGGCTCCCTTTAAAACACCCCAGTATTCGCCTGGGTGGCTCAGTTGGTTAATCCACTGCTTCTGCTTGGGTCATGATCCTGGAGTCCCGGGATTGAGTCCTGCATCGGGCTCCCAGCTCCATGGGGAGTCTGCTTCTCCCTCTGACCTTCTCCCCTCTCATACTCTCTCTCAAATTAAAAAAAAAAAAAAACCCAGTAAAAAAAATTTTTTTTGGATAGTGAGAGACAAAAAAATACACTATCTGTAGGGGTGCCATTGAGCATCCAACTCTTGATTTCAGCTCAGGTTGTGATCTCAGGGTCGTGAGATCAAGCCCCGCACGGGGCTCCACGCTCAGTGGGGAGTCTGCTTGGGATTCTCTCATTCTCCCTCTGCCCCTCCCCCTACTCTCTCTCAAATAAATTAAAAAAAAAGAAAAAGAAAATACACTATCTATAGGTGATACTACAGGAGGTTCGCCCTTATGATAAGGCTCACCCTTACCAACTCCTTAAGGGCAATGGTTAACATCCTGATCTGAACACAATGAATGCTCAATAAAGCTACAGTAAATAAATGTATTTAAGAGGAATTTTTATTTACTTCATATGCTTTTAAAATTATCTCTTTAGAAGAGCTGTCTAAGAAGCTAAAAAGAACCAGCGAACAAGGCTTTGGGCTAAGTCACTGATTGAGAAGGAGGATGTGCTTCCAAATCTGCCTTGAATTAATTAGCACCATTTCCTAACCCGGGTAGGAGCCAACTGTATCCATTCCTGAGACTGCAGAGACAGAAGCCCGTCTGCCACGGATAGCACACTTACACACCATGGCAGGTCTCAGAAACGGAACAACTACGACAAGTCATTTACTGGATAGCTGTGTCCCATGAGGGCCTCAGGAGGCCAGGCGTGCTGGCAGCTCTGGCCTGGCACGCACAGGGCTATGCCAAGGGTAGACAAGCATGGCAGGGGTGGAAGGCTTAGTGGGGCTGCTCAGAGACACCTCAAGGCCTAGAAAGACAGGGTCTGCAGAGAGGAAGGAAGACGTCACCTCTGACTCGGTTAACATTTCAGGAGTGGGTGCAATTCTAAGCCCTCAGGAACAGGGGCCAGAGGATCACTGAGGAGCGGGGTGGCAACCAGGCTGGCATTTGGAATCCCCAGGCTCCTTGTAAGGTCTGGGAGCACCTTTGCAGGAGACAGGCCCAGGGGAGAGTGGACCCCACAAGGAACACGGTCCCGCCACATTTGTTTGAGCAGCACAGCTTGCTTTAAAAGAAAGTACTGCTCCGGTCCATGGAGCATGTTGATATGAGACCATAAACAAACCACAAATCTTTCTGAATTCGGAAAGATTGTGTAACAATCCTATGTAAAAAAAACAAAACAAAACAAAAAAAACAACCAAACACAAAAAACCCCAAAACACTCTTCACATATCGCCTGAATTAAAACAGGGTCTATTCTGTCATCGAAATGGCAGAGTAGCCACAGGGAGAGGAAGGAAGACAGACCAGGGAAACAGCTTAGGGAAAGACTTGAGCAAAATTATCCCTCCTCCAAGCTGTCCAACCTCAGGGGAAGGTTTTCCTCCGCAGGCTCGCGAGAGGTGGAGGAGGCTGGGGCTTCTGTCTGCCCGCTCGGAGCTGCTGGTCGGGGCTGGCCGCAACTACCTGACCATCATCCGGAAGCTCGAGTTGCTGGAACTCTTACAGGAAATTAATGGAATAAACCCAAGAGCACACTCTTCTCTTGACTATCCTACTCCAGAGTTTTTAACACACAGGCTCAGACCTTCTCTCCCTTACTCAGGGCTGAACAGAGTCCCTCTTTCAGAACATCTCCATGTGCCTTTCAGACCTAGAAAACACTGGGCTTACATCCCCTGTCCCCTGGTATAGAGAGACCATCTTCATCCTACGCATCTGCGACCCTTGACCCCCCACTTTTCACTCACTCTGGTCCTCACAGAGCTTTTCCAGAGCTGGCCAAAAGTGCGACTCAGAACACAGCCCATTCCTTAGCTGGGCAAACAGGAAGTCCCAAGTGTAGACTCAAGAACAGGTGCCACTCACCCGGCCCAACCCCCCCCTTGGGCACATGCCTACCTGGGGCTTGTCGGAAGGAAGGTTGGGATGCACACTTCTGTAGCCCTTGGCGGCAAGTGAGGAGGGCTGGGCGTTTCCATTGGCATCCGCATTGGAAGAAAGCCTCCACTCATCTGAGAGATGGGGGGGAAAAAGAAAGAAACCCCTCACTCAGAGGAACACTCCCTGTTCCCCTCTAACCAAAGTCCCGGGCCGAAGGTGGAGCAGAAAGAATGCGAGAGAAGTCCTACCTGCTGAGGGAGTCTCTGAGTCCAGAACTACGTGTGGTGCAAAAAGGAGGAAAACAAAGAGAAAAGGGGGCAAACAGAAACGGTTACACTTGCAGGAAACAAGCATGTACTGCAGAGAGAGAGGAAACTCCAGCACCCCGTTGCTAGACACAAAATGCCCTCAGTCACGACGGCCTAATTACCATAGGAACCCACTCTAACCCATGATGTGCTCACAGGCGCTGACCTTTGAGAACACAAGGCTCACATTCACAGTAATGAAGAAACAATTGTTCCTTGACATTCTTATTTTACGGACAAAAAGGCAACAGAACTCTCTCCTGCCCGGTCGCTAGTAACTCCCATTCCCCTTCTCCAGTCCTGCTGTGGGCTCGGAATGACCTCTCCTCATTAGCAGGCTGCGCTCCTGGACATGGGCGAGGAAGATAAGCAGTTTTTCGGTGGCGACTGGCGCTGGGCTACGGGGGACAGCATGATTTAAGCCCAGAGGTATTCGCTGTGATAAGGACTTTTTTTTCCCTCCCTGTCTGCTTTTCTCCTTTCCACTTAAATGAGCCACATAAACAATTTAAAATCGAATCACCCTGAGTTTTCATCATGCTACAAGGCACCCTTGTCTCCCTGTAGCCAGCTACCACCCCGCCCTCCCAGCCAAGCTAGGCACATCTGAGAGCCCCCTCACACCAAGAGGCAGCAGAGCACAGGGGTTACCAGCTTGGCCAGGAAAGCAGCTGGACCTCAGCTCAAATCCTGGATGCACTGCCGATGGGCTCTGTGACCCTGAACAAATTCCAAGCTTATTTTCCCATCTGAAAAGTGGGGCTAATGTTACCCCGGCTTCCTGAGTGTTGCTCTAAGGATTAATGACAGAATGCATGAGAAATGCTTAGCATGGGGCCTGCCAGAGCTCAGTGTTTGCTATCATCTTCTGCATCATCTCATGTCTATGCTCTCCTCCACCTAGCCCAGAGGTCAGCACACTCTTTCCACAAAAGGCCAGACAGGGAGTATTTTCTGCACCGTGGGCCATGTGGTCTCCGTCGCAACTATTCAACACTGCTGTCCTAGCACAAAAGCAGCCACAGATCATAGGTACATGAATGAGTGTGGCCGTGTTCCAAAGAATTTTTATTTATGGGCCCTGAATTCTGAATTTCATATAATTAACATAGGCATCTAATACCATTCCTCTTGTGATTTTCCTTTTATCCATTTTTTTCCCAAGAACCATTCTTAGTTCATAGGCTGTACAAAGATAGGCATGGGCCAGGTTTAGCCCATAGGCCGGTTTGCCAACTCCTGAACTAGCCCATCCCTTAACTTCCTTCTTTGTGCCCTACCTACTCTTACCTTCCAAGAGAGACGGACACAGCCGCTCTCACAGCCCCAGACCCATCTCCATGGGGCTCCCTCAAGAGGTGGGCTTTCCAGGTGTCAAGCTGAGATCGATTAATGTCACAGACCACCAACCTAAGTGCCAGACGCTGTTAGTCACTTTTGTACCTATTTCATATTTGATTTCGTCACCCAACAGGTCTGCGGGGGAGATGATCCTTCTACCTCATGGATGAAGAAACAGAGGACAAGGTACTTGCCCAAAATCACACAGCCAGGAAACACAAAGTAATCAGTCTGGGTCTCCAGAATCCAGGGCGGCATCTGCCCACCACTGTCAGCCACCAACCCCACCATCAGCCACTGACATTCCACGGAAGTGCTGGGAGCCAAAAGGTGGTGGAACAGGAGGCAAGGGCAGAGGTCAAGGTTTTAGGTGATCTGTATCCCGGCACAGCAGTCTGGCTGCATCAGAATCAGCGGAGTGCCCACTAGAACGGATTGTCCCGCCGCCACCGGCATTCCCCACTCCGTAGATGGGAGGTAAAGCCTGGGACTTGACATTTCTAACACGTTTCCCCGGTGATGCTAAGGCTGCCGGTCCTTAGTCCACACTTTGAAAACCATGATAAAAGGAATACCCAAAGAACATCTGGGGTGCCTAGGTGGCTCAGTCATTAAGCGTCTGCCTTTGGATCAGATAATGATCCTAGGGACCAGGGATCAAGCCCTGCATTTGGCTCCCTGCTTGGCAGGAAGCCTGCTTCTCCCTCTCCTGCTCCCCCTCTCTCGCTGTCTCTGTCAAATAAATAAATAAATCTTATAAAAAAAAAAAACCACCACCACCATCTTTTTTCTAGAGAACTGTTTTCTGTTAACTTTTAACTACTCAAGTATCCATTGTTGCTTCCTTTCCCCTCTAAAACAGTTTTTACAGCATGTTTCGGTTGTGTTCCCCTTCAGCAGGCTGCTTGCTGCTCACATTTCTGCCACCCCCGTATGCACAATCCACAGGTTGTCTCCTCTTTCTGATCACACAGCTGGGGACTCTACAGGACTTGAGTTCTATGCACATTACTGCAATGTACTGGCTCCTGTGACTGGAGGCAGGCTGCCAACCACTGTGCATTTCCTTTTTCTCATCTATGAAGTAAGATCTTTACTCCATGGACACCTCACAGGTTTGCTGAAGATCCAGAGATCAGGCATGTGGAGGATCCTAAAAATGACCATTTTTAACACTCACTGTAGCATCCATCCAGGTTCCTGGCCCAGGGATTGCCTTCCACATGGCAGGCCCTCAACCACTAGGTGACACAATGTGACCGAGGTCCCCAGCCCCCGTATACATCAACTTTTGCTCTGTCTTCCTTTCTAAGTTCTCTCTTGTCTACCTCTGTCAAGTCATTCCATCCAATGTGTTAGATCGACACACACACTGAACCTCAATGGTCCGGAGCGAGGGGTTACCCGTGAAGGCCGCGGGCGTTCTATGTGGATGTGGCAGCACATTGTTCCACGTGCTCTTTAGTTTTGGGTTGGTTTGCATCTATTCTGGTGGCGCTGAGAAACAGATGTCTGTCCCTCCACAGCACTGGTCGTGAAGGGGACTGCCATTCTGGCATCAGACAGCCCAGTCCAAGTCCTTGCTAACTGCACATCCTGCAGCGAAGGACAGCTTTGCCTAGGAAAGGGGGGCTTGTCTGCTTCTTTTGAGTCATGAGGACCAAATAGGAATCTGTGGCGTGAAGCAAGTGCTTTAGTCAACATGGACTCCAAAGCATAAGGAAGAAAAGATTCCCCACACAGAGAAATAAGTCAGAGCTGTTGACAGCTGCTATTCGATAAATAGCTTTGAGAACATAATATCCTTGGGATCAACCCTCTTTTTCGTCTTATTCCAAGTCATTAAAACTGTTCCCCTCTCCTTGCCCCAGAAAAGGCAGTTCCCAGGACCTCTCTGGCCATTTCTCTCTTCCTTACCAAAGGAGGCCTGAATTCCCAACATCATCATCCTGTTACCTCGTCTTCTGAACTTTCGAGGTGGGCAGAGGCTCACAGCCATTTGGACCTGAGTGCAGCAGGTGAGGCCTGATGTACATAATCATCAATTATTAACTCTTGGTTGAGGAGGCTGTCAAAAATGCTTCTTTCACAAAGCGTTACCTCACGCTCCTGGAAGGGGAGGAAGGCCTAGGAAAGTTGGATTCTAGATAGGTTTTGCAGCCCTGAAGAGACTCAGCCTTTCCAGGACAAGTATAATTTCTTTTCTCTTATCTTTTCCTCTCTCTCTTCTTTACACATAACCTTTTGTGGCCTGTGGCCACAGCCTCCTGATATGTTCTTTTATCTCATTCTGTGCTAATTTCATTTTGGTCAACTTTAAAGTTGTGCTGCTGATCAGTTCTTCTTGGGATCTCAGGACAACTGGGTCAGATTCCACATGGTCCAGCAGAGTATCCAAGAATTAGAGGATGTGTTCAAAGTGGGCCTAATATTGTTCCAAATCTCATTTGTGTTTATTTCTTTTATTCCAGTTGTGTGATAAAGAACAACCTTACCCCAAAAGAGGTCTGACTTTGCTTTCTGACTTCTGGTAGTTAATCTCTAAACCATTGGAATGTCATCCCAAAGTGGTCTTTGTGCCAGATCAATAAGGTGACTTTGCGGGGGGGGGGCACTCTGAGCCATCAAAACCTCAGCCTCCTAATGGACTGGAGACTGAGGATCAGCTATGGGAACAATGGATAAAAATTCTGGATACAACAGTTCAGGAGAACTTCCTGGTTGACGATACTTGGAACATACTGTCATATCTCAGTGCTGGGAACTAATGCATCATGACTCCCTAGAGAGGTCAATAAAAGGCCCCATGCTTGGTTCTTCCCTAGAGCCCATGTTGGGCTTCTTCTCTTGGCTGATACTAATCTGTATCCTCTCCCTGTAATAAACCACAACCATGAGTACAACCATGAGTATAATAGCTTTCAATGAGTTCTTGGAGTCCTAGCAAATCATGAAACCCAAGGGTAGTTTTGAGAATCCCTTCACCTAGTATTTGGTGTCAGAAGTGAGGGTGTTCCTTGTCTGAGGGGAGCATCTGCATCCTAGAGATCGATTGGGAAGCCCGGGCTTCAGGTGAAGGCACTAACCTCTGCCTCTGCCTCTGGACTTCCAGCTTCCTACCTCCAAGTCCTGGGCCCAAGCTGTGGCTGCCAGCCCAGCCGTCCCTCCCGCAGACCACAACCCAAGTCCTTCTGTCCTTCTGTCCTGCCCATTTCTCCTGCCTAATGGGGTTTTGGGGAATTTGGGAGTTTTCCATAAGCTGACCCTTTTACTAACAGAGCCCTTAAGAGACTTGATAGAAACCAAAGACCTTCCTTCAGCTCCGAGCAGGTTTTTCCCTTGATTCCAACTCAAAAGATTATGTACGTTTCTAGTTTGGCCAAATTTGTGGATGGCTTCCCACCCTTTCCCATCTACATTCTTAGTCCTATGTTAGCTTTATGTCTCAGAAATGGTGAAATGTGCATCAGTCCAATAAAATATGAAATAACAAAAAAAAGGGAAGTGAGGGTAACTTCAGGGTTCCTGGGTGGCTCAGTTGGTTAAGCATGTGACTCTTGATTTCAGCTCAGGTCATGATCTCAGGGCTGTGAGACTGGGCCCCATGTTGGGCTCCACGTTCAGCAAGGAGTCTGCTTGGGATTCTCTCTCATCCTCTCCCTCTGCCCTTCCCTCCCTCATAAATTAAAAAAAAAAAAATCTTTAAAAAAAAAGTGAGAGTGTTCTCTTATGGAGACTTTTCCTTCCAACTTCTTACTTTGGCAGTCATTCTTGCACAGGCATTCGTAAGGAGGATTCTGAGTTATTGGGGGTAAAGAGAGTCTTTAACTGGTCCCATGTCAATTTTCTCATGATAACTTTTTGCTATTGCCATTTCTAGAGCGCAAACCTGAGAGTCAAACCAGAGAAAACGTGCTGGTACAGTTCCAAAGCTAACAATGTGGTCAAGGACCAGGCAGGAAGGACTGAAGCAAACTGCACAGAATTAACACAAATGGAAGGGGTGAACTGGATTTTGGCTTATGGGTCAGAACACAGGGATTGATGGTCTTCGGGCTATACTAGACAGGAAGTTCCATGTCACACCCAGCAGTGCACTGGGCTCCCTGTCTCTTCTAGAGTAACTAACACCTGACCTGGGGACATGTCACCCTGAGCCAAAAGAGCCAATACCCACACCTGGCCAGGCAAATGAAATCAAGAAGCAGGGATAAGGTAATGGGAGTCAGCACTAAGATTACTGCAGTTCTTTCCAGATGCTTCTGATCCAAAAACCAAGGTCCACATTCAGAGTTTAGGAGGTTGGTCAGGAAGCCGTGGCTGGTGATCCAGTGTTAATCTACCACTTGAGGGCCAGAGTCTGGAGCGTGGGTTTGAACTGGGCAAGTCCAAGGGCTCGTCCACAGGCTCGATCTCACTCCACCTCAGAAAGGACCTCCATCCTCCCAGCGTTCATCTGGATGCACGTGGTTCCCAAATCCACACCCTGAACTCCAAATATCCAAATGTCTGTTAAAAACTTCCTCCTGGAAGTCCTGCCCTTGCCCCGAAACTCAGTGTGGCAAACAATGGAATTCAACATCCCTTTCTCTCCCTTCATAAGCCAATGTCTCCATGAATACCACAGCCACTCTCCCGGTCACACAGGGGAGGCAGCAGGGAGTCCCACCTCTCCGTGCTCCTCACACACACCACACGGGGTCCTGCCACTTCACTCTTCCAAACGCACATCCACCCTGGCCCCCAATCCTCATTCCCACTGTGCTCACAGCCTCTAGCTGAAATTACCGGAAGGCTTTCCCAGGCCTCCGGATGTGCACAACTGCCATCGGAGCTGCCATCAAAGAAAACCTGCAGTGTGCCCGGCTGAGTGCTGAATCTTGGCGTGAAGGAGCTCACTGGACTCCAGCACCTCTACTGAGGTCCTTCCATGTCACAGATGAGGAAATGGACGCTCGCAGAGGTTGAACGAGTCGCCCACATCACAAAGATGGTAAGTGGCGAAGCTGAGCCTTGACAGAGGGCTGTGTCACTACGAAACTAGACCATGTCTCACAGGATGAGGGAGGTGGAGCAAGGACAAGGAACAGGAGATGCGTCTGAAATGGGGGCATCAAGGGGTCACGTAAGCAAAGAAGGTGCTGGGCAGTAATACAAGCCTGGAGCTTCCAGTCTGGGCAACTGCTCGGCAACCTGTGGGCCTGCAGGGAGGGAAGGTGGCGGTAAAGCCAGGGAGCGAAGCATTGAGGAGGCAGATGGAGCAAGCTCAGGGACAGATGCTGGCCCCAGTGATAAGGGAGAGAGCTGGACGCTACCTGACATCAGCTGTCTGTGAGGGTACTGGGAGGAGGAAGCATGGAGGAGACACCTGCTGTCTCATATTTGGGCTCTGCGTCTGGGCTGGACCTGGCTGCCTGTCGAGGTGCAGGGACTCCCAGGCTCTGGGACAAAACTGGAGACTGGGGCCGGGGAGGAGGGGGGGCAGGGTGAGGAAGCAAGTTGCCATCCAGAGGCTCAGGTGCAGGGAGCTGAGAGGGATGAGAAGAGGGCTGGGAACCACACAGACACAGACAGGCGCCAGCAGGACGCTGGCCAGTGAGCAGTACTGTAAGAGGACAGGATCTCCAGCTAGAAGGTCCCATCTCTAGAGCCCCATCCTTCTTCAAGTTAACAGCAGCGTTAACTCATTTCAGCCTCTTTGGTACTCTTCCCTCTACCCAAACCCAGCTTGTGCCTTTCACCCAAACCGCCCTGGGATGTAATCTTGAATCTGTCCTTGGTGAATGGGATTCTGTTTGTGTCAGATTAATTCCCAAGGTTCCCAAGGTCCCAGAGCATGTTGGAAGTCAATACCATCTTGCCCAGGCCCTTCATACTTTACCTCGGAAAGCACGACAGTGGACTAGCAGCTCATGCCTGACTCCTACAGTAAACAGACTTCTGTCTTCATCTGAAGCACCCAGAATTATGCTGCTTTTCCTTCCCTTCTCCCTGTTTCTCACCACAGTTCCCACGGACTACTCAGTGCCCTGCACACAGATGATGCTAAATGAATGTTTGCCAACTTGGGAGTCAATGATCTCCACTTACCAGGAGGAAAATAATCTAAGATCGATTTACTGTAGAGATATGTATGACCGATAGCTCTCCCTTAATTCTTCAGTGTATTTGCATTTTAACACAAGATATTCCTTCACCCAAATTAGCTGTCAGAATTTATAAGATCTAGAATTATTCGGAGGATAGAGAGCTTCTTAAAAGTGCTCAAATCACCGTAAGGTCCTGTAAATCCAAGCCCACAGGGGACCAGTCAGTGCTGTGTGTTAATGCCACCCAACAACCAGGAGGGGGAGCTCCAGGACCCTCTCCTCCCACTCGCCTTGCTAATTCCCCCAGCGGCAGGGCCCTCCACTTGATTAAGGTCATTTTATTGAGCCACGGGCTGTAGGTACGGTCTTTTTCTTTCAATTATCCCTGAGGATTCTCTCTTCCCCAAACATCTTTGGGAGCTGGATCTTCCCAGGTAGGCCAGGAGAGGCTGGATGAAGCTAGCCTTAGGAAGAAATGCATTATGCTTTCACTCCTTGGCCTCACCTTTCCAGGAGGCTAGAGTGGCAGACTGCAGGGGGGCAAAGGCCGGTATGGGTTGAGGAACGTAGGGCCAAGAAGCGACTTTCAGCCTATAGTGCTGGAGGCCACTTATGCCTTCCCTGAGACCAGGGAGAAAGCAGCTCTCCACAAGGCACGACATTACCAGAATGAGGCTCATGCTCAAACCCTAGCCTGGCTTTGTCCTCAGGCATCTGCCTTGGCGCTAGTTCTAGGTGGCTGGAACGGAAGTCAGTTTCCAAGATGCCTGGCCACTGACTGGCCCTTTCCTTCAGATTTCCATCTCATCACAAGGTGGGGGGCGGTGCTCCCCACTGCACCCATGAGTCTGCGTGCCTCATTTTATCTTCAGTCCCAAGGAAGTGGTCTTCACCCTCACTCCTTTTCTTCCTCCATTTCCTTTAGGATGGAAAGAAAAGTCCCCTTCCTTCTAGCAATAGCTCTCAGATGTGATCCCTGGACCTGCAGCATCTCAGCATGACCGGGAATTTGTCAGAAATACAAACCCTCAGACTCTACTTCAGACCTGTCAGTGGGAATAACCATAAATCCTAAAGCCCCAGCCTGGGGCCCAGCATCCTGGCCTTTCACTCCAGGTGATTCTGATGCAGCTCAGGTGTGAGAACCAGCACCCTGTGGAGTGGATTGGGGGGTGGGTGGGGGCGGGGCTGCCCCACCCGCAGCTAGCTGTCCCTGGGAAACTTCAGTGTTTCTTAACTCCCAGAACACTTGGGGAGCTCTGGAAAACCCTCTCTAGAGAGATCACAGTAATCACAGTCATAACCTACTAATAGTGGTTGACCTCTAATGGCTCATTCCATGCCACTATGCAGGTGCAACACCTTCACACACTCCACGCTCACAGTAATGCTATGAGGCGGGTGCAACTATCAAGCCCTTTCTCGAGAGGACACCACTAGGGCCGGGACAGAGAATGTCCTGTCCACAGCTGCATGGCCACAGATACGAACACAGATCTAACAGGTTCCGAAGTCCCAGGTCTCAACGCCACTCTCTAGACACCCCGAATGGTGGAGCCGGATGGGAGATGAGCTGCAGATGGGCTTCTTCTTTGGGCTCCCAGTGCTCCCAGGGTGCAGTGGCCTTGGAATGGCTCTTCTGATCCTGCTGCTTCAGCTGCCAGGCGGCCTCCCCAGGCCTGAGCCCTGCCCCTCCCCTCTTTCTGGGAGCCAGGTCAGTCAGGCACCTGCATTTCTCAAGCTCCCCTGGTTTCTCCCTGCCTCCACCGCCCCAGCCCTGCTTGGCCACTTACAGCCATCTCGGGATGGTCTCTGAGAAACCTAACCTCCAGCCCATCTCACCACTCCCTTCCCACGCAGCCTCTGCCCTCAAGAATGTGGTCTGCAGGGCCACCGGGCTCTGTGATGAGGTTTCTCCTCATCTCCCTGGTCACCAGCTAACCAAGTGGGGCCCACTGCCTCGCCCCTGCCTGAAACAAGTGAGCACGTGTTAGCTCAGGGCACAGTCCAGACGGAACAAGCTGCTGACTGCTCTAGGGACCTGTGGGAGACTCGGAGACAGCTGGTGAATGCACGCCCTCCCGAGCAGAAGCACGAGGGCCTCTCTCCCTCCCAAAGGGACTCTAAACCCCTCCCCTAGGCACCGGGGTCACACACCTGGCTTGCTCTCATGCTTCGGGGTTTCCTGAGGGCTTGTGGGGCCGCTGCTCGGGATTTCCCTGTAGGAAGATGAGGCACGGAGAGTCACCGCTCCCTTCCCCGTGCAGATTTTTGTAGGATCCATGTCTGAAAAGGAAAGATGCAAAAGAGAAACCTGAATCCATGGCTCTTGCAGGATTAAAGCAACAGTCAGTTAGCAACTCATGACAGCCAGGGAATGAGATGAACCTGCTTACAGCCACGCGAAGTCTTATGGTCAATGTGATGGTCAATGAGAATTAATTTATGGGTGGAGGAGAGAGACGAATCCCATTTCCGGAGGTTTACCACGCATCATGAGGTTCAGGGAGAATGGAGGCAACAATGAGTTCTGTGTGAGTTATAATTATCAGCTGAAAACATTTCAAAATGAAAGCAGGTTAATTCCTTTCATTAGACGAGGCTTAGGTTGGTGAGTAGACTTCTGACCAATGAGTAGGGAACAATTCAAGAAAGAGTTGATGAGAGATTTCTTGAGCTTCCAGACCATCCTTCTTACGAAAGAGCAAGCTGGAAACATCAGTTGTTCTCGGGAAGAATCAAGTTGTTCTAAGAATCACCCTCCCTGCAGTTCTCCAGTTGAAAAAGGAAAAGAAAATCTAACCACAAGGCAAGACCCTTAAAATGAAGACGGGATATACCGCCTGGAGCGAAAGATCACGGGCGAGAGCCTCACACTCCAAACTTAACAAAGAAAATTCACACCAAAGAAAATGTCAAGAAGCACCCAATCCTTCAGTGAACAGTGTTCACTGTGCCCCCCACGGAGTCTTCTCTGGGCCCTGATCTTTCCTACAGTTCACAATGGCCTAAGAGCACCCTTAGGGGCATCTTTCCAAATTCCACTGAGAAGGACTTCAAAACAGGATTCCAAAGATCTGGACGCTCATCCTCTAGAAAAACCAGGGATGAGGAGTCAAGAAACTGATGTAGATCACACAGTTCTAGAAGGCACAGGTTTCCTTCCATTCAGCTCAGCTGAACTGAATGCCACAGTACAGTTTTTCAAATTGCTCAGAGCACAGCCTGGATCTCTGACCTAAAATTGTCAAGACTGGGATTATGGGATAAGACTTCAGGCGGGTGATGGGCAAGATGGAGGCGCAGATGAACCCTCCTGCCCATTCCCACACCAGGACAGCGAGAGGTACGGCCTCCTCTCTCCACCTTTCCAGTCCAGCACCCTCTCCAGCAACTTGCACGGAACGACCACTGGTCTTCCAGAGGAGAACACATCTGCCCCATCAGCACCTCTTCCCATCGAATGCAAAGCACTGGGAAAACGGATTCCTGGTCCTTTCAAAAGGGAGGAGCTGCAAAATGACAGATCCAGCCTGTCCCAGGCTCCTGGAGGCCCAGCCAGATTATCCCAAGGCCAGAGCGTGCCACTGGGGCAAAGTACTGCCGGGGCCTGACTTGTGCCATTCCACACAGAAGGAAGCTGTGTGTCCAAGCCGGGACCCGAACAGCACCCTTGGTCGGAGAGCAATGGCAGGAAGGGGCTGCACGTGAACTCGGGGGCTGGGGAGCACAGCGGAGCATCTAGGATTGGCATCTAAAGCACCTGCTTCAAGTTCAGCCCAACTCACAGGCTCCCTGTGTAGGCACATTAATTCTCTGGGGGAGTGAAGTTTTAAATAAAGTACTGGGAGCTGAAAGCCCCCAGGGAGAGCCAGGTACCATGTGCACCTCCACGTATCACATACCCCATGTACCAGAGCCCCGTGCCTCTGGACTGACCCTTCTCCTAAAGAGAGGACAGGCAAGGCATCTGCCAGTACTTCTCCAGACTCACTAGCTCCCAGGAGAAACACACACACACACACACACACACGCGCGCGCGCGAGCGTGCGTGCACAATAAGAAAGGAAACCAGCTAAGGACGTGAGAGGGAAGAGCCCCTAAACATGCAAGAGTTAAGCCTCCAAGTCTTTGTTAGAAGGAAAGGAAGGAAAACCATGCATGATCTGCTAATAATTAAAAAAAGAAAAAAGAAACCAACCCAAGGAGAGATACCTGGAGGGAATACCAGGCCTGAAGAGCTTTTCACTGTCTTCACGGGAATTATTTTAACAGCAGAAACAGAGCGCGCACGTAAAGGGTCGGCAATTGCTGAAAACACAAAAGGGTAAATGGTGCATCCAGAAAGGACATTTGGGAAACACTCAGGCAGCTGAGGAACTGGGCAGGGACAACAGGAGGAAGTCGCCCACACGAGAAGAACAATGGGAAGAGCAGTAGATGTGGTCGTCTCAAACAGCCTGCCTTCTCTCTCCGGAGTCCCCGCCAAGATGGCAGAGCCCCTCCCCCGTCCCCCCCCCACCCCGTCCCCTATACACAGTTGGTCAGTGCTTGTCTGCACCTCCTGCCACACTAGGAACGTGCCAAAGCTCCGGACAAAGAGGTGTCCAGACATGCCAATGGCCGGGCACACAGCAGAAGGGGAGAGCACTTAGGGTCCGAGGGGCCCCTGGGAGAATGCCGGGGTGTCTGTGCTGGTGGCAGGGCTGCGAGGAGGAGAACTCCTCCGTGGGCCCCTGATGAGTGCAGGAGGGAAGGGAACACGCTGGTGAGCTGCCTCCCCACCATCACAACTTCTGGGGTCCTTCCTGTGCCTGTTCTGACCACCATGGGCCCCTGTCCCTGAGCAAATCAGAACCTCCATGTGTTGGGCACTAGAGGGTCTTGCTTAAACCCAGGCTATCCTGGACAGGAGGCTGCCAGGCATCCAACGCACACTCAAGACTCCGGGCAGCACCCACGTCCACAGTCCAGGATGCTGACCCCCAGGCAGGCCATCGGAGAGCTAGCAGAACAGCCCAGGACATGGCCGGGGCAGCTGTCCTCATGTGCTGGGCTCCCCTGCTTCTCCCTCTGAAGTCTTCCCCAGCCTGCCCCCCCCACCAGATCCTGGAGCCTCAGAGGTGGCACATCCCCAAACTCCCCTTCGTACCACGTGTGGGGGAGCCTCCCCTCCCCCCGCCTCTCCAGTGGGAGCAAGCAGAGATGGAGCTCAGGCCCTATGGTGCCAGGGTCACCCCACTGAGCCCACTCAGACATCTTCTGGCCCCATATCTATGTAATAACTGGGGGATAAGGGCTGCTGGGGAAGCAAGACCGTCACTAGTGCATCAGTATCACGCTGGTGAGCCAGTCAGGGGACAGAAGGGGAGACAGTCCCCTCAGCCACAGAGCGGTCACCTTCCAGTCCCTCACGCTGCTGCCTCGTAAGGCAGTCACATAGCACATGGCCACTGATAACTAAGTAGACAGTAACAAGCATGCTGCACATACGGAGATACAAACCCGCTTGCACGACGAGCCCACCGTCTGCTCCTTATGACCACGTGGGACACTGGCTGGTGGGAGACTCCTGCTACCTCTCACAGAGGACGAAGCAAGAGGCTCGGTGCTACTCAGAGTCATCCAGCTCCTCGGGGAAGAGGCTGGAGCTCAGCTGTCCTGGCCCATGGCTCAGTGACTTCCCCAGGCCACCACGACGACCTTCAGGTGACATGTGTTGCCTCCTTTCCATATGAGGGCTGCATCTTACTGAGTGGAGAGTAGACACCATGCCCACCTGCCGCCTTCTCCCACAGCCCTGACGTCTGCTCCAGGGAGGACATCAGCCATAGGGACGGGGCTGATGGCCTCACTGCCCTCTAACACCCCCTCAGTGTAACTTAGCCAAGATCGCCCAAGTCCCTGAGGATGCGTCCCACACTAGGAGTGGAGAAGGGGGGTCGGGGAGGGAAGCAAGGAGGCAAGGGGCACAGAGAAGCAGCTGGACACCTCCTGCCACAGAGGAACCGACCCTGAAACTACCTGGGCCCCCATCCCCCAGCTCCTGCCGGGCTCCGCACCTTCCCTTCCCGGCTGCTCCCCCTCCCCAACCCCGACTTCACACTTGGCCCTGTCTCAAGAGGAATACTTGGCTGAACCAGATGGGAGTTACAAAGGCCAAACAGGTCACATTCCGAAATTACTCTGTGAGAGACGGTGCGTTCTGACCTGACTGCCCAATAACAGGACCTTTGCCCCCTCTCTTTGAGACCATAAAATTTAGAAGCACGAGCAAGGATGGAATCAGTAAAACCCAGAATCTGAAGCAGGAATAAAACACCGCAGAACATCTCATTTCCTCATTTTCTAGCTAAGGGGACGCACACGCATAAAAACAGTGGACCTCCCGAGATGTCCGTCCGTGAGCAGAACTGGGACACGAGCCCATACCTCATCACTCGGCCCAGGCCGCCCTGCAGAAGTGACATGGGAGCCCTGGCCACTTGGGCAGCTGTGTTGAGAGGCTGAGGAGGAGAGAGCACAAGGCACATGGGGCCTCAACGGTCATCTTACCCGTCACTCACTTCCCACTTAAATCTTTTGTCCTAAAGTTTTTAAAAACTGAAAACCAAGGACACACATGAAACTAATGCCACAGAAGTAACTAATTTCAGCAATCAGAGGTTCTTGCCTCTGGGTCAAGGCTGGGATCGGGTCACTATTTACAGCCACTGAAGATAAAATGCCAGGTAAGGCAGACTCCAGGCTGATAAATGCCATTTGCACCAGGCGAAGTCCTCGCTTGGTGTACTTGACCTGTTGTTATCCACATCCTGTGAATGGGGGACAGGTTTTACCATGTGACCTCACAGTGGGAAAGAGCAGCCTCGGACCCATGAGAGGCAAGAAAGTGCTCTCACTCTCAAGGTCGGCATGGGAGACAGGTCTCCGGTTCACAGCCCAGTGCAGCCAGTGACTGCTTGTACTCGGAGCGGCCCAGGCCCCACACACTCCATGCCTTCTAGAACTGCTTCATAATAGCCAGCTGGGCTTCCCCGCAAGTGCTTACCTTTGTCCTGCCCATTGCTGCCTGGTGCCAGCCCGTTGACCACAGCTTTAGAAGCACCAACGTCACATTCTGAAAGAGAGACAAAGAGCACAAGGCTTATGATCATCTCTCCCCAACATTTATTGAGTCCTGTGTGTGTGTGTGGCATGCTAGGGACAGGCTGGCTTTCTCAGGCCTGGAGAGGGCCCCCTTGGGCACCATGGGAGAATTCTGAGAATGCTGTGTGGCCTGAACCGGGAGAGAACGCAAAAGCTATTTGGGGATGGGAAGTATGTGGTAGGTGATGCAAATTCTCCTGCCTCCTTGCTATGGCTTCACTGCTTACATTTTTAAAAAGTCTGCTTCATTCCCTCAGAATGGCATCTCCTGAATGACAAAGGCTTACCTACTCCCTGGAAGGCCGACTCCGGTGCATCCCCGAGCGTCCAGAGTGAGAGCTGTCAGAGGATGGAGACCTCAGGCTCTCTGATGCCCTCCTTCACCCCACCCACACCCCCCATCATCAGAGGCATGCTATCTGTCCCCTGAAATGTCTCTGGACACTGCACCTCGCCCCCCCCAACTACACTGCCTCCATTGAGGCTCTTCGGTTACTATCCCAGAGATGACCCGGCTTCCCCTACCAGGCCCCCTGCCTCTGTTCTGTCCCTTCTCCACCCCCAGTCAGTCGGCCTCCAGACAGCACTTTCTAGCTCCTGATCCAACCATGGCCCTCCCGGGGTTACAAAGCCCCTGGGTGCAGGACTCAGGACAAGGAAACAGAACAACGCAATAGGACCTTCTACAACAACTCTACTTTAAGTAGATGGTATTTTACCTCTATTTTGAGAATAAAAATATTGGGGTTTAGCTGGGAATTCAATCATGCATATCATCTCTATGAGGAAAAATGTATTCCGAGTTCTCCAAAATGTACAAATGATTGTTTGGAATACAATTTTTTAGTAAGTTGGATGATTTATATTTTCGCATACCTGGCTATATTTAAATTAACTGATCTTCCTGATAATTAAAAAACAAGCAAACAAACAAGCCCCCCGGGGTCAGCAGCTACCTCAAGGACAAAGCCTGGGCAATTTATACAGGATTCTGGGCTCTCCTAACCATTGGTCCTACAGCCTTTTCCTGCTGCGTTTCCCTTCTCCTCTGCCTGCCAAACCCATCTCCTCACAACCCCGGAGCTTGTCAGATACTTCCAGACCTTTAGGCTTGGTTCCTGCAAGACCCACGCCTGGAATGCCTCCTCCCCTTTTCTTACACTGGGGGAAATCCTGCGCCTCCTTGCGCCTTGCTTCCCGGGACTGTCACCTTCTCTAGGTCAACAGAGACCTTCCTGAGTCTGCGCAGCTGAAGTCACTGGGAGCAGCCTCGCCCCTCCTATGTGGCTTGGAGTAACCCCATCCCCATCCCCACCCTCACCAGCCGAGAGCCAACCAAGCCACAAATACAATCGCAACACCTATGGTTTCTTAAACATCTATTTGCCTGGACCTGAGGATCCATGCTAACATTCCGTAAGTAGCATCTCATTTTTATCCTTCAGACCCAGTCCCCTGGAGCTGTGAGACAGGAACTCCTATTTCACAGATAAGAAATTTGAAGTGCAGAGAGGACGCCAGGCCTGCCTAAGATCACTATGCTGGGGTCTGAATTCTGGTCTGCTCCATCTCCCAGGGCATCCTCTCGCCTCCAACAGGAAGAAGGATTTTTTTATTTTTAAAATAAAAAATTGCGGGACACCTGGGTGGCTCACTCGTTGAGCGTCTGCCTTCGGCTTGGGTCATGATCCTGGGGTCCTGGATCAAGCCCCATGTTGGGCTCCCTGCTCAGTGGGAGTATGCCTCTTTCTCCCTCTCCCACTCCCCCTGCTTCTGTTCCCTCTCTTGCTGTGTCTCTCTCTGTCAAAAAAATCAATCAAAAAAACCTTTAAAAATAAATAAGTAAATAAATAAAATTAAAAACGGCTCCTGTATAGTCTATAAATACAAACTAAATACCTTCTTTATGAAAGAGCTTATATATGATCTCCCCAAATGCTGGGGCTGAAGCCCCGTCCCAAATCCCAGGAGCTGCTCTGGCTGAGACTAGGTTACCCACCTAGGCCCTCCTGTCAGCCTCCCTGACATGGCCCACTTTGCCGGGCCCGCCTAGATAATCCTGGATCCAGACACGAGCAGGGCCATCACCCCTCCTGACCAGCAGCCTGGACCTCCCGCCCCATAGGTTCTGTCCTGCTCGCTGCCCCATCCACCTCCAGAAGAAGCCCAATTCTCCCAGATGTCAATATCTCCTTAGCACCTACATTCTTGGGATGGATGGAAGGAGGGTGTTGGCCAGAAATCCAAGTAAAAGAAGTATCACAGGTTCCATCACCCCATCTGCTCTGTCACTCTCTCTTCTCCCTGCACCTGTCAGAGTTCTTCTTCACTATCTCTTCTCTGGAACTGAAGGCCTTGCTTCGGGCCCCCCCCCCAACGCTAGCACTGGGGTAGCCTCTCAGCTGCTACCAGGCCCAGCCCCATGCATTTCCTTTCCTTTCCTTGCTTTCTTTTCACGAAACATAGCGAAACTTGAAGAAAATTTGCAAAATTGTGCCAGCACCTCCGATTCTGATCTCTTCGGCCCACTGTGCTGGTGCCCACAGCCTGGCTTTGCCTCAGCTCCACCACACACCGGCTGGTTATGCCAGGCAAATCCTCCACCTCTCCGGGCCTCAGATGCTCCACGTACAGAATAGGATGGGATAAACCATGCTCCCCTTTGCGGGTCTGCCAGAAGAATGCAATGAAAGAACAAACCAAAGCCCCTTCCCTGGTGACTGGCAGTCCAGTCCCAACTTGGAATAAAATGAATGCATCAGTATCTTTGGGGTAAATGCCCAGCAGTGCAATTGCAGGGTCATAGGGTAGCTCTATTTTTAACTTTCTAAGGAACCTTCACACTGTTTTCCAAAGTGGCTGCACCAACTTGCATTCCCACCAACGGTGTAGGAGGGCTCCCCTTTCTCCACAACCTCTCCAACTGCCTTGTTCATTTTTGCCATTCTAACTGATGTAAGGTGGTATCTCAATGTGGTTTTGATTTGATTTCCCCGATGGCTAATGATGATGAGCACTTTTTCATGTGTCTGTTAGCCATTTGTATGTCTTCTTTGGAGAAGTGTGGGTATTTACCCCAAAGATACAGATGTAGTGAAAAGGGGCACATGCCCCCCAATGTTTATAGCAGCAATGTCCACAAGAGCCAAACTGTGGAAGGAGTCAAGATGCCCTTCAACAGATGAATGGAAGAAGATTGGTCCATAATAATAATAATGGAGTATTCCTCAGCCATCAGAAAGGATGAATACCCACCATTTGCATCAACACGGATGGGACTGGAGGAGATTATGCTGAGTGAAATAAGTCACACAGAGAAAGATACATGGTTTCACTTATTTGTGGAACATAAGGAATAGCACGGAGGACATTAGGAGAAGGAAGGGGAAAATAAAGAGCGGGGGAATCAGAGGGGGAAATGAACCATTAAGAGACTATGGATGGAGGGTTTTATTTTTTTTAATTTTTATTTTATTTATTTATTAATATTTATTTATTTGACAGAAGTCACAAGTAGGCAGAGAGAGGGAGAAGCAGACTCCCCGCTGAGCAGAGAGCTCGATGCGGGGTTCGATCCCAGGACCCCGAGATCATGACCTGAGCCGAAGGCAGAGGCTTAACCCTCTGAGCCACCCAGGCACCCCTGGACAGAGGGTTTTAGAGGGGAAGGGGGTGGAGGGGGGGGATGGATGAGCCCAGTGATGGGTATTAAGAAGCACGGATCGCATGGAGCACTGGGCGTTATACACAAACAATGAATCATGGAACACTACATAAAAACTAGTGATGTACTATATGGTGACTAGCACAATTTAAAAAATTACATAAATAAATAAATAAAGCATCATTTTCATACTTCTCTTTCCACCAAAGGTTAACACAAATGTTTTCTACATAGCTGCTTTCTTCCTAATGATCACTTTTAATAGTAGCACAATACTCCACCAAGTAAATACACATAATGAACTACTCATTCCCCACTTTCATGTAGGTGATGTTTTTGTTTCCTCTGAATTAAGACAGGAATTCCCAAGAGTGGGATTATCAGGTCAGAGGGTCTGGATTTTTTGGACTCTTTCTATAAAATGCTCTCCTAGCACCATGCCTGAGAGTGAACCTGGGAGAAGTCCCACAAGCCTGGCCACACCCTCCCCTCCTGCCACGCCCTCCCTTCTTCCTCCTGCACTTATGCACGCAGGGAGCCACAATGCCTGCTTAGGCTCATCCTGGTAGAAGACCCAGAAATTTTAGCTGCAGAGCAGAGGTTTTAAATTAAAAAAAAAAAAAAGAAGAAGAAAGAAAGAAAGAAAGGAAAAAAAAGAAAAAAGGCACTTCCCAGCCTGTTTTAAATGACCACAAAACCAAAAAGCCAAGCAAACAAAAAGAAAAAATGAATTACAAAGCAGGAGCTCCTGGCAGTACCCAAGTCCACTTGGAGGGGGAAAAAAGGTGTATTTCTTCTTCACGTGCAGCAAAAGGGCTCAGAACAAGCCAAGTCCCCCTCCTTGCAAGGAGGAGACGTGAGCTGATAACCTAGGACGGAACACTGGCCACACATTGGGCATCGTACATGGGAGGTACGTTGTCACTTATTCCTCAAGGAGTCCCAGTGAGCCGGTGTTTTCATGCTGTTTCACAGAGGAGGAGCCCCTGCAGGCCAGAGGCCACACAGCTGGTCTGGGAGGAAGCCAACTTGAGGCCCTGTGCTGTTCTACCTGGAGCCGGCCTCGGTCCTAAGCACATACCGTCCTGCACAATTTAGGATTTGGCTAAGAGGACACTGTATGTTGTACATGGAAAGGATTGTTTTTAATCTGCAGAGGTCTCTAATGATACTCCAAACATAATACAGAATTAGGAGACCCCTGAATGAGCTGCTACTTGGTCACCTGCCCCATACCCCACAGCCTGCAGGCCTCGGGAGGCTCCAGGGCACACACAGAGCCAAGGTGGGCCTTAATCTCCAGAGGGAAATTTCTCTGCCTTGAGTTCTGGGCTGGACAGCTGACAGCTCTTGGCTGCATAATAAGTAGGGACCTATTCACTTCTCTGACCTCGATAGCCCGCACTTTCTACCCCAGCTCTAAACTAAAAATACGCAAAACTGGTCATTTCTTTATATCTTGATTTTTTACTACCAAAGGCATAGCAAGAATGTGAACAACTGCTTGTCCAGCCTCAATGGAGGGAGTGTTAGATTAGCTCTGGGGCAACTACGGTCAATGTGTTTCCTTCTGCAGCCGTCACCAGGATTAAACAATGCCACTGAGGTGTACACATATATCAACATTTATCACCCAGGATACTGAAAATATCTGCAGTTCAAGGTATGTCATTTCTATCTCAATAAAGTTGTTTAAAAAGAGAAAAAGGGAGATATTATAAAGATTAGGATATGGTGCATGTTAAGCCTACTGCTTAACACATAGTAGGCACTCATTAAATCATTCATAATGAAGGCGATAGTAGCAATGACAACTTACAACAGGGCTTTGGCGCTTGCCCAGGTCTCAAAAAATAAAAAATGAAATGCATTTGGGGCATTAAGAAAAAGTGGGAAATCTGGGTAAACTACCCAGTCTTGTAGATTGGTCCAGAAGAGAAAGACAGGGTTTTAAATGGCTTACCAGAGCTCATGGTGGTAACAGGACAAGTCTTCAGCTACTGGGGCTCCGAAATGCTCTGCAGGAAAACAGACAACAACACAACACAACTGATGAATGGCAGCTTCACAGAAGTCCCGATCGTGTGCATGAAAAATGCAGACACCACACATTACCAGGAGTCACCTGGCCAGGCTCCTAGTTCTTGGTTGGCTGCCTACAAACATGAACCTGACCTTGGGCACAGCGCTCAACCTCCTTGGCCTCAGTTTTGACACCTGTACTTGGTTTAGATACTAAGCAAGATCTCTGCCACTTCTAAGATTCTTTTAAAAACCTTAAGTTCCATGAGTCCACCTAGGTCAAGGAGAGGGTAAAGGCAAGAGAGAACCAAATTGTAGGAGAAAGAGGTAAAAATCACAACACGAAATGACTATCAAAGGATAATAAGTTTATATACATATAATTATGTAAATGGAAATGTTCTAGATGCTTTAAATACATTCGTTTGATCCTCCCAATGGCCCTACAGAGTAAAGCACTGACACTGTATTAGTTTACATGGATAAGCAGACCAAGGTACAGAGGCAGGCACAGCTTGGTACAGGGACCCAGACAGACAGACTCGAAGGCCCAGGCCATCAGGTTCTGCATCCTACTGGCCTGAGGGGGTGAGGTGGGGAGGCACTCTCTTGATTCACAAAGACCAGCCCCTCATTTAGTATGGTCTCATCCCAAGTCTGCAGCAACCACTGACCTGCTTTCTATCACCAGAGTCTAACCGTGCCCCTAGAATGTTACCCCAACAGCACGGTGCATGTACAGTCTCGCACCTGACTTCTCTCACTTAGCACACCACCATCTAGAAATTGGCCATTGTGTGGGGTCTATTTCTGGACTTTATTCTGCTCCATGAATCTGACTTGAGCCCAAAACTCACTGTCTTGATTACTCCAGTTTTTAGACTAAGTCTTGAAATCAGGTAGTGTGAGTCTCCCAACTTTGTTCTTATTCAAAAATCATTTTTGGCTCTTCTAGATCCTTTGCATTCTCACAAAGTTGAGAACCCTACCCACTTCTACCAAACACAAAACAAAAAGCATGCTGGACTTTTGACTGGGATCCTGTTGAATCTATACATCAATCTGGATGGAAATTAACATTTTACCAATATTGGATTTTCTCATTCCAGAGAATAGACCCTCTGTCCCCTTACGCAGGTCTTTCATTTCTCTCCACAATATTCTGTAGTTTCCAAAACACTGGTCTTGCAATATTTTAAAGAAAAAGGCCTAAGTGAACATACTGGAAAGACAATCTGAAAAACAAGACTTCAGGATATGCAGAACCTTGCTATTTAAAGTGTGGTCCAGAGACCAGAAACACTGGCATCATCTGGGTGCTTACTAAGAGTGCAAAAACTCAGACTCAACCTATGGGGACTGAATCTGAATCTGCATTTTAACAAGATCCCCAGCTGGTTTCTCTGCACTCAAAAATGTGGGAAATAAATAAATAAATTAATTAATTAAATAAAATAAAATGTGAGATGCAATAAGGGAGAGGAAATCAACTCCCTAGTTCATGAATCATGCAATAAGAAGGCCCAGGTATTGGGGCACCTGGGTGGCTCAGTGGGTTAAGCCTCTACCTTTGGCTCAGGTCATGATCTCGGGGTCCTGGGATCGGGCCCCACATCGGGCTCTCTGCTCAGCGGGGAGCCTGCTTCCCCCTCTCTCTCTGCCTGCCTCTCTGCCTACTTGTGATCTCTGTCAATTAAATAAATAAAATCTTTAAAAAAAAAAAAAAAAGAAGGCCCAGGTATGGTCTGAGGGTCTGCATAAGGAGACATGCGTTAGTTTCCTTTTCAACACACTGAAGCCAGACACTGGCTTCCTCCTTGGGTGGCTGCCTTGCTCACTGTCCTTGGAACAGAGCAGAATGCTAGGGGCAAGAAGGAAATCATTCCAAGTCCTCTGCTGCCCAAATCATCAGTAGCTTGTCTCCATCAAATACACCTGAGACTACCCGTGACCTTCAACAGCCCCTGACCCGTGGAAACATTTGTTCTTTCAGTGAAGGAACACAACCTGCTGTATTCTGTATGCCCTCATGGCTTCCAATCCTGGTTTTAGGGCACCCCAGTTTGGCTCCAGGACCAAAAGGGCTGTTATGATAGCATCCAAACATTTTTATTTTTTTAAATAATTTTAATAGTTTCATTAAGGTTTTCTTCAACTTTTAAACTGATTAAAAAAGGGTTTTTGGGGGCGCCTGGGTGGCTCAGTGGGTTAAAGCCTCTGCCTTCGGCTCAGGTCATGATCCCAGGGTCCTGGGATCGAGCCCCACATCGGGCTCTCTGCTCAGCAGGGAGTCTGCTTCCTCCTCTCTCTCTGCCTGCCTCTCTGCCTACTTGTGATCTCTGTCTGTCAAATAAATGAATAAAATCTTTAAAAAAAAAAAAAAAGGGTTTTTGATTCAAGCATGAATCTATCTTAATAAAATGTGAGTTTTCTTTCTTTACAATTCTTTCTAACCTCTATCTGCAGAAGTAGCATTTACATATAGTTGCAAACGTAAATGTCTGGCCAGCTTTGTGTTTTACTTTTTAAATTAAAGATTTCATGCACATCTTTCTGGATTTTTACCCAGTCATCATATCCATTATTTTAATGGCTGTATAATATTTTATTGCATTAACCCTCCATAATTCATTTACAACTTCCCTCTGGACAGTTCCGTTTAATTCATCTTCATTTTAAAAATAAGTACATAGCCCAAACGCATTCTTAGGCTAGGAAAGAGATGAATGGAAATGTCCTACGAACCAAACAAAAAAGATGCCTCAACTCACACATGATGAATATCACCATCATACTTGGGTAGCCCTTTGTGCATGTAGTATTTTTCAATGTAGACACTAATAATTTCTAAGTGTCAGCCCCACTCTTGCTTGCAAAGTGATCTAACGTACGTCCGGTCGGGGAGAGTATCCCACATATCACCACTTGGCCACAAGTGCCCAGCAACCACAGTAGAGATCAGCTACAGCACTCTCTGGGAGCCCCCCCATGCCAGCTGTTAACCGGTTAGTGGCTGGATTGTAAGATGGAAGGAGGCTGGACCCACAGTGCTAGGACACTATTTTAATAAAGGACTAGCATGACAATAACGAGTGACACCCACCCCACGCAGGTGAGCGAGCACTGCTCTGGACACAGACTTTCTGGGTCATGGGTTCTGTGGCATGCTCTCATTTGGTGACTGAATCAGCAGCAGGTAACACAAAGGAGGAGGGGATGATTTAGAATAAAATAAGATCTCCAGCAAGAGCGGCAGTGGTGGCTGTGCCAAGGAGGGAGCCCGGTGTCCAGTCTTCAGCAGTGGAGGTACAGCCTATCCCAACTACTGCGGGACCCGATTTCAGTTCTCATTCCACCTAACTCAGGTTCCTTGATTTCCCGCCTCTGTTGGGAGGGCCATCCTCCAACCTCCCACAAATTTGGAACTACCCAAGCTTTTACCAATAAACCCATTTCCATTTGAGTTCACAAGAGGCAGTTTCCAGTCATTTGCAACCCAAGAATCTTGACTGGCACCAGGTGGGGGGAGGAAGGAGTCCCAGAGGTTTCGTTTCAAGAGAAGAATCTTCATTCCTCTCTCCTCAAGTGAGGCCATCCAGATCTGAATCTCAAGGGGGCTCTGCAAAGGGTTTTCTCTCTACAACCTCAAGAGCTCAGAGTCAGGGCGGCGAGGCTGGGCTTGGGAAGCTGCACAAAGAGAGTCCGACCAGCATGCTGTAAGCCTTGAAAGTCATCATCTAGTCCCTGCGGTTTATTCAGAGATAATGCAAGCTATTAAAATCACATGTAGAATGTGAGAGTTTATTTTATATAAAACCCCCTGACACTTAATATTTACTTAAAAACTAAGCTGTAAAGGGTTTGATTTGGTTGAGAACATGATGCCATGTCTTTGGAATTTCTCCCACAAGTCGCCTCCAGAGGCGGCAAGCGCCTTTTGGGTAAAAGCCAAAAAGATAAACAGCGCCATCTAGTGGCAGAACCATATAGCTCCAAGTGCACGGCTATCCCCCAGTAAATCACAGGACCTCCTCAGAGTCACAGCTTGGGTGGGCCAGCGAGGGTCAAACCTGGGCAGTCAGGACCTACTGTACTTGGGTAAAGGACCACAACATCAACACAGACATTCCGCCAGAAGAACAAAATGTAAAGTAGCCAGACTTGTTAAGAATGCATCTGGATAATTAATGGTTCTGTGTGGTCCCTCCCTAATTCCACGACCCTATAATTCTGAGATAAGTCTTGATGACACAGAGTGAATAATTACTAAAAAGCAAAAGTTATACTCGTGCTTCCAGCTCAAAATCGGATCCAATAACTAAATATGGGTTGTTTACTAGGGAAGGAAAGAAGGTCCTTCCTTATATGGATAGCTCAGGGATGTAGGATAGGACAAGGGAAGGATTAAGTTTGTCTGTAAAAATGAACTCAAGGTCCAGCAAAGATTCTTGGAAAAGAAGGAGACTCAGACTGACCTCTCACAAAAGGTGCTCCAGCTTCTCCTATGCCCTATGGTGTTTGGCTTCCATTGTTTCTCCCCACATATATACTAAGGATGTGTACACACACACACACACACACACACACACACACTTTTAAATTTCCATAGGAGAGACACTGTGTCATCCTCAGGACCAAGCACTCAGTGGGTGTTCAGTCATGAACACTGTCCTTGTCTCTATTTAGCCTTCAGAACCTAATTTTGGAGTCTTCTCTTCAAGACAACCAGGACCCTCCTTAAATCCAACGTAGCTGTCTATAAACAAGCTAGCTTCCCATTCCAACCAAACCCTGGTTATACTCTGGCTTTGAAATCCAGTCTGGGACTTGATTTGATATATTTGCAGCTACTTCCTTCCAACGGCTTGAAAAGAACAGGGACAGCTCACAAAGGCCCAGAATAAATGCTTGGCCTTATTGCTTTTTATACTTTGCTGACCCACACGGCAAAGTCAAATTTCTCCAATTTTTCAACAGCTCATCCTCTTCTCAATCT